AGGGAGGTGGAGTGAAAATATGATAAATTGCTCTGCACAATATTTTTTCAGCTTTTGTCAGCATATTTCGCATGAAGGAATTCACTTATAGGCACAAATGCTAGAGCGTCTAATTTACAATCAAGTGCAGCCAATGGGAAAAAAGGCCTGAATCGCATGTAAATCACCGCTAAGAGTTTCTATATTTGCATTAATGAAATATAGCATTTTAAATACGAGAAATTTCAGACCACCTCCACCCCCTCGGGCGGTATTCTCGCCAATGCTCGCATGGCGTACAGAATGTGGCGCGATATCGCATGAAATCTCTCCAGGGCTCTCAAGGTGCTGCGAACATGGCTGAAGATGAGATCCTAGAACAGGAAAATCCACACAAGGTAGAAAACACCTTTCTTTTGTTGCTCACATGCCTCACTTTAGCGGTGTTTAAAGTTGCGTAAATCATTCGAGAAATTAATATGTGTGATAACATGTTCTTGCTATGCGGCCAGTGCTCAGTCACATGAATTTCTGGTTCGCTCCCAGAGACGGGGGGGGTGGCAAAAAGGAGGCGTACTAGTGGTGGAGGCTCGTTGTGAGAACACATATCTAAGCACTGAGGGCTATTGTGGACTCGATGCGGATGCAATCGGCGAAATTCAAAGAGAAACCTGCGAGCAATGGGATCTTGATAACAGTTGAAAGGTGGCTGCAAACGGAAATAAATATATGATGCTAAAAATGTCTGGCAAAGGGAGCAGCGCGAGAGAGGAAGACAGCCCAGGAGACCGCATAGGTGAGCATCACACCACGTTTTCCAGCCAGAACACCATCTACTCCTCCCTCTCCATAAGAACTTGTTGATCTGATTGCGAGTGGTGCAAATTATTCGGCTGGCAAATGCACAAACTGATGGAGTTCTTTTCGTCTTCGATATCACCTTGGAGCCTTTCTTTAATGGGCAATTTGTGAAACGGAAATTTGTCTGAGAAGTCGTGAAAATTTTGGACACCTTCAGATTGTTTCTCTTAATTTCAGCGCATATTGCACATGAGCCGCGAAAAGCGCAGCGCCACGAGAGAGAGACAGAGAGATTCGCGAGGCTCCGCGTGGTGATTGAGCGTTCGCGAGGGGGTTAAATCGCCATGTCAGCGGACCGTCAGAGGAGCCTCAAAGGAGCGCGATGGCCTGTCCCCCTGGCCGGGCAGACGGGGGCTAATTAATTTTAATGTCCCTCATCTGAGGGGCATAAAGTGAATGGCTGGCGCGTAATTTTCCTCACTTTGTCTTCTCGCACTGTTTTGCGTGCCCCCCGGTTCTCTCCGCCACCTCATCTGTCACATGCGAGAGAGCCAGAGAGTGACGGTGTTGAGTCTGGTGGCTGATTCCTCATGTTCCTGTGCTCGCCTTTTTTTGCTCGCTTTCATCATTTAACTCGCACCCATTCTGCATTTTCGATGCATTTTGCACTGCAATTCCTTCTCATTGCGAATGACCGACCGCTTTGTCGGCAACCGATTGACACGCCCCCTCCAATCTGCGTTCTAATTCACTCGATTGCCGGCATGCACGGGCCGCGATCGGATTGCCATCGCGGCGATGAGCGTGCATCGGCACAATTGATACGTGAATTAAACAGCGATCATGTGGGAAAGACCGCGAGGATCATCGCGCCGCGGATGATGTATAGATCCTCTATTAGGAATGCTAATTAAACATCCCTTAATGTCCGGAGATTGAATGATAAATCCCCCTAATTGGTCATACCACACTCGCCTTAATACACCAAATAACAATAATTTCACCGCGCACTCGGGGCCTCCTCTGCACACCATCGCGCACTGTCCGCGGCGCGTTTTCGCAGAGCAGCCGTGAAATGATTATACGCAAATTGCAATAAAATGAAGGTGAAATCCCATGAAAAAGGCGAATTCGGACCCCTTCGCTGGCCATCTCATGCTGCCCGCTTCTCATCGACGCCGGAGCAACACCAGAAGGTAATTAGCTGCTGGCGATGAAGTCGCCTATTAACGCGGCCAGATTACAGGTCGGCGCGCCTTTGCTTCACACCTTCATCGCGCCGCGGTCAAATCGTTTTACCCAGAGCGGATGCTCAGCATCCAATTTGCGAATGTAGTGCAAAGGAAAACATGGCTGCGAATGGCGGGCGAAAAGGGAACGCGCGATAAAACGCCCGATTGCGATATCAGCCGAAGGAAAATCATCAATGCGTCGATGACATTCACTGGGTGACAAATTGAATACGTGAACTTTTGCTTACACAAGCGGCCGCTTTGATTCGCGCACAGCGGAAAAACCGTGACTTCCTCAAGGTAGGATGAATTTAATTGGAAAACTTGATAACATGAACTACAGTGGCGAAAATTAGGTTGGGACACCTATGAAATTTAGGACAATTTTCCTTTTGGTGATAAAAATTCGATATTTCTTTCAATTTTCGAGACAATTTCAGTAAGACAAAAAATAATCAGAATTTAATGATCTTTAAAATTTCGCTGCGATCCGAGCTATTTTTATGCGTTATAACAAGGATTTAGAGCAAAATAGGCAGTGTCTTAACTTAATTTTTTCTGTCCTTATACGCACATCTCTCTGCATTTTGCAATATCTCGGCCCTAAATTGAGATATCGCCATGATCTCAACGCCATTTGAAAGATTATTAAATTCTAATCATTTCTTGTCTCACTGAAATTGTCTCGAAAATTGAAAGAAATATAGAATTTTTAGCACCAAAAGCCTAATCTAAAATTATTTCGCTACTGCACAAAACTATATTAATTCTTTTATGGTAAAATTTTAGGTTTTCTTGCAGCGAACGGATATGATATTTATGTGCATCGCAAAAATGGCCGTTTAGTGCGATAGAAAATGATCTGCGGTCTGATCTGCATTTGCAGATTAACCTATTGTGCCGGCAATTCGTTTCTCCTTTGACGTGACTCAAGGCGCTCACTCACGCGTGATCTATGACAGAGTGGCATAAAGTACTTCAGAGCTGATGCCTCAGGTGAGGTCTTCGTGGTTGTCTTTGATATTCTCTCAAATGTACGCACTTATCGTGTGTGTGAAATTTATGTAGTGCAGCAAGATGACATCGGCGAGATAGTGGCGGACGCGGCCTGAATTGCCTTCGGGGAATCGACAAAGTGGGCAGCAATAGTCGGAGATGGTGAGCTGCAGAGCGAAAGAATTGTGGCAAGATATCTCCCGATGAGATTCTATGATCCAACAGTGGACAGACAGTAGCTCTGGATTAGCGGTTCTTCCAACAGGGCCATGATTTGCCTCGCCAAAGAGATCTCTATCGCGTTTGTCCATGCGTGGAGCCAAAGTTGTGAGCATAGATATTATGGGATTGTGATTTCGATCTCCCTCTTCACTTCACATTAGTCTTCCGCCTCGGCGCTGTATAGCTTGTGTAAAATAAGAAATAAATCTTTCTATCGATACAGCCCAATTGCAAATTAATTCACGCATCGCAACATTTGTGATTCCATAGATTTTGCATAAGACTACAACAATTTAAGGTCAGATGATGAGCAGAAAATAAGCAAGAAGAGCGAATTGAAGAAATGAGATTGCAGTTGTTGAAGGTATTATCTTATAATTTGCAACTTCTCTACTTCATTCTTCACTTGCGCCTCCATAGATAATGCCCACGATGGGTGTTATATTTTCATAGCAATATTTTTTTTTCTTTTCTCTCTCCCCATTTCCTCTAAGTCATGCCAATTCAGTCCATTTGCACACTCTCCGTGGCAATTATGGTTGCAATTCTGCAAATGTATGAATGAAATCGAGAAGAAAAAGAGCCCAACAATGGTTAAGAAGGCAGTAAATAGATTTTCAACCTCTTCACAATTTACTACCAGTCTTAATATAATTCTGTGTAGATTTACTAGGCAGAATTTCAGAGGAAGAGCCTTTATCCTCCTTGCTTTATTCCACCTTTTTGAGATTGCTAATTATGCGCTCTTATAATGCGTTGATAATCGCGCGGCTTAATTTGCATTTGATAAATCGTTTCAAACATGCAAGGTGTACAGCGACTACTAATGTTTGCTCCGCTCTCAGTCATTAGGTGAGCATTCAGCTTACTAAAATAGAACACAGTGAATTCTCCTTTAATATCATAAGATGCACTGGCAAATTTGAGACTATCGGAGAAATATTAAAGAGCCAGAGCATTTATCTTCAAGGCAAACTGCTGTCGTTCGAATAAGAGACCAAATTTTCGGAGGTGATTATTTATAATAATCGTTAAAAGCGTGATTCACAGTCATGAAGACACGATCCTTCACGCCATTCATTTGGTAATTAGTTATGTTGGGGCCCATTTAATCAAGAGGCCAAACAGTATAATGAGTGCCTTAATCGCAATGCGGTGGATGAGGGAGAAGAATGCACCCAAAACGAAGAATTCCCAGCAGACAAATGGCACTCATTTGTCCGGCAGTCAAAATACACTGCGTGATAATATTCGAAATATTACGGAATACAATGCGTGAGATACTTCTAGGAGAAGAGAGAGAGAGAAAGACCATAATTCCCTCAATTCTTTCTCCTCCACTTTGTGAGTGAAAAATTTCCCGTGTCACAGATTATTGACCACATTGCCCAGTGATTCCAAATGATACACACCTTATATCAAATTTTGGAGTAGATTGATTTCCATGAAGGACTCTCGCGGTGCTTTTCCAGGATGAAAGTCGGGAGTTGGAATCACCTGGAATAACGTGAAGATCACCCGCGGCGATTCTGAGCATCTTGAATTTCTCAGCCATGAATGTGGTCGAAAGCAAAAGGCTTGGGATGATAAATAGGTTCAATATATTCCAACGAATTCCATACTAAATGAAGTGGAGACGCTTCGTCTATGTTTTTGTGGGCATTAATGTGTCGAGTCTACAAACTCACGGCGTGTCTCGGCTAAAAGCTTCTCGACAAACTTTTTCACACTCTGCAGCACATTTACGCAAACAGCCCAAACATACTTTCTCTCTATCATTGTTTATTTACAAAACATTTTGTATATTCTATAATCGAATTCATTTCCTTCATTATTAATTAGTAAATTTAGCTAAATTGTGCATCATTTCACTTACAAACCCATACAGAGGAGTATTACAAAAGAACTTGACTGAATTTGATCAATTCAAGTACACTTAATTAAATTTTTTTACCATTTTTACACATTTTCTGAATATACTGTATAATATCTAAAGCACAAACATTGCTGTTTTTTTTTCTCAGAAGGCCCACACTTTTTCTTACACCTACACATCTTAATCTCTTAACAAGTTATGTTTTAAATGGATATAGTAACACTTTTCACATATTCTCATCATTTTAAACTAGCACACGCAGTGTTTATAGCTTCTTTTAAACTTGATTCTGTGCCGCATTAATATTGTTGCCCATTTGACCAGCCGCCGCGGCGGCGGGAGCTTCCGTCACATTGGAGTTGTTATCCGCCTCGGAATCGCGCATTGATCCCGAGTCCTCAGATTTGTCGCCCACAAGAGCTCGATACTTCTTCGAAATCGCCTCCCAATCCGCCACATTCTCGATGCGATTCTGATTCATCTGACTGAAGCTCACCTGCGATCCAAGTGGCGAAGAGAGATGCACCACAGACAGCGCCACTGAGTCTACAATTGCAGACAAAAGAGCAAACATTGAAATTCCAGCACGTGAGAGAACGACAAGTCGAAAAAGTGGTAAGAAATGATGATCTATCTACGAAGCTGCCCCAACGTACTTCTCTACAATTTCCACCTTTCTCATATATGAAACACAATCATCAAAAGTATTTACATACAATTGTCTTAACGTGTAACCAATATATAAAAGCTCATGCGCTGATAGCAAACCTTTTGGAGCCACCTGACCTTTCTTCACTTTCGACAGCCATTTGGCACCAGCCTTCGATCGCGGACTTGCTTGTCTCATTTGTCCCATGATTTGCACAAGACTTGGTCGCTTTCTCTTCGTCATTCTCGCCTGAAATAATCAAGATTATCAGTTTAAACAGTGATCAAATCCTCCTTGAGTGTTCCTTAAGCGCACCTTTATGGCCTCAACAATCCACATAAACCATGTTGTAATGAGATTGAGTGGTGATGGAGCTGTTGTGGTTCTGTGCATATTTCTAATGAGTTTCGATAGCCCAAATTTCCATTCAATGTCCGATTGTGCCTGCAGAGAGACAACATTGTAATTCGCAGCTCAAAAGACGAATGAATGTGAGCTGAAGAGGCTTTTGAGATGAGCAGAATCCAAAGTAAGATGTCGAACGGAGGTGAAATATGTGTGTATTCAAATACCTGAATCCTCTGGTAAGTGTCTGACATCATAGCAATGAGGAGATTGATAAGGACAACCACCGACACTAACATATAAATGCCGAAGACAATCTTGAACAGATACTCAGTCCAATAGGGTTGCGTCTTCACCGCGTTTGGTCCTATACGATCAACTTGTGTCTGATCAGTGGTCGTTTGGCCGAACACGGCAAAGAACAGGAGTTCAAACGACAGGATGGGATTCATGCGAACTGCAACGAGAAGAGAGATGTGGCGAATGGTCCACTATTAATTACCTGAATGCGTTGATATGTGTCCGACATCATAGCAATTAGGAGATTAATCAATACAACTACCGAGACCAGCAAATAAACGCCAAAAACGAGCTTAAAGAGATTCTCTGTCCATTCTGGACGTGTACCGCGCATCGGATTGATGTCGTCCGGTGTTGTTTGGCCGAAAACGGCGAAAAAGAGCCGCTCAAATGCAATCCAGGGTGTCATTTTGGCTAAAGAAATTCTGCATTAGTACATGAGTTAGTTAAGGCTTAATCGCTGACAATTCTTCTCCTCGTGACGACGATGACATTTTGCATAGATCAGGCATTGATTTGCAGCTAAACACATCACGCGCACACAGTGAGAAAGAACATCTAAAACAAAATCTTGCCAAAATCACTCAACATGATAAATCTCTTCTTCTCTTTTTTTTGTATAGCATTCCGCAGCAGCAACAGCACACAGCCTCTAAATCAACTGAGAACATTAATATAGCATTCCTGTACACAAAAATCAATTGACATACATATTATGGAGAAAAGAAGCATGGCAAGACAGACAATTTCTCTCCAGAGAGAACATTTACAAAAAACAAAACAATTCAAACGATAATCCCAACTGAAATTCACATTAACTCAATTAACAAGTCACAGAGGCAAAAGCATTTTTCTTTTCTCCATGCCACAGTTATATATGGTCAGTTTTTTCGAGGGATTCCAGTGATAACATCAACATGCTTAATGCAACTTTGCCACTCTTGCATATATGTATTTTTTACACGTACCAAAGTTAGTCAATGGCAAAACAAATGGATTGTTTGTGGTCCATGAATCTTGGGGAAGGCATTTAACATTCATTCATGGCTGGCGTTCTTCACAGCAGCACGGCGGTGAATAGAGTAGCACATTGATTATATGTGATTACGTCAAAACTATGTATATCACAGAACAATTTGGTGATAAGTCGAATGCAGCAGTCATCTTCTATGTACTAAAGGAGAAATTAAAACATTTTGTACCGCACGAATGATGGTGGGATAAAGATCTTCACGTCTTCATATACTGTGTTTGGCCAATTTTCAGTGTGACGAATTCAGAGTGGAATTGAGCTTTTCTTTGGAAAAAAAACTTCTCTCAGTGAATATAGTTATCCCACGACGATTTGGATCTGATAAGGAGAGTCAAAGTAAAATGAGAAAAAAAACTGATTGTTGTTTTATCATTCAGCATACAGTATGACATAAAACAGTGACAAGAATGCATGTCAAGTCAACATAAAATGCAGAAACACTGAGAAATACAGAGGCACTCTTAGAAGACCGTTCACAGAAAAAATGTTAAACACATTGAATAGATAGATAGATAGAGAGAGAGAGAGAGAGAGAACAGGCAGCAAACCAGACGGCACTTTCTAGCTGGACTTTCCATGGCATTTTCACTATTTTTTTTTCTTTTGATCGTTCTCAAAAACAAGACAAAGTGTGATTTAGCCTTTTGCCATTCCTTTTGAATCGATTGGTTTTTTCTTGAGAAGAATTATGCAACACAGAGACTTTAAGGAAAGTTTCCAACTTACTTTCCGTAGAATGTTTGCGACGATAGTCCGTGTAATACGAACGATCTTCGCGATATTTGAGTTTTGTCCTGGCAGTTGCTCCTACATAGTCTAATGATGGATACATGAGAAAGGGGAAAACATATTTTAATTATCTGAAGAGAAAAATGTGTAATTATTATTAAATACTGGCTGAAAGGCTGTAAAGAAACTTTGCTGGTTCTCACATTAGGTTATCATGATCAGTTGTACGGAAAAGCCAAGAGTTGGTGAGAGATATTAGTGACAGAAGGACACTCACCGTCGCTAAAGTATCCAGCATCCCTAGCAGTTCTAGGCAGTCTTCTGATCTCTGCTGGCGTGAGATTGTGAAATGATTGATTGAGTGCGACGATGTGCATCGAGAAGCCAAACACGAAGATCGCCAGCACGGCAAGGAAGCGCGCAAGATCCTGCAGAAGGTTGCCAATGATGATCGCCCACGGTCCGAACAGATGATGAAAGGACAAAAAATCCAGGATCTGCACACAGGCGAGGAGGAAGGAGAGAGCAAAGCACTGATTCCGGCAGTACATGAGGGTGGGCCAGTAGGTCTTCTCCACCCAAATCATCCCTGCCACGTGCACTCCGACGCCCGCCATGCCGAACAGCAGCACCAGGATCTTGATGGATCCCAGGCCGGATTTGTCGCTGGGATTGGTGAGCTCGAACAGGAGGAGACCGCTCAGCATCACCAGGAGGCCCCACTCGTACCAGTAAGGCGTGAGATTCGGCCTCACCACCGGATAGATCGGCGTTATTCCCACGACCATGAGGTGGAGCATAAGGAAGATGTGCGATGTGAGGTACGACATGAACTTGATGATGGGGATTTTGTTGTACTTGTGCCCCAACGGAAGAGTGAACATTATCCACACGGGCGGAATGACGATGAACGCCACGAGCAGGAGCATCATTTTCCATCCTGCCCAGTTGAGGCTTCCCCGCCAGAGTTCCTGCAAAAGAACAGCGCATCATTAGCCAGCAATTCGCGCCCATCTGAAGTTCATACTTCAATCTACTTTCAAATTACGTGAACTACACAGCTAGTCGTGTGGTTGTCCTACATTTACCTATCGTTTACCTGAAGATATCTCTGAACCACCGTGTGAGCTATCACTTCCTTCTGTTCATTCTCGATGAGGACATCTAAAAATTCGACATTTCTCCGATCAATGGCAGTTAAAATTTTCCCAGCAGAGTCAGCTCCTGCTGCAAGAGCCAACAGTTCAGTGGCCATGGCTTCGCACTGTTTCCCAGCTGCTATTAAGTCTTTTGCTCTCTCTTTTTCCTGTTGAGAAAGCAGTTTGTCAATTCAAACTCAAGAAAAGCTACATTTTCTTCGTCTACCTTTGTTGATAAATTAATGTAGATGTTGGACAATTTGGCGGCTGTGTCGACTGGCGCTGGTGAGACTAGGACAAACTCCTCGATAGACTTGTTGTTGTTCGACTTGGACACCACCATGAGGTTGAAGACGAATCTCTTGTCCTCCATGAGTGAGTACGTGTCGTGCTCTTTGTGCATGAGATACTTGAGCACGTCGTTGTGTCCCTCCGAGGCGGCGAACCAAATTGGGGCACAGCCGTAGTTTGTCTCATTTTTTGGGGAAGCTCCTGATTCGCACAGCAACCGCACAACGTCCAGATGTCCCGCCTTGGCGGCATTGTGAAGCGGTGACCACCCATTCTTGTCGTTCACATTGATCTCCGCGCCCTGGCCGAGCAGCACCTCAACCATCTGATAGCGCCCGTTCATGGACGCTATGTGCAGTCCTGTTCGTCCATGGCGATCTGTACTCTGCAGCAGTTCTGCACTGCGACTGAGGAGGAGTCCAACAACGCTCATGTGTCCACCGAAACAGGCCAAGTGCAGCGCATTGTAGCCATTCTCAGTTGTCGCCGCGTCGACTTGCACTCCGGCCGAATTCAGCAAGAGTCGCACGACGTTCTCGTTTCCCGAATAGGAAGCCAGGTGAAGAGGAGTCATTCCGGACTCTGTGCCCAACTCAGGCACCAGAGAATTCCCACTGGGTGGATCTGACTTCACCGTTGCTGGCACGTTGAGCAACAGCTCACGCACAGTGTCCTGCTGACCATAAAACGCCGCCACGTGAAGTGGCGTGAGACCGAGCTTCTTGCTGGATATCCTCAGTGTATTCGAACTCCTCATGACGTCAAGCACCTGGCCGTGGCCGTTTTGAGCCGCCAAGTGCACCGCTGTGAAACCAGCCTTATTTTCGTCCGTGCACGAAGCTCCAGCCCGAACGAGCGCCTTGACAACATCTGCGTGTCCACCTTCAGCTGCCAGCTGAAGAGGCGTGGCGTCGGTTATTTTATTCCGTGCCGAAATGACGCCTTGCCGATCAAACTTCATGAGCTCCTCAATCACTTTCACGGATCCCTGAATGGCAGCGATGTGAGCACACGTGTTCCCGTCCTTACTAGTTGCATTCACGAGGTTGGGATGTGCCTGGAGGAAGAGTTTGGCCACTTCGGAGAAGTTATTCTGAGCTGCCACGTGGATGGGCTTCTGGCCCAAGTCGTCCGTCGCATCGATATTGGCGCCGAGCTCCAGCAACAGCTTGCACACCTCGATCTGCCCGTTTCCCGCCGCCAGATGCAGAGGCGTCTGCTTTCTCAGTGTCAGGATGTCTATCACGGCGTTGTGGTCGCGGATGAGGAATTTCACCAGGTGCGTGAAGCCGTTCATGGCGGCCAAGTGGAGGGCAGTTCGGCCGACACGCGACTTGGAGTTGATGAAGGCCTTGTTGGTGAGCAGGGCGTCGCACACTTGCTCGTAGCCACGCTCAGCTGCCAAGTGGAGGGCCGAGCGACCTTCAATGTCGAAAACATCAACACGAGCGTGATTCGCAAGGAGATTGTTGACCAACTCCATGTGTCCTCGGTTAGAGGCGATCAGCAGTGGCGTCCATCCGACTGAGGATTGTCTGTTGAGCGCCTTGGAGATGTCTGTCGGCGACATGTGGCTTATCATCTCACTGAGGACATCGTTGTTTCCCGCTATGGCGCAATAGTGGAAGGCAGTCTCATTGGCGGACTTGGTAACGAGACTCACATCGGCACCGTTCTCGAACAGGAGTCGAACGATTTCTCTGTCGGACTGAGGTATCTTCACCTCTTCCTTTAGCACTTGACATATGTAGTGAAGGGCAGTGGCTCCGTCCTCATTCACGGAGTTTATGTAGTTTGTGGCCGTTTCAGCACCATGCTTCTCCTTGACGTTCTCGATCAGGTGCTGCACAATCATGGGATGGCAGTTTCGACACGCCAGATGAAGAGGAGTATCGCCGGTCTGAAAGAGAGATTTGTCTCTTCACTGACTCTATTCAGTGGATTGGTGGAGATCTTACCAGTGATTTGTAGAGCGGATCTCCTCCGTCTTCCAGCAGGAACATTAGAGCACCGAGATTTCCATGCTTTGCCGCAACATGAACCGGAGTCTGACCATCGTCTGTCGTTTGATTGGGAGCCGCGCCGGATTTCAGTAGCATTAGAGCACATCTATCCCCATCCTTGACTCTCGCTGCTATGTGAAGAGGCGTCTCTCGAAGACGACCTCCGCACACGTGAACTTCCGCTCCGTATCCCAGAAGAGTCTCCACAACCGCCGGTTTTGCAGACTCCACGGCAATGTGCAGCGCCGTGTAGTTGTCCTGAAACGATTGATCGTAAGCAAGAGCTTCTCTGCTAATCCCAACTTGACTCACATTCGTCGTGACATCCACTTTCTCCCCCTTCTGCAGGAGCGTGTTGATGATCCCCACGTGGCCGTAGCGAGCTGCTGTGTGGATGCTTCTGGCACCGTTCTTGTTTGGCATGTGCAGGTAGACACCCTTCTTGAACAGCATCGTGGCACACTCTGCATGGCCGTTGAGGGATGCGATGTGCATCAGCGTGCTGCCGTCCTTGGTGCGCTCGTAAATACTGGCGCGGAACTTGTCGGCGAGGATTTCGATGATGTTCGCGTGTCCGTACTCTGCGGCCAGATGCATTGGCGTGCGGTCTTGATTGTCCGTGATCGACGCTGACGCTCGCACGCCGTAGAAGTACTTCACGAGGCCCTCGTCCCCCTCCGCCGCGGCGATGTGCAGTGCCGTCTGTCCGTCGCCGTTTCTCGTGTCCACGTTGGTCCCATAATCCACGAGGATTCGCACCATGTCCACATCTCGCCGCCGGGCGGCCAAGTGGAGCGCCGTGTCGCCATTCGCGGTTGTTGCCTGAAAGGATTGGACAGCTAAGTAGGGGCAAAAGTTCTGCAACACGTGAAAATGTCAATGAGTGTGCGGGAGGAAGTAACGTTTCACCAATTACCGCAATTTGCAACTTTCAACATACAACAATTCCTCTTGAGGGCAATTAATGAAACTCTTTGTTCGAGGTATTCGTACATTTCTCAAATTACTTTGATAAATTCTTCTTGGAAAATATCTTACACTTTGAAAGCTTTCACAACTTTAGGCATGGAATTTGCTATGTATAGTTTGTGATCGGTGGAATTCGTCAAAGTGGGTAATTATTACATTGCGAATTGCAAATCGATACATCGCGGAGTGTTTAGGTCAGGAAAACTGTTTCCACGGGCTGTTTACAAAATCCCTTATTCGATTGCGGGGTTTTAGGTGAAAATTGTCGTAACGGGATTTTCCATAAAGCTCTTTTTTTTTATTTAGATTGTCAATATTCTCTTTCTCGTGCTGAGTGCCAATAAAGTGAAACGTTTCGAGGATACGAGGCGAAAGCTCGATTTCCAATCAATTTGTGCGAGGTTTAGCGGGGACAAAGACATATACTCACCTTCAGCTGTTCAGCAGTTTGCGCAGACAGCAGTTCCCTGCACATAGACTGATTGCCAGCCTCCACGGCGAGAAGCAGCGGCACCTTGCCTTTCTGCAAATCGAGAGCATTGCGGATTACTGAGTGCCAGGACGTGGCCTCGCGTTTGCGCTTGATCTCCGCGAAGCGATTCGCCAGCTTCTGCAGGGAGGACTTTGTCGCGACCCGCAGACCCGCCACGGAGCCGCTGCCCATGCCCATCGGCACATCGCCCAGGTTGGAGATCTCCTCGCGAATGACCGCGACACTGTCGTCGGGGATGGGCTGCAGCCGGTCAATAGTCACGAGCGAGTTGCTGACCGGGCTGACAGACGTGTCCGCCTGCTTGGCGGCCGTCTGTTGCACTTGCCGCCCCGCCTGAATCCGAGCGCGCCAAAGCTTCTGCCTTTCCGCGTATGAGGACATGTCTATTGTGTTCCACGTCCATCTTTACACTGGCTCACAGTGAAGGATCGTGGGCGCGTGAATCTGTTTAGGGTCTCTGCTGTCAAAGGGGTATTTTTGCCATACTTTCCTCATCTATATTCATAATAATCCACTCTAAATGCACAATAAAAGCTCCTATAAATAATCCATTTGTTTATCATTCGTCGCCTAGTGATCGACTTTGCTCGAGAGCTTTAAGTCGTGCATGGGAAAAAAATGCGCAACCACTTCTTCCAAAATTGTCTCCATAATCTTACAAACGATTGCAATTGTATTATAAGTTCTTTCTATTGTTGTTTTTCTTTTCGCTCTCGTTCCACCCTCACCCACCCTCCCTGGGGGATCTTCAGTCAAGTACCGCTCTTGCTCCAGTGAGCGGAAAAGCGCGACTGTTTTTATTTGCGCCACCCTCAAATATGCAGTGAAATACAATCACAATACATATGATATTTACTGACTCCTAATATACGGATAGTAAATATTTTGGCGGGGGTTGTGAGAGATGGAGAAAGAAATATACTGGCATAAAATTGTTGATTCATCGCACGAGAAATTGATAGAGCTACAAGTATTGATCTAACTCACCAAAAATTATTAACGAATTGATAAAAGTTTTCTTACTTCTCCTCCGTATTTACAAGCATTGAAATTTTTTACATGGAAAAATGAATAAGCGAAGCTTACAATCTGCCTGACAGAAAGCTCACTCGTTCGCGCCTGCAAGCTCTTTCACTCTCATACAGGTAATTTTTGCAAACAAGACCTAAATTTCCACCCCGGGGTGTGTTTATTGTTCACTCTCGTGTGAATTTACTCACGCTAATCAAATCTTTACTCAACTTTGATTATGTCGTGCCAGAGCTCATCTAAGTGTAGCTCCGAGGGGGAAAATTCCAGAGCAATTATCAAATTGTGAAAGGAATACGCGAGCGCGATGCCGAAAATAAATCAGCTATTGAAGTAAGTGGGACGAAAGTTGGGTGGCAACTTCTCAATGTTGTCCCCACACTCTTCGCCAACAATTTCAGTTTACTTTATTTTATAGCAATTTATCATTCAATGTTATGTAAAATTCAATACACTCGCTCCCATTATTCACCTATAGAATGCTAATGTACGAGCGTTGAAATATGCAATAAAATGAACCAATCTTCGACTTCAAGTAAGACATATTCATAGGCTCAATGGGTGGCTTTGAGCTTTGTGCTGAATATGCACAAGCAATACATAAAGCTCTGTGACTTTCTGCACGTCCATTGCTCTGACAATGACCGTATAAATATGCAACGGTGCGACTGTTCTCAAGTAAATGCCATGGAGAGTGGGTTGAATTTATTTTGAGTGAAATTGGCAGAAATATTTTTTCCCCAATAAACTTAGCGTTTCTATAAATCCAACCGAATTTCCCAAATACTATCCATCTTCTAAATACTCTCTCTGTCTCTCTAAGACATTGTGAGGAAACCTGCACCCCCTCCGGGGGTTTGTTTAACTACATCCATGGCTTCAATAGGTAAATGAAGTCTGGAATAATTTTGTAAAGTGAAAAGTGTAATACTGCACGCAATGTTGGTTTCTCCCCTTGCTTACGAAATAGGACGCGAAGCGCCAAGACAAAGTCCTCATCCCACATGCCTTCTTGCATATGAAATGATTTTGGAGAACTTACACCGTCAGCTTTCAATCGAATATCCTTTCCGGCCGCCGCCAGGAGAGCTCTCAGGATACTGGTCGCTGTACCTGTCTGTCGACTGGCCACCAAATGCACAGGTGTTTGTTGGCGAGACTAAATGAAGAGGAAAGTTGTCTTAATACGATAAGAAATTAGGCGAAATTCCAGTGACAGAAATAAATTGATTTTACACTGAGAATGATGTAGTGATTACACCCCACAATAAACATTGATGGCAATTTTATGACTCTGTGACATTGAAGGAGAGAGAGAGAGAAAAATTTACTGTGCTTTGTGTACATATTCGATAACGTTACTTGATGACTTAATGAGAATGGCTTATTAAGAAGGAGGAAATCGCAGGGGTGAACAATAAAAGTGCGATTTCTTTGTTTCGCGTGCATATGTACGTACAAATTTATAATTCAATTAACTTCAGAGTTGGGAGATTTCACAAGGGGAGGGAAGAAAAGGCTCCACAGACACTGGAAGATGTTCAGAGACGCGAGAGAGAGCGGAAAATTGTGTTGTTTGTGCGTTAGAATGCAGGAAATCAACTAAATACATAGCACCACACTTGGTGTGTGCAAAGGTGTCCTTTATTGATGGAAATATGAAGGTAACGCGTGAATATGTACATGAGAGACCTACTCTTTCGCGAAAACCCCAATATTTATGCCAGACGTACATAATATGGAGTTTGTGTGTATTTCTCACTCTATTGTTTACTCTGAACATTAAGTGCCACGGAGAATATTTTCTCTAATAGTCATATCATAAATTTATCGAAATCCTTCACGATACACAATTGGCGCTCGTGAATTCCTCCATTGTCATTGTGCATTGAAAACAGGAGTCACACCAAGAATACGGTAAAAATAGGTCAAAAATCTTATCATTATCGAATAAATAAGTGAAAGCTCTGGGGTGTTACTAAGGTGTCACGCGTTGTTAGAAAATATATCTCTCATGTATTCACTGAATCTTAATACGTGCATATCCAGTGCTGAAGTATGATTTCTGCCCAAATTGGCTTCACTTTGGCGAGTCTATGGTGAAAGTGGCATAAGTAGAAAGCATATATGATGAAGACTTACTCCTCCTGTTGAGAATGGATCAACTCCGCGCTTGTTCAGCAGTAGCTTAACAACATCCTCTCGTGAGTACATGGCAGCGATATGCAGAACATTGTAATTATCCTAGATGAATAGACACGGGGAAAAAAGGGAATTAGAACAAGAGATATTTGCACGCGAATCCTAAAGAAGAGCGCATGTTAATAATATCGTTACAGCATATAAAAAATGATAAAATTTTCGCATTATCGTGACACTGTGTCGTTATTTAATTAATAAAGTGTTTATGTCACTTCCAGCAAATGTGTGACAATTCACATTATAACAAGTCATATTAAATTTTAATGAGATCTTGTGATAATAAGTTGTGAACTTTGACACAAACTTTGCATGAAAAGACATTCTAAATGTATTTATGTAATTCTCAGAATTGACGATAAGAACTACTGTACATATACTGTATTACTTTTTCCGGTATTACGTTGTGTGTTAGTGTTGGATGTGTGCAGAAGGCAATAAAGAAAGTTATCTAAACTCATAATGTAAAAGAGAGTGATGTTAAAAGCATTTATACGCCAAAATGGTAAAATTTTTATACATCTATTCCTGGGTGAAATGTGTGTCGAAACCTCATGAATAGATATTAAAAAATCGTAGAAACTCTGCAGAACATCATTTTTTACGACTATGACTCTCATGTTGATTAATAAAATTGATTTGCCCACAGTCATAGAGAGCATGCAGACAATTTTCAACTATTTTGAACTTTCTACTCTGCTCCTGATTCCTTGAGCTCGCACCCACTTTTAGTAGCCACACCATTAGCCTAATTATATGTGAAAATCGGTGAACCGCACGGAGAAACATGCAATTTCCGTATGCCAGACTTTTCCTCTCTACACTAAATGCACCATATTCATTTGGCTCTATGGTGTTATGGAGCGGTGGAAAAAAGACCATGAGTAGAGAAAGTACTATCAAGTCAAATGCTTTTTCAGCAAGGTGAAGAATTGTGCTTTCTCACTAAGAAGAAATACTCCACGCGGCAGACATTTAATTCGCCACGATAGTGAGAAATTCTAATTAAAAAGTTGCAATTTATTGGAGACAGCCAGAGAGAGGACTGTTGGCTAGAGTGAGAAGTGCGGAAAGAGGAAATTTATATTGTTTAGTACACACAATGATGGCAGAAATGTGGTTCATTCTATGTTTGTTACTGGGAAAATTCCTTTCGGCAAAGAGAGGAAAAATTGCAAATTCATCACCAAGCATTTTTCAACAGCATATGTACATAGGTAACTAATTAAAATCGCATTTATTACAGCCCTCCACTATCCACACGTGTGTAGATTGTTAATGGAATTTTCGGTATTAGATTCCCATCGTTGAATATTTAGGCTTTACGCCCGGGAGGTTCTTTTGCTTTGTCTAATGTTCCTTTTCTCCGTACATTTTTGGTGATTTATCAAAAATTACGGGCGATAAATTGGAAAATTTTCCACGTTTCCACATCATTTGTAATCACACTTGTATTTTTTTTCACTGATTCATTGGGAAAATCCAAAAAATGCGTAATGAAAATTTCCCAGCAATAAAGAAGGCAATTTTGAGTGGCTTTTGTTCTCTGGGAAAATTGGACATTCGCTTCGAGAGCGAAGAAAAGAAATGATCTAAATGGGCTTTTGCAATTTGTTTTGTGTCATGCGTTGATTAATAAAATTCACAAAAATATGATTTTTTTCGCAGGAATGAGTCGGAAAAAAATGCGCGTTAAGCATGCAAAGGAACATCTTGTTGTAGAAGAGCGCAGGAAAAAAAAAAACATATAATTTGTCTTGCGATGATCAGGCGACGGATAACCTTCATCTGACCAGGTAATTAATTTGAAAATGAGTGCAATATAATTTCCCTGTTGTGTTTTTCACGAACCTCGGGACATAAGTGAGTGTGAGTCCTCTCTGAACTCATTCACGATGGCCTTTGCGTTATCAGGAGTGATTTTTTATATGTGTGAAAGCTCTCTGGAGGTCACACTTCCACGATGGAGGTAACCTTCTTATTTATTGGTATTTATGTATATTTTCCATATATTAATTTCCTCCTGATGGAAGACAACTTTACGAGGGTCACTTTTGCCCGCTCGCGCAGAGTCAAGAGCGTATTAGATCATTTCGGGCGCAAGGGGTAATTACAAGTGGTCTAATGAAATTTTATTTGCCATTTAATAGGCACTCTTGCGGCAGGTGAGAAGCTATTGAATTATTTGGTGAATCATTTGACTGGCTATTATATGGAAATTCAGTCGCGATGAATGCCAAATATGGGTTAATTCCATGATAATATATTCAGAAGAACTTGCGACTGATGAAAATCTCACTTCTTCTTCGGTGTATCATAATTTCCGCGAATACAACTAGCACTCTTTCTTTCTTCATTCAACCCTCTTAAAGAATGAGCGAGGGTGGAGGGTGATGAGATTCAGATTTTCCACATTAGAAGCACAAGTGTATAGCGTAGTTTGGGCGCATAAGAATTGCCATGTTTTACTTTCTCTTTAAATACCCGTTTATGGACAGGCGAAAAGAAAAAGGTATGGCGAATGAGAAATTGAATGAAGTTATGAAAATTATTTCCCCAGCAACTTCAATTCTCACCCCCTTGGCCGCACTTGGTCGACGGTCAAGCGAGTCTTGAGATTTACAGCAAAGATATGCCTCCTGACTTTCTTTTCGTGTGTGTATAACGTTCGGTGCGGGGGTTCATGAAATTGAGGTCAGGGTCTATACCGGCGAGGCTGGTCAAGAAAAGAATAAGAAAGTGAGTAAAAAAGCGTACTGAAAAATATATATTGCCCAGAGGGTTTCAACATATTTCTGCGTGAGCAGGAGAGGAAGGACACACTTGAGGATGTGTTCGTATGGATTAATGCTCATCGGAATAGATTTTTCTTCAGACGTCCCTGCCTGAGCTCTGTGCTTTCCACCAACGTCTTCGCCTATGTGCTGTACACACATCTCAGGATTGCCCGTGTAGGTATATATTAGTGGAACATTTCTGGGTCAATGTGTCGTAAAGTTAATATTAAAATGTGTATATTGTGCTTTTCTTGTGACGTCGACAAAACGCCACAATTGAGTGCTTTTGTCCTTTACGAAAAATCTATGTCAGCTGATAATGAATTTGAGTGGGAGTCCATTTGGCCGATGCGATGATTATTTGCATGTTTTGATCTCAAATTTAGAAAATGAATTTACTCACGTTATTTCTTGCTCCAACATCCGAGCCCAAATCGATCAAACGATCCAAGATCGACGTTCGATTGTCCTTGACTGCCATCATCAGCGGTGTCATTCCAGTCGTCTACGCAAAAATAAATGACAATTACTTTATTTGCGTCCCAAAATCTGCATGCATTTGGGAAATCAATACGCAAGGCTTGACATTTCACAAAATTCCCCCACATTATGACGTTGATAAGCGAATATAATGCGAAAGAATTGCAGGTTATTGTAATTATTTTCTTATGTGCGTTTAAAAATAGGACGTGGTGTTCCAAAGACACGCTCGCTCCTTTTACAATTAACCACACTGTCGCAATTACGCCAACATAAACTGAAAGTCACGTGTTGCAATTACGGCACAAGAATAGAGGTGTATATAGTTTTTTTCTCCTTAAAGCACCGACAGGTAAATTTGATTCTACTTCATCACTACACGTGCATTTGATTTAAGATCTGAGAAATATTACTTTCTCAGACTTTTTTCTTGCATTCTCCGTATTTCACAGGAAAGGAGTGTTTATTTAATTACTAAGAAGATTTATTTTGGTGCACTTTTCTCCCCATACTCACTCATTTTCACAGTAAGTACAGCTGCATAAATTGCAGTCGTGTGAGATGTTGTATTGTAATTTTCTGTTCTATTAATTACATGTTTTATATCGTGCAGAGAAAGTCCTTAGAGTGAGAGATTTTTTGCGTAGCGTTACCTATATTTTGCAGCAAAAGCACCCGATTAAAAAAAAGTCTGAAGCAGTTTTAAAAATTTATACTCTCATAAAAAGAAGTGTAAATGTTACGACACAATTTTAAGGGTTAAAATTATGATTCATTAAGACTTTATATTTGACTTTGGTGGTGAAAAAGAAAAAAAACGCCAGTGAATTCGCCCATTTCGCCTCATATTGACTCATTTCCTCTCTGAAATCCATAATTGTGTGATTTTTGGCAAAAGCCCGACTTACAGGATCCATGACGCCAGCCAGAGGTGTAGTGTTGGCGTCCTCTCCCGCGTTCGCGATGGATTTCTCCAGGGCCTTGAGGGTCTGCTCCACGGGTGTCCACTCGCCCTTGAGCGCGAGATTGAGCACCTTCGTGGCGGCGTCTCTGGTGGAGGCCCCAGCGCTCTGGGGCTTGGCGGGGGCTGAGTCGCCCTCGGAGCCCTTCTTGTCCCCATCCGACGCCGCGTCATCCTTGGACGTGTCCAGATCGGGCGCCTTCGCGGTTGGCGCCCCCGCGACGTCATCCGCTGCGCTCGCCGCCGCGGCCGCGGCCCTCTTGCCCGCCCCCTTCGGGCCGCCGCCCTTCTTGCCGCCCGCTTGCGACATTCTCAATGGGAAAGTCTTGTTTTGGGGCGCTGATAGAGAATGTTTATGACTTTACATCATTTGCATAGAACAGCAAATATTTCAACCTCGAACACCAACACGCGCTTTTCCCGTATGGATGTTGCCACATATTTTTAACTTCTTGACCACTTAGCGTATTTGTCGCCGATGGGAGCCGCCGAGGGGCTGCCAGTGATGGCTTTTGTGGTGGTATGCCTTTATGAGTGTTATTCTCGGTTGCGGTGCCATTTCCATCTAATTTCGGCAGGTATCCTTGAGGTTTGAACTCCACTAAATCCAAATTGGATCACACTCACATTCACACATAACACTCTTTTACGCCGTTTTTTCACTATGCCACAAGAGCGATGTTACAAATAGAAAAATATTATATAAATGAACACTTGGCTTGCGAAACCGACTTTTTCCAGGTCTATTGGACGCTCTTGCCGACAGGGATTCTCGGTGAAAAGCACTTTTGCTCGAAATCACTTATCTATTAAAATTTATCCAAATATTCTGGGCACTTTGGAATCTCCTGGAGCATTGGAAGGCTGCAGTGTAATGATTCACTATCACGGAGAACTGATGCAATTCGATGTGTAATCCGCGAGTCTAGCTTCACACCACCTTATCAATTTCTTCAGCAATATCCAGTTACGTAGATGGCCTAAAAAGTTGCAAACGACAGGCACACTGGTGAAAGAAATCCTTGAAGTTGAGGTATAATCCAAGAACTCCACTGAGGAGGTGGTAGAAAGTGGTAAAGAAAGTACACTTTGCAGAAAATGGAAGATGAAACTCAATGGTATTGGGTGGAAAAGTAGTGAAAAGTCCCCAGAGTTCTCCACTTTTGATACTTTCCACTGTGCCGCCTCAAAGTAATCTGAGGCTGGTGAATATATGAACAAGGATTTTTGGACTCTTTGGTCTCTGATTTTTGCGCTCGCCTGCTCAAGACATCACCATCGGAACCAACACACACATTATGTTGAAAAGCATGCGCACTCACAATCGCCAACGGTTTTTCTCACAGCAAATCCTTCCTCGGGAGTCCAAAGTTACTCACGAGTCTCGCGAAGGCTCTGGTGGGCCTGCTGTCCCGCCTCCTGCACGTGCTCCTCGAGCGGGTGGCGAGGGAACAGTCTTGGAATGCAGGACTCCGTATCGATTGCCTCGCTTTCAAATGCACCACCAGGTGAACCCCATAAATCTCACGCTGACCACCTTCACACCACTGCTCCACTTCTTCGGCGATGAGAAGAGGCCAGCGGCTCCTGGCGTGATATTCATAGTTACCATGCGAATTTCACTGTTGCTATTATTTTGTTTAATCGAAGAGACCATATATCGAAAAAGGGGTTCTTCACATGAAAGGCATTTCTCCTCCTTTCAACAAAACATTTTCTGCCGGTAAACAACATGCTCGAGAGTAAAAGCTCGCGCTTCTTCAGATTCCAGTCTCTGGAATGTCCAGTTTGCTATGTATGTTGGCGGAGCTTTTCAATGGAATGCGCCATGGCGCTGGATTGGGTGAAAGCTCACACACATGCAAACTTGAGAAGTCGGATTCTCGTGCTTTCCACTGCGGTGAGTGTCTCTGCTAAGTTACGGCGGAATCACAAGATTGCGAATTAAAACAAGAAATCTTGCTTTCAAGACACTTTTTTGATTCATGACAGGAATTACTCATGCCTCAAATTGCCATTAAGAATCAATTATGTGCAATTAGAGAAACGATGGCTGAACTGAATTGCACAAAAGTGATTCCTCTGGCACTAATGATGAAGATTTCGATAAGACTCCTAATTGAATCTTAGACAGTAGTCAAAGAGAAACGTACGCAGACTCTGCGATGTAAGTGCTCGATAAGACTAATGAAAGAGGCTTCTGTTGATCACTTGATATCGACCGTAGAATTCTCTCTCGCTCCCTCCCATTCTCATATTTGAGAATCCACTCGAAAAAGTTAACAGAGCGAAGTCAATGAGGCTAAAGTCAGTTGTCTCGCGCCGAGCATTTCAGTTGCGCGCCATCCTTCGAGCCAAACAAATCTGTGCATCAATCAATTTTGGACTTGAGACTCCTTGAAAAGCGCTGAAGAAAAAAACCGGTTCTCTATTGACTTAACACGTGTAATTTACAAGCACGCCAAATTAAACAATAATTGAGTGTGTGGGAGAAAAGTTGTGAATTGAGCTCAAATATATCACTTTGGAGCATTTCAGACGGCACAAAAGAGGTTAATATATTGTTTCGAGCTGACAGACGGTAGTGAAAGTGAAGTTCAATGTTTTTAAAGTGTTCATCTTACATGTGTTACGTCACATCAGACACATTGATTGGCAATTGAATTGCTCATTAACATAGAGTGTAATTTATGTACATTAGCACTCTAGAGGGAAACTTGCTTCAAGGTGATAAGCATTAAAAGACCATATTTCCAATTGTATTTTCTGGAAGAATCACAGATGTATTAATTTTCTCGTGGACTGTGAAGAGAGAGAAAAATCTTTATACACAACATTTGGCGGCATTCATTGTTCAACCACGCATAAAAACGACAAATCTGGGTGTGAATAGCGCATTGGAGCAGAGTTTTAAGAATGGGAAACGCTTGCTCGTGTTGCAAGTGTAAATGTGGCTCTTTCAAGACGCTCTGGTCACCAAATGAAGGCAGATCGGCGGATATATACCTTCCTCCAGCGCATTTGTCAACGACCGACAAAGACGAATTAGGTGTGTATATTTAACAAATATTTATTTAACATGATGTGCAAAATTCTTCTGAAATTATACAAATGGTCAATTTCCTATAAATAGAAATCAAAGTTCAAAATAACACTTTCCAACTGTGCTTAACACACTTGATAGTCTGATTATTATTATTTTCAAGATTATTTTTATTGTTATGTGGAAAATAACAGAAATCTGGCGATTGTGCAAGTTGAGATGAAATTCCCAAGCTATGAATAACGCACCGAAGATCATTTATGACTTCAGTGAGATCTTCTGACGGCTTTTGATTCACGCACTCGTGGGTTAATATATGATATTTCGACGAAACGCTGACCTCGTCAATGAACTTGTAAACATTGATTCGCGTTGCTGAAGCAGTTTCTCTGGAAAAATATGCAACCACAAACTGAATCCTGATTTTGTGGTAGCAGAGGGACAGTCTTAATTGAGTGATTAAGCATCCATGACTAAAGTATCCGCGGAAAACCCTGTATGAATATTCCTAATTGAGTGAATTGTCCAGTGCAATGATTTCATTGTCAGCGGAAGCAGCGATAAGTTTCTTACGTATTTAATTGTTGAGTCCGTTTTGCTGGGCCGAAATTTGAATCAGATTTTTTAATTAGAATTATACTAATTTCCTCCCACTTTCGTCACGACAGTCACTCATGTCGGATTTGCTGCACTAAGTCTAATCCCCATTCCATCAACCGATCCGCAGCTTCTATTGCTGTGTCGCTTATGAAAGCGATCAGTCTTTGCTTGGATTTGCCAGTGCGAAGAAGTGCTGTGAGCAGTGAAGATAGAAAATCTCTCTCTCTAAAGTTTTGTGCTCACTTCCCATCATTTCCCATTTTCTTTTGTGAAAATTCCCCGAAGTGGTATTGCTTATCTAAATGTGTGCCGCCGTTAGCCATTGGTTCAGTGACTTCATCCCTCGGAGATTCTATCGTCGACGACCACGAATTTATGGAATTGGACGAGGAAATGTCCATCTGCCAATCTCTCGATACTGTAAATACTCTTCCAATATTTCGCATTTTTCCTCTCGACCTCAGCAAAAGTGCCTTTGCGACTCAATTACGTTCACAATTTCCATGCATAGAGTGAAAAGCCACCCACACGAAACGCCTCTCATGTGTGAATAGATTTAATTGTGTCTATTTTTACTGTCATGGATAGATTGAGCCAGTGAATTTTGAATCACTCATAATCGGCATACATACTTAAACTATCAACGAGGCTGTGATTTGTGATAGTTCTAGTAGATCACTCATCACCTGTTTCGCAAATTCCAGACGTCACGGAGATGAAAGCACTTTTTCAGCGCTCCGCGTAAATGGTTTACTCTGTCAAAATCAATTACGAAGTGGAGCAAATGTTGAAAACCTATTTCGTCACAACTCTAAGACAGTAAATTTAATTTCACTGCCACATTACAAACTGTTGCACGCATGGAGCGATATTGAAATTAATGTTCGGAGATTTTAATTCCTAAAATTTGGCGATACTTTCCTAACTCTTGAGCAGAAATTCAAACTCCTTGGCTTTTCATTTGGTCATACATCTCCAGAGTGGACAAATAAAGAAGTGAATAAATGTGTTTGAATAGGGGAGAGTTAGCTTGTTTCGAACAGAAAACACACAGGAAAACTCGGGTCTGAATCATTTTCCATTGACTGTTCCAAAATGGTTCGCTTTCTGTATCACACAGCAAAATTTTTATATAAACCTCATTAGAGATTTTGCATGAGCTTGAACAGCCTCTCAGCGCGAAAGATTGGAGGCAATTCGAGAATTGCCCAAGGACACGGACAGCAGCCGTGAATCTGTTGATTGTTTACCCAAGACGTATAAATAGCGCTTAAAGTGTAGTGTGTAAATTGCATAATCGTGTTATTGTTTGTCGATTGATTGAAGAAAGGTATTTCATGCTAATTGCAGATTCGCCTGGGGACGGAGGCGATGTCTTGACGGTTCGTCATGTGGATCTGTGCCTGGAGCAGAATGGCACGTCTCACCATACGAAGCGCTTCGAGTTGATGCAACGTGACGCGGTGCCAGGTGAATCCGCTCAGCTTGTCATCCGTCGTGGGCAGCCTTTCCGGCTGCGCATTGCCTGTCACCGCCCATTCGATCGCACCCGCGATAGTCTCAGCTTCGCATTCACGGTGCACGATGAGAACCGCCCGGGTCACACTCACGGATCTGCCCTCAAGTTCGGCACGAATGATCTGGGCGATGCGCACGAGTGGGGAGCGACGGTGAGTCAGGTGAACGGGGATATATTGGATGTCCTGGTGAAGGCGCCGGCTTCTTGTCCCGTCACACTCTGGCGAGTGGACATCGACACGAGACTTCAGCACAGCGGGTCGCGCGTCTTCACTTTCCGCCAACCCATCGTGGTCCTCTTCAATCCGTGGTGTCCAGACGACGAAGTCTACATGGCAGAGACGCATCTGCTGGAGGAATACGTCTTGGCAGACACAACTCTCATCTGGCGAGGATCTTACAATCGCCTCAGGCCTTCTGTGTGGAAACTCGGCCAGTTCGACAGGCACGTCCTGGAGTGCTCCTTGGCAGTCATTGCCGAGGTGGGGAAAGTCAGTGGGATTCATCGTGGAAATGCCGTTCGGGTGTCGCGAGCTCTCGCGGCTGCCGTGAACTCTCCTGACGACGATGGCGTTGTGCTGGGCAACTGGAGTGAGGACTTCTCGGGTGGAATCGCTCCCACCAAGTGGGTGGGATCCGTGGAAATCCTGCAGAAGTTCTACAAGAAGAGGAAGCCAGTGAAGTTCGGCCAGTGCTGGATTTTCGCAGGAGTTCTCACTACTGGTGAGTCAATGATTTCTTCTGTAAAAACAATTAGAATTCTGTGCTTACTTGTCTCATCTTTCTCGCAATAGTTGCTCGCGCTCTGGGAATCCCAAGCAGGATCATAACTAATTATGCATCCGCTCATGATACGCACTCTTCCATGACTGTGGACTACTTTGTGAATGAGGAGGGAAAGGTGATGGAAGAGCTGAATGCGGACTCCATCTGGAACTATCACGTGTGGAATGAGGTGTGGATGGAGCGTTCAGATCTGGGCTACGGTCCATCCGGATCGTACAGTGGATGGCAGGTTGTGGACGCCACTCCTCAAGAGCTCTCCGATCAGATGTATCGCTGCGGTCCGGCTCCTGTGAAGGCGGTGAAAATGGGCGAGATAACAAAGCCGTATGATTGCGATTTCGTCTACTCCGAGGTGAATGCGGACAAGCTCTTCTGGCGATACTCAGGCGTAAATCAGCCACTAAAGCTGCTGCGAAAAGATGTTCTGGGCATTGGGCACTTCATCAGCACAAAGGCAGTGGGTGAATGGAAGCGTGAAGATATAACAACGTCGTACAAATTTGATGAGAAGTCCGACGAGGAACGAGCAACAATGCTGAAAGCTCTCAAGCAGGCGAATAGTGTCTACTCACGGTATTATCTCAATGAGGACTTCAACGATATATACTTCAACTTTGAGTTGCGAGACGACATTGTCATAGGGCAGAATTTCACGGTGGTTCTCGAGATGAAAAATCGATCAAGCAGAAAAACTCACAGAGTGGAAGGAACGCTCCACATTGACACGGTGCTGTACACTGGCAAGCGCAGTGAGCCAATTAAGGTGGTGCAGTTTCAGCGGGAGTTAAAGCCAGGAGTCACGGAGATTGTCCGCGATGAGGTGGTCTTCAGTGAGTACTATGGCAAACTCCTGGACCAATCGGCCTTCAATATCTCTTGTCTGGCCTCAGTGAAGGACACTGAGTACGACTACTTCGCCCAGGATGACTTCAGAGTGCGAAAGCCCGACATCAAGATCACTTTCCAGGGAACTCCAGTGTCGCGGGAGAGCGTGAGTGTGATTCTACGCCTGAAGAATCCCCTGCCGATGCCACTGAAGAAGGGCGTCTTCCACGTCGAAGGCACAGGTCTGGATCGTGCGCTGGAGTTCAAGATTGCTGAGGTGCCTGTCGATGGAACAGCAGCCGCAACGTTCAAATACACTCCGCCGTTCGCTGGACGCGGAGCTTTCGCTGCCAAATTCACATCCAAAGAACTAGATGACGTCGATGGCTTCCTGGCCTTCGAAACTCAGCCACGGCCAGAAGATGTCATCATGACGAATGGAAGTCATCCGGGCATGAATGACATCATAGTCAGAAGGGATGTTATCCCGTAAACCAAAATTGCCAGAGATACTCTTCTTGTGAAATGTATCTGCCAAATGAGCTTCAAGAGCTTTTCCAAGATATAAAATTAATTTAAAAAAATGGCCATGCGATAGCTTTCTTAATGACACTAAACCATGCAATTTGTACGCTTTTTTTATATGACAAAAAAATGTATTGATTAGAAATAAAGAGTTCTTATTTACGAAAGATCTAAAAATTTCTTTAAAATCTCATTACAGTTGATTCGAAGTAATTCTTGTTTATATACAAAATATATGTGCTAAAAGCTGCAAAATCTCTACTGAATTATGCTTCAAGTATTCTTTCCAGTTTTCAATCTTTTATTTATTCACATACAATCCCAAGTTCTCTCTTATGACTTCTCTCCTCTTAATCCTTTTAATAAACTTGTAAGATTTATAATCATAATTACAATATACTTTAAAGGTAGTAGTTGAAAAAATCATTGAGTTCTTCTCAAAAATCCAACGTAAGCAGTGTTTCTCTACACATATTGAAGTTGAAAAATAAAAATGAATGAAAAAATGGCTCTTCTTCTTCTCCAAAGAAAGAAAAAAGAAAAACACTTCAATTCACAATATCCTACGCACTCTCTAATCTCAGAAATGTGAAACAGACTCTGAAGAGTTAATAGAAATAATTTAGGGATAGAAGAATCTAAAAATTGTGAAAAAGTACGTTTGCTAGATTTAAGGATTTTTCTTGTGTTAAAATTTCTAAGAAAGTCAATCTGCTGAGAATATTTAAAAATACTTGCTATGTCAAATTTTTTTCAATTTATTATTTTTGTTCTGATTTTATTACAATACTCTCATCATTCATCTCCAATATAATGTCTATGGATCAAGCTTTTTATTTTTTTTTCACTTCTCTTCTTTTTTTTCATAATTGGACGTTCATTAAATATTTATGTTTCCTTTATATAAAGTTCTTGTTTTTTTTCTATCGTATTTACGTGACTGTTATGTCATTGTATTTTTTTTTTATTTATTCTCTCTCTATAATCTCTCCTGATTTACTTTTTTTCTGATTAAGATACTTATCATTGTTTGTCTCTTAATATGTTTCACTACATTCCTTAATATATTGACTCATTTTTCCCGGATGTAATACCAAAAAAACATAAAGGGATTTTTTTCTTTCTTTTTCTCTTGAGAAGGAAGACTTTACAGTACAATTAAAAACTGTATCCCTTCCAACCAATGTGTTTGTCTTTGTCAAAATTAAATACATTTCCCATGAACGACTGTAATGAAAAGGGTTTTCCATTTCAATGTTGAGTAGGTAAGCGGTTTAAAGTGTAAATGCAATTAGGATTTTTGCCATTGTTTTTCTTCATTTTTACTATATTTACAACAGACTCTCCATGTAACGTCTTTTGCCTCAGCTTCGCATGCTTCATGAATATAAAAATAAAATTAATGGTTTCTTTTTTCACAAGTTTTGCCTTTACAGAAAAATCATAGTAGAAAATCATACAAAAAAAAAGTCAAATGAGATTCATTCAGTTAGACTATAATGATGTGCATGTATGTTCGTCGGAAACTCTTTTACGTCTTTTTTCATAGTTTATTTTGAGGGACTTCGCGAAGAAGCCAAATATATATATTTCTACTTACAAAATAAAGTATGAACATACACACTGAAACAATTGTATCGTGTTTATATTATCTATAGTCCAATAATATGAGGAAACATATCAGATACCTGTTTATGATTTAATAATGATTTCTTCCTTCGCGTCTCACTAAATTTATTTATTGTATGTGGCTAGTCAATATGTTTTCATTTTCTTCACTTCTTTTTCTTTTTTAGTATAATTTATTACTATACTATACCTCTTGTATGGCTACAAATATCTAAAAATTATTATATTGTATAATTTATTTAATTCATAAACCCAGTTTAGTCTCTGTCACATGGAGACGCATTTCTTTCACTCTTTCCATTTTTCTTTTGTCATGAGTCTCTTCTACAAAAACATTAAAACAACAATGAAGTTCACTATAAGTTGTGTTGTAAATTAATTTTGTCTCTCATTCTCACAAAAAAATTGTCTCACTGATTGAATATCGTGTAAACTATTCTCTTTGCAATTTTTATTAGTATTTAATCTTTTTTTCTTTTAATATTTGTATAAGAGTGAATTACTCACATTTTGTGTTGTCTATTTTGGGCTAAGAATTTAATACCATTCCACTATTTTCAAATATTTCCGTGGCCGTTTAATATTTGGACGCCTGATTGTCGAGTCGGCCTCACTTTCCATCAATTTCCCCTTTATTTCGCTGTCCAGTTCACACGGACACAAACTATTTTGGACTGTCTGAACCGAACAGTGATTTCAAAACTCTATTATTCTTCACCAGAATGCAATCAGTATAAATTCTCTTCCATGCAAATGCCACAATATGAATATATTCTAATATATCCTTTCCTCAAAATAGGACTACATATTTTATCATCTCTCTTTTTTACCTTTAGATTTCTTTTTTTTTACGAAAAAATTGAACTTTTACTGTCTATGGAATTTACATTTTTCTTTTTGCTCTACGTTGAGAATTTATTATTAAAGATTGTTGATCTTCACTGCGGATTTTTTTTTCCTTCCAATTTTCCTTCTTATTATAATCACTGTTGCACTATAAAATCACATTTATAATTATTTCTCATCAATACAAACTGTGTGTTTTTATTTTCTCCATTTTATATCGTAGACTTATTGATTCTTTTTTAATCCCTTTCTATTGCACAGATTAAACAAAATTTTCCTTTGTTCACCAAAACATTTTGCATACTTTTGTCACATGCGGATTTTTTAAATATCCTTGACATTTTCACTCTTTCTGTCCCTTTTTTCAATCGGTTAACAGTTCATTTCCTGCAACATGTCATTCTCAATTTTTTTTCAATTATCCTCTTCCTTTCTTGCATCAATATCGTGTTTCGAACGTGAAACCGTTTGCATTTTTTCCATGTCTTCCTTCGGATGATTGAAAACGACATCTTCGCATTTATGCTCGAAATCTCATTTGCATCTCTCCACAGTAAACTTACATTAGATGGTAATTTCTAATTTAAAATACAATAGTTATACATGTCTTCTTTTCGTCCCTCTACACACATTCTTAAGTTTTATCAAAGATCAATTTTTTTCCTTTTTGTATGCTTTCTCATCATCCTTGACTCACTTTTTTTTTCCTCAATAATCAAAAACTTATTATGTACACTTAAAAGGTTCCTTTTTCTCTTTTTTTATTACTATTGCTAGAGGACACGGACTCACTTTCCACCCATCAATGTGTCACTCTCTCTCTCTCCTTGCTTATTGTACGTCCCTCTACCGCGGATTACCGTCGGTCGTGTCTGTATTATTACTGCGCGCCTCATATTCCATCACCTCCTGATAGATGAGTTCCTTCCATTGCTCAACAGTGTGCTCACGCTCGTCAACACTGTGATCATATGGACCAGGAGCCGGCTGTCGTGAGAGATTAATCTCCTTCAGTCTCACTTGATTAGCTTCAAATAAGGCATAAATTGTACTCACCGCGTTCACTTCACTCTCGTCATACCACACATTTATGTAACTATGGACTAAAGCTTGATCCACCGAAATTCTGTGCTCGGGATCCACGACGAGCATCTTGCTGAGCAGATCCCGCGCCTGACTCGCCCTCAAGCGACTGTGCTCGCTGGAGTCACTCGGAAAGAGGACGTCCGGGAAGAGTTTGTCGAACTGATAACCGGTATATCGTGGCCTATTCTCCACATAGTTGCGAACAGTTGGCTGAAGACGAGCCATGAAAGACGCCGACGGTGTGCCAAGTTGCTCTGCAAACCACCAAAGACACCATTGAATTGTTTTTTTCACGCGATAATCTAATTCTCAGAAAGGCTTTATATCTCAAATTGCGATGATTTTGCAACTCAATAAAACGTGGGATGTTTAAATGTCATCCATGATATTTACTCAAGGGGAAAACAAATTAATTCCTCCGCTTTTTCTGAAAGTCACCCAGCAACTCACCTATAATCTTGTTCCACTGATCAATGTGATCTGTTCCAGGGAAAAGAACACCTCCACGAATCATCTCACCCATTATACAGCCGACAGACCAAATGTCCACGTTCTCGTGATATCCCATGCCGAGAATCACTTCCGGTGCCCGATAGTACCTCGTGACGACATAAGGTGTCATCATGAATGTCGTGCCAGCTGTGCGAGCCAATCCAAAGTCTAAGATTTTTAATGTACAATCAGACTTGACCACAATATTGGATGGTTTCAAATCCTGCAAAGAAGCACAACAATCATCAGTGAAACTGGCAAAAAAAACTTGCTTTTCTGGGGAGGAGAATTAATCTTACTCTGTGTATTATTCCCGCCGAGTGGAGATGCTTTATTCCACACAGCATTTGATATAGCAGATATGACATTCGCTCGTGATCCAGGTCCATCTGAATAACCTGGCAGAGGTTTGCGTCCATAAGCTCCATGACCAAATAGACATCTTGAAATTCTTCAAGTGTGCGCTGTGGCGTGAATGCATTTAGCAGACCAATGATCTGGAAGTGATAATAATTCATTTGGTATTTTTCCCTCTCAGTCCTCACAATCATGTCAAATAAGCGATGATATAGACTTTCATAGTTTGCTAATTTAATTGTCAATCCAACTACTTTATCCAACACATTATATTAAAAATGTAAACTTACATTTTTGTGATTGACTAATTTCATAAGTTTGAACTCCCTGTAGGCTCTTTTGGCATGTGTGACATTCTGAAAAGGTCTCGACAGCTTTTTGATCGCCACATTTTGCTGGGTCACTGTATCATAAGCAGCACTGCAATAATAAATCACAGCACATATAATCCAAGGCTATGTGAGAATCCACTTTGTATTCAATACACTCTCCTCCATGTTATGTGCAATTATTGGGGAAAAAAAAGAGTGTGAAAGAAAAATCCACGAGAGGCAATTCTGCATGCAGGAAAAACAACAGAGACTAAACACACTAAACAAACACAGAGATTTAATAATGTTAATTGCAACACCATCGAAGCATTGTACAGTGCAGAAGGGATGCTCTCTAGGTAGGTGCTTTGTGTGGAATAAACTTTCAGATGATATCCTCTCTCTCTCTCTCTGCGAAATTTGAATAAAAACATGAAACGTTTTCTGTGACACAGGGATAATAAAATTACCGACTCGTAAATCTAATCGTGTACAATTTCACACGCAACACTGAATAATCGGTCGGCTTGCAGGAGTTAAATTTAATTATGATGAAGGGAAGCACTTGGTGAGACTTGTCAGTAACTGCGAAAATATTTATTTTAGTCAAAGGTTTGTGATTTAGGTTTCTTCACATTCCATGTGGTTAGGGGATTATTTTGCATCATATAATAGTGGACCCTTCCATCTCGGAGTTAATCATGATAACATATTTAACTGTTTTAGATAGGAAAGGCTTGACTATTTGTAATTGAGTTATAAGTATATTTAATCTTTATTGTATACATTTAAAAGGTGGTAGATTTTTAATTATTTCATTAAAAAAAATCCCTCTCCTCTTCTTTACAGGATTGATTTTTCTTATAGGAAAATAGGTCATTGTACTCACCAAACGGTCCCTTGTGCCCCCAAGCCTCTAGCTGTTAGTCCAACGTACCGATTAGGTACTTCAAATTCAGTATCGCCAAATTGATATCTTTGAAATACGACTTCTCTGCTCATTTTGCACATCCACTATGACACGATATTTGTGATGTGGAAAAGGAAATTAAGCAAAATTCTATTGCAATTGCCACCGATGAATCCGATTTCCGACAGGACGTTCCCGCTGAATCCCTTGGGTATTTCTCTATCCGTTTTCTTTTCAATGGCAACCACTAAAGACTGCATATAAGATTCGGGCCTTTCCTATACTTTCTCTCTCTCTCTCTTTCTCTTTCTCTAGTGATATTGCAGAAGTCTTGTATCTCTAGTCACTGCTCTTAATCGCAATATGACTCTCAACGGAAGCTCAACTACACCACGACACATTAAGTACTAAAAATCAAAATAATTGTGCAAATACAACATTAATAATAAAACAAAATTCATTGGAAACAGAAAGTGTGATAGATGATAAGAATTTTCATAACTACAACATATTTTGCTCTATGTAAACATGCTGAAAACGTGCAAAAAAAAAGTGCTTTTCTAACTATTCCTACAGAATACACCAATTTTCTCTGTACATTAAGGAAAAAAAGGATCTAATTTATCTCTAAATACGTAATTTAATTAGTTTAGATTTTGTGTTTGAACATTAAAACCACTCTCGTCAAGAGTGTGAAGATGAAACTAATTATTCAATCATTTAGGAGGAAAAATTAAGCTAAAAATGCAGAGCTTAATTTTTCTTCCCTCAATCAAATGTATTTCCTAGTGATTTTATCCATGTTTGGATTGATTGGAAGGACAGTTCGTTAGGCACAAGCACTGAAGCATGGAAGTATAGTGAAAGACAGCTTCAATTTTACTCACAACTCACTACTAAGAACCTATTTTGACAGCATGAATCTTGTCACTCACCAAACTATGCCCTGAGCTCCAGAACCTATGGGCTTCAAATTCTGATATCTCTTCAGGATTGTGAATTTAGTATCACCCACCTCGACGGTGTAAAGGGCGTGACGTGAACTCATGTTGATGTCACGAAGTACAATGCTGATTCGATATTAAATCTTATTATTGTCTGAAAGAAAAGAATAATTGAGAACACATTGAGATTTTCCATAAAATTCCACCCAGAGAATAATTTGATTTACATTAATCAGGTACATTTGGTTTAAAAACTTTCAAACAATGCAATATCCGCGTTGAGAGAAATTTGCGTAAATATTGACTATACCACGAATTAATAACGAATATACAGAAGAAAAACTTACCACGCGATTGAACTGAGTCATTGTGTCTACGAATTTTCTTCTGTCTGTTAATTTTAACTCGTGACGATTTCTATCGTGCAATCTTATCTCGTGTTATTCGCCAAGATAAAATATACACAGAAGTTTTCCGAGAAAAAAGGCCCAATTTTCACTTAAAGTCTCGGCACTAATTGTATTGGTGTTAATGGCAAGAAAGAGGCGAGCAAGAATTGTAAGTTACGTCTTCACTCAGTGACTTGTGAAGTTGAAATAAAAAAGTAGCCGAAGAGCTGATAATGCTATTCCGCCCGACAAGCCGTCTTCATTCATTCACAAATAGACTGATTCACCTTGTCATCGTCACTGTTGGTCGTGACGTATTTAAGATGAGTAATTCTTCTCGCACAACGTGCCATTTCATGTTATCAATCACACGAACATCAACAACGATTTATTGTGTTTAAGATATGTTCACTTACTGCCGGTCTATTTATAAACTGCAAAATCATACGGCAAAGAAACAGTTTAGAATTATGTTAATTATAACAAGGGTGTCAAGAGCTTAAGCTAAACCACTCATAAATTAATCTAACTCGCCTTAAAGCAGAATAATATTCGGGCTTATCGCACAAAATGGTTTCGCGAGCTAACGAGAATTTTTTCTCATTCGTCTAATTACGATGATTCATTCACTCGGACTATCTTGGATGGAAAGAAAAGTGCCTATTGTTTTTTCATTAGCGCGTCTTATCATGAAACATCGCCGAATAATTGTCGGAATTCGGATGTGAGAAATGTGATAAGTTCTGATATTACTTGAGATTTCGCACAGAGTATATTTAGGTATCCAAGAAGGTGAAAGACACTTGTTAGGGTGACTTACCATAATGTGCTATATCCCATAGTATTTTCTCAATGCTTTTGAGTAACACTATATACTGAAACAAAAAAAGAAAGGACGTCTTTAGAGACTTAAATCAAAGCTTTCCACTATTATTAATTCAAAATCTACATTATGAGAAATTCCACACGATGGAAATTTTCCCGGTATTTATTATGAATATTGAATATTACATTATTCAATTCAAATTGATAGTGTAAAAAAAATCTCTCGAAATAATACCACTGCAGAGTTTAGCGCTCACAGACCGGATATTTACCATTTGAACTCATTGGCATTATCAACTATTTACAATCCGCAGAGCAATCAATAAAATAGAAAACGACTGTGTGGAAAAATGTGGTTAAAAAAAGCGCCACAATGGAAAAGCGGAAGAAGGAAAAATGACAAGAAATCCCAATATAATTCTCCGTGGTGTTGGTACACCAGAGCAGCCCCAGCTATTGTGAATGCTCAATCGATATTTTTATATTTGAAAAATACTCTCTTCATCATCCCGTGCAGAAATAATGCGACACAGAAGGTTATTACAGAAAACAACCCCACCAGATTGAGGGAAATGCTCGGAAGTTCTGCTCGCGACTGCACGCTAAATGGGAGTGAATTGTGTGTGTCTGATGTATTTGGAGAAGTGTGAAAGGTGGAGAAATAATGGGTATGAAGGCGTCATGGGGTAGAAAAATGCTATCTTATTAAATGCTAGAGTGAAAAGAAGTGCAAACATTTTGGCATATAATGTATCCCACCATATCCATTTGCGCAAGTCAATATTCCGAATATTCAAATATAATAAGGACACTGAGACGAGAGTGGTGTACACAAGAGTGTGAGAACACACAAGAGTTAAATTTGCCAAATAAAGCGTTATTTTAATCCTTTTCCCCTTTCACTGTGCGCGACTGTTACTATACGGAAAATCTTTTTCCACCATGTTATCGTCTCACATATCTATGTCTCTATATGTAAATTCGTGACCATATATGCGGAAAAACCACTAATATACATGGAAACGCTCACAGTTATCGCACTACCTTTCTAGAGATTGCTTTTCTTTCTCTCTCAACCACTTTCCAACACTCCTTTCAGCTTCTGCTAGAGTCAATATTTTTATGAGTGTAATTTCTATCCTTCCACTGACGATTCTCCTTTAGCTGCCCAGTGGAGAATTAAACACAAATATTCTCTCGCATGCACATTTAAAACCATTCCAATTAACGATAGCCGTTCTCTGGCACAATATGACAGCCAACTCACAATGAATAATATTTTCTTTCAATTCACACTACATACAATATATATTCTGTCCAGCAGAACAATCATATTTAGCCACAGAGTAGCAAAAGTACACAGATTTTCCTCTATTCATATTATTTCGGCACACACAGCGAAATGTTGCACTAGAAAATTAAATTTTCCACATCCCAGGATAATGGTGGAAAAGGGAAAATGTAACGTCAATACTCTATTTATTGCGACTTATGCACCATTTAAAGTTGCCTCCCAGTGAAGGAAGTCCGCTCACCCCAAAAGTGTAAACGATTAGAGAGACACACAAGCACTTGCAGAGAATATGTTGTAAAATAGTGAAAATTCTACAAGAAATTGCCGGGACTTGAGCGGTGAATTCCGCAACACTCGAGAGAAAATAATTCACTTTAACACACGACGACGACGCTTTTCACACAATTTCCACACTACAATTTTCCTCCCTTCATAACGCAGCCGAGTGCTATATAATTTCCATCAAACACCCCTACTTTGCCCAACCGACTCTCTTCATCTAGTGAGAGAGGAGCGCGCCTTTCTCTCCGGAGTCTCCACACACATTTTGGGCCATATTCTCCCGATTATTATTGTCACGAGATTTCTCTTTTATGTCTAACAGACACCAATGTAAATGGGGTATAAAAGCTATTCACATATTCTGCCATCGCACAAATACACTCCGCGGCGAAGTCACTCTTCTTGGGGGAGGAAATTTTCCCTGAGAGTGCGAGAGACAGAGAGAGAAGAGCGCCAACGCATGCGCCAGCAGACAATTCCGGTGTTATATAAACGTGTGACTTTTATCATCATTCACCGGGGGATGACGTCAGAGGGGTCGATCGATTTTCAAACAGGGTGGCAAAATACACTCTTCCACATCACTTACACTCAGAGAGACCACACACGGGCCAGAGTGCCTATAAATATAATATGCGGGAAGGTATGGCGGAAAAATTAATAGAAGGAGCAAGACACTGAATACATTTGCATATCGATGGCCTTAATCCATCACGAGTCCGTGCGATGATCGGAGAGTCTTAAAAATCACCCTGCCAAAGGCCAGGCGATGCTCAACACGAGGAAGGGCAAGAGATTGAACTCAGCTAAACGACCCCCAACTCCTAAATACCCAAAAAAAACCCCCATTCAGCTGCATTGAGAAATGGGAAAGACATAAAAGGAAATGCTCTGGTTGGCTCGCTGCCGCCACTTGGCAATCATTAACATTGAATCCAGAGGGTGCCAAAAAGAAACATTTTACGGGGACTCGCATAATGGACACTTTGCCTTAATTTTTCAGACATCTTTTCATCCAATTGCCATTTTCCCCATACATAAATGATGCAATGACGTTGAGCAATACTATATTGGGAATAGTGATGAGATGATGATAAGCAATTGCTGAATAATGAATACATTTTTAACCACGCGCAGTGATTAATCGGAGTGTAAGCGCTATAATGCAGCAGTTGAGGAAAATGCGTGCAATACCGCAGATTATTTTCTACATGAATGGCATAGGAGAGTCTCTGCAAAGTTTAACGATTCATCTGCGCGTCCGCGGGCCTGAAGGGAATGCGGCGCCAGAATCTCAGGACTATTCTCAGAACGCTTGTCTCGAGGCGAAAGTGGTCATGCTTGTCGGTGAAAATGTTTGCGTTTCTTCGCCCGAATTTTATATCCTGCCCGAATGAGTCCCAAACAAGGGGTGACCGGGTGATCAATAAATACACCACGCCCACCCACACACATCAACGTGGCGACTCTCTGTGAGAAGGCGCAGATCGATGGAGTCTCACCCTTTTTGGCTGGGGTGCCAAAAGGGAGCAGCACCGTTCGAGGGGCCGACCACTGCTACCCAGCAATGACACACATATTCCGCCAACCCCTTCGGCCAGTGCAACTCCCGTGCACTCTCCAGCGGTCACTGGCGCGGGCGTGCGACCGAAAATTGACGCAGCAATGGAGCAATGTCGCTTGCAATCTCTGCTGGCCGATTGACTAACCGGAAAGTTGACGGAGTGCCTCTTCTCGCACAAATCGATGACACACCGGCCACGAGAGATTTTCTCCGCTCCCAAATGCCGAGAGAAAGGCCGACTTTTCCGCCCGCAATCCTCGAAGGATCGCCTCCGATTTTCAAATTTCACACTGCACACCCTATAAGTTATCGATCCTTGCAGAAATTGCACCGAAATAGCCTTATTGGGCAATTTTTTTCCCCCAAATACTGTGGGTGGTGCAAATTTGCACATCACATTTTCACTTCAATCTCCTCCTCCTCATTTTCATCCTCCAACCACAGCAATGCCGCAAGCGAAAAGACAATTTAGGAGCTTTGAGAAGTAACAAGGTCTCATTAAAAGGACATTTTCTTGCATGTTTTCACGGTGCAAAAAGGTAAAATTGTGACAGCTGAAGTCATCTACATGAATATCCAGGGACTGGCGATTTTGTTTTTCCCACACACAATAGACCGTGCTTTACTGCATTTTGCCACTTACCCATGGAGTACACAATACGTAGAAGAGAATGAAGTGTAGTTTTTTGAGTTGTATCACTTTAAATCACACCAAAATGCAAAAAATTTGCTACACACAAAACATGAACGCATTGATTGACAGAAGTGGTACTTTTGTCACACGTCCATTGACGTTCCGTTTTTCACTGCATAGAAACCCGTCAAAGGCACTGTTTCTTCTTGCATGCCAGTGACCCAGTGCAAATTTCTACCGATAGTCCGATGGAAGTCGATAGAAAGCATTAGAATGTCGGCGGAGTGTCTTATGAGGCTGTAAAATCGTCCTAAAAAGAAGATTTATGAAATCGTAATAAATAGAAAGAATAAAAACTACTTAAGGGATAAATTTTTATTTTAGTATAATATATGCAGATATATTTTACACGTGATGATCTTTTGAATATCTTGAATAAATATTAGATTTGAACGATTTGAAGGTCAAATTTTTCTTTGGCCCTAATCTTAATGATATGCATGATTGCAGCATAAACAGCGTGACTAAAAGGTGTTGCAATTTATGAAAAACTTTGTACCATCAATAAATTAACTTATTATTGTTGTATTGATGATTGAAGCGCTGTTAAGAGTACTTCAACTTGTAAAACTCATCACAAAAGTGGCATTAAAAACGACACATGATGAAATGTGAAATTCCAAACTATTATTCGCTCTTGACGTAATTGATAACCTAAAAGCGGCGCTAATAGCAATAACACTGAACAAAATACAGAAAAAGCGTTCTGAAATTCTACTCCCACAAAAAGTCGTAGCATAGCAATACTTAATACATAATGTGATGAGCATCATAGTTGTGAAAAATAATGAAGTTTCAGCAAGATTGTAGTTTATCGCCTTTCATTGCGGGTCAATGAATTAAAATTTCCTTACTCAATATTTCGTGAGGCGAAAGGCGAATTAATAATTTCGGAGATAAGAAAATTCTCAGCCCACTTTTCTCTATATATGCATAAAAATCGGCAAATAAATACTATAATAGCAATTTTATTGTTACTCACTGAGAGGAAATATCAGTGAGAAAATTGTTATTTTCCTTTCAAACATCGATAAATAACATGTTTCTTGACAAACCACCTTTGCCACGGTGTACTTAAGTGTATAGATTTAAATTAAATCATCCAATTGCCACATGACGTTCGTCGGTAACTTCTAAATATGCAGTCTTTATTATTTTCTATTACTTTGTGTTCAGTGGACTTTCGATAGGGAACACGATGTATAAGTAGGTGTCGATGAGGCATTATACTGTAGTGAGGAAAATAATCAAGAAAAGCCCATGATCGCGCAACGTTCGCTTTCCAGTTTGCCTTCAACTTGAGTCCCGTGAAGTTGTATTTCTTCACTCGCTCTTGAAATTTCGTACGATGAACATCAACATCTGCCTCTCACGAATTCCACACTTGAGCTGAGCACAGAATTGTATCGAGTGCGCATTGTTTCCTCGGAAGTTGATTCAGTGACAAGTGAATTTGGTGGTTTTTTGTGTAGAAAAAATAATTCATGAAATTGCGTAAGTGAAAAGTTGTTAATTAGGCATTTTCTTGTCACCATACGGCTTACAAGTTGTGACGAAAAAGAAGAAAGGAATGGAAATTTTGTATACAACTTTATTCACTGGCTGAATACATTACATTGGACTCAGTGACAGCGATAAATTCATTTCTTTTTCTTTTTTAAAAGACTATTACGATAAGAAAAAAATCAGTGAACTTCTTTTTCGCCTCTTAATATGAAATAGAAGCAATAATTACAGATATTTAGAAGATCACAGGAAACACCGTGTGATCAGTTTAGCACGAATGGCAAAGACAACTTGTAAGAAAGTCGAATAAAAAGCTTCATCACAATCGCAAGGCAATATCTATCGTGTTTATTTCTATTGAATGCTTCTGGGAATGTGTGCAATTCTAAAAACGTTTAGTGCAAAAAGTATTATAATTGCTGACTTTCAAGTGTATGTGCTTCTTCAAATTGCATTTGAGCTTTGCAATGTCCTACTTTAAAAAGTACTAATCAAGACCTCAATTTGAAGAGAACCTGCCTTGGGCTTTTTAATAAAAATTTGTAAACCAACCTCTTGAATTACTTCTCTTAGAGTTCTTTAGTGCAGTTAAGTATACGCGAAATTTCCATATTAAAAATATGCATCTTTGCAATTTTCAGATTATACAGTAGATTTTCTGATTGGAGTAATAATAATAATACCTACTGAATATTCTTGTGAGAAAGGAAATTTTTCACTTGAATATTGCTCAGCGACGATTAAGATAGCAATCTATACTTAATCACACACACTCCGCGAATTGTACATATCTACTGATATCACTTTCTCAGATAATGATGGTCTTAAACATCCATCAATTAGCCAATGTAGCATACAAGTTGATGCCAGGAAGTGAAACGCACGTGTGACCGTTGCTCCGTAACATACGTCAAAAAATGTGAGAGAATTAGTTCCAATGATCCCTGATAAAAGAAAGAATGTGGCAAAAGATGAATTAGCAATAAGTCACATTAGAAGACCATTCATCAGAAGGTCACACATTGATCTATTCCTATAAAATGAGCTTACAGTGCTGTTTTTCTTTCCTCTGTGCTTTTTTTCCCGCCAATACATCAAAGTGCTTTGCAACAACTCACTTTGTATTTAAGACACCCATTATCAATTGGGAGCTGAGAAAAAAGGAAAATTATCAGATATTGATAAAATATTGATGGGGGATTCTCTGTCACTGTCGTGACCGTTCAACACTCCTCCTTCTCAGTTCGACTCAAGTCTCCGATCGTGCTAGTCGCGTGCAACTCCTATCGTGGGTATAAAGAAATCCATTCGGCAGTGATAACAAGTCGTCCAGACTTTGTGGTTTCAAGACCTATGTTATCTTGTTTCGCAGGTGTTTAGCAGTGACAGTGATCATGAACGATATCGTGCAGGAAGGACTTCGAGCGGAGTTCGCGCTAAGCAGCGCCCCCGCGGCGGCAGACGCTCCGCCGGTCTACAAGCCCACCACGATGCCCTACGATAGGGAAAGTGGCCCCAATGGAAGCGTCGGCCACTCCAGCAATCCCGGGAGCCAGGAAAGTGATGACGGAAGTCTGGAGCTCAAGCGATTTTCGAATTTGCCCACGAGAGAGCCCGTGGACATCCAATTCAAGGATATCAGTTACTATGTGAACGTGGGTTTTCGCAAAGGTGGGTTTGAGAAAGAAAGAATGAAATATAATCCGCCGTGATTCATCAATTTGACTGATGACGAAAATTTCCCACAAAGTCCAATATTCTCTATAGAAATCACTTAAATGCTTTGTTCAACAGAAGCTCCAACAAAGTCTGCTATCAGCACTTTTACACTTATCAATTAATACTTTGGTGATTATAAATTTCTAAGATTAGATCGTCTCACCATGCCTCTTTGTTCAAATTTTCCTCAATATAATCAATTTTCGCCAGTGTGCATGAATTCCACAAAGTGGAAAAAATATGCAAAGATTCTAAATCTTGTCTCCAACGTTTCAATTTTTTTTCAATAAAATTGATAAGCAAGGTGACATCATGAAATGCTTTTTGTCCAGAGAGTGTGAAAGTACAGTGTTTAACTAGAAATTGTTCTACAAATATGTACATTATGAATTTTTCTAGTGAGATAAAAGTTCATTGACGATAATGTGCTGCACGTAATACTTGAAATAGTTGATAGAGTCACGATTGAGACAAACTCATGAGAAATACCACTCAACAATTTGTCAATAATTCGCTATTCGTTTAAAGTCCAGAGTACAAATTGGTCGGACTGAATTACGCGAGCGCTTGTATTCACGCTTTACTAAGAAGTGGGTTTTTTCTTGCCTTTTCTTAATTCATACCTTTCAACAAAACAACTAATTTGTTGGGAAAATTGTGGGGATATTTTTGAATGTTCAAAAAGTCACGACAGTTTCGTTTCTGAGAAAATCGCCAATTCACTCCCAATTGTGCTATTTATTGCAGAGAAAAAGGAGATTCTCCACAAAGTCAATGGCAAATTTCCTGGAGGACAACTAATTGCTATTATGGGTCCTTCGGGAGCGGGTAAAAGTACTCTTCTGCATGTGCTTTCTGGCTACAAGAAGAGCAACGTTAATGGTGCTGTTTATGTGAATGGACGAATCAGAAATTTGAATTCATTCCGGAAGATGACTTGCTACATCACCCAAGACGATCACTTGCAGGAACTTCTCACGGTTCTTGAGAATATGCGAATTGCTGCTGATTTTAAACTGGGCGCGAATTACCCTGTTCAGCAGAAAGACGCTCGCGTTAGTATTTCACTCATAATGTCTTAAGAAGTCTTCAATGACTGTAGAAAAATTTGTTTTTCTCTAGATTGAAGACATCCTCACCGTTCTTGGTCTGTACGAACATCAATTCACTCTCGCCGGTCGTCTTTCTGGTGGCCAGAAGAAGCGTCTCTCAATCGCTCTGGAGCTGATCAGTAATCCTACAATCATGTTCCTCGACGAGCCAACAACGTAAGGCAACCTATAATGATCTCCTTGAGTGCCCAAATTAATTGCTTCTGTTTGCACTTTTCAGTGGACTCGATAGCTTTTCCTGCACACAAGTTGTCGATCTACTGAAACAGCTGGCTGGTCAGGGTCGCACCATAATTTGTACAATTCACCAGCCGTCCGCCAAGCTTTTTGCCGAATTCGACCAAGTGTACGTGCTTTCGCTCGGCGAGTGCCTCTACCAAGGCAGCACCGGAAACCTCGTGCCCTACCTGCAGTCGATCGGCCTCCCGTGTCCAAAGTATCACAATCCCGCCGATTACAGTGAGTACGAATCTCCCTCATTAGCAAATACATTTCTTCGCGCATAACAATAAGGAACCACGATACGGTGGTGAAAATTTTCATTGCCACATTATATCATATTCGCACTTCCATATTTGTAAAGCAAAAAATTCTGTGATTAGATTTGTGTTTTTGAGAAACAATTCTTGACCTTTATTCGCAAAACAATCTTCACTTTTCTTAGTCATTGAGCTGGCGTGCGGAGAGCATGGGGATGATAAGATTCCGCATATGGTGGCCGGCACGGGCAACGGCGAGTGCCTGGATTGGTTTGGCGACCCCAGCAAAGTCCTGAAGCTGGAGACGCTTCGCATGAAGTATCCCATCCAGAGGCCGGCCAAAGAGAACACAATCCTCCAGGCGACAAATCAGTGGAACCAGCTGAAGACGCTCATCAAGCGCGGCATTATTCGCGGCAAGAGGGACACGACACTGACGCATCTCAGGATTGGCGTGAACATCATGGTGGCTGTTATGCTGGGATTCCTCTTCATTGAAGGTGGCAATGAAGGTTCGCGCGTCCTGGACAACTACAATCTTATGTTTGCCAATGTGAGTAAATCCAACTTCAATTGTTAGCTCTCACATATACTCATTGAAATATTGATAAGGGAATAAGCAAACAGATAATTTGAACTGAGAAAGCAACATTCTTCGTCCAAAATTATCATACCATTTCTGTGGCATTATATAAAAGATCAATTAACATGGAAGTTACGTGTCTGTATTTCAATTTTATTTGACTCATCTGTTTGCCAATGTGACAATCACATTGATGATTCGATTGATACGATTAATCAATTTCTCTCTCCTTCTGCAGCTCATGCATCACTCCATGACAACAATGATGTTGACTGTATTAACATGTGAGTATTAAGTGGTGTTTTATTTGGACAAGAGGGTTTGGCAATGCAATAAAACTCTACCTCTGCAGTCCCAACAGAAATGGCAATTCTGCGGAAAGAGCACTTCAACAGGTACTACTCACTGAAGTCTTACTACGCCTCAGTGACTCTTCTTGACATTCCAATGGCGGTAAGTCCTGTGAGATAATTTTCTGTATGCAAATATAAAATTCAATTAAATTTTTCAGACATTCTGCTGCTTCATTTACACAGTAATTGTGTATTTCCTGAGTTACCAGCCTCATGAATTTTTCCGATTTGCTATGTTCTTCACGATATCCCTCTTGGTAGCATTTGTAGCCCAAAGCATAGGTCTCATGGTTGGTGCTTGGTTCAATGTTGTGGTAAGAATGCGGCTTTCAGTAAACTATTATCAGAAATATCTACAATTTGCATCATTCATTTCAGAATGGCACTTTTATCGCTCCTGTTTCGTCAATTCCGATGATGATGTTCGCTGGATTTGGAGTGACACTTCGTGATTTGCCACCCTATCTGAAATGGGGTAGTTATATATCATACCTGCGATATGGCCTTGAGGGATATGTGGGTGCAATTTATGGGGAAAACCGAGAAACACTCGTCTGTGAAGCCAAACCATATTGTCACTTCAAGTAAGTCGCTGCTTTAGCGATTATTTACATTTAAAAACTAATATCATTCGATTTTTTGCAGATATCCCAAGAGATTCCTCCACGAAATCTCGATGGAAGGCGATCAGTTTTGGACTGACGTGTATGCTCTCTGTATTAACATGCTCCTGTTCAGAGTACTAGCATTTATCCTCCTGAAGGCTAAGCTAAGGGCTGTGAGATAAAATTGGCAATGTTACTAGATCACCAAATGGTTTTTATGCTATTCTTCAATTATATGTTAAGTTGCACGAACAAAACAATACAATAAGTGCGAAGAAAAACGCATAGGGAAATATAATTAATGTCTTCCAAACCAACAAATCAATTTGTACAAAGATAAATAAATAAATAAAATAAATTTATAATCATACTAATCAAAGTGTGAGAATCAAAGTTAATTGCTATGTATAAATTTGCACATTGTGTCTATTATTGTCCTGAAACTGTTCCGCTTTCTGTTGGCTTTAATTACGTTAAGGGTTAACGAGAAGCTTTCGCTTGAGAAACGGAAAAAAATCACATAACTTGAGGCGAAATTGTGTGTCCAGAAATTTGTAAGTTTTACTATTTGATTAGCTGATAATTAAATCCGTGTGTCAACTGAAAGTATTTACTTACACTTTCAATGTTTAAGCACTCTCAATCAACATTTGATGTAATTGATCAATACAAACGCGTAATTGTAGTAAAACTTTAATCAAACATGTGAATAGTCGCAACAAACAGCACTCAGCAATGAACTTCACCTGCGGTATTTCATAATAATTTTTCCAGACAAAAGACTTCACAGGTTAACAAGTGATTCTCACTCAATATTATGCAAACCAGATATTTCCTTGCAAAACTATACTAATCTAAAAGCATCAATTAGAAAGGCTAATCATTTTAGTAGCTTTGCTAGTTAGAGTATTTCCATGAAAACTCTATGTGAAAATTATTCCATTAACATTCATGCAGAATATCTGCTCATCTTTTCAATATTTCTTCAAGGAATTTCAAATTAAAAGCGCGCTTGAGCTTTTTAACCCATTTCTGTCACTCTTAGTTTCACTGGGATTCTTAAGAGATCTCTGAACTCTGAAAAAGGTTCTTACACTTTGTCAAAACAGATGAATTAAAATATAAGCAATTGGGAGAATCCTCAAAAACCCGTTTTGAGAAACAAAAAGATTTTTTGCACTCTTTTGGAGGAATTCTTTACTTAAAATCGCACTCACGAAAAGGTTAGTAAACCTTACGAAAATGACTCTCGATAAGCCAATGGAGATAATGTGAGTATTTATGTGTGTATTATCTCGCAATAATTTCTTCTTAGTTTATCCTGGGCACTTTACCGGAGATAAAACACAACACATGAGATCATTTCAAGTGTTATTTCTTAATTGTCATTAGATTTTATAGCTTTTACACCGAGGTTTACACAATAAAAGACGAGACACTATAAAGAGATACTTTTTTGCACAGTGTGAAAGACCATACAAAAGACCATTCAATGATACAAGTGCTTGTACATAATCCAGAGATTTGAGGAAAAAGCACTGTCACAGTGTTGTTCGTCTGCCTTCCTCCTTATTATCGCTTCAATGGGTGGCAAAAAATGTTCTACTTTCCAAGTGAAATTAAATATATTGTCAGATTGCTAGGAGTCAAGCAAAATGGCCAAATGGAAGTGTCATTCGCCGTGTGCTGTGTTTGACAAGGCCGCTATGCTAAAAGCATTAAAAGTTAATTGCTAAATCGATTCTGCGTAAAACCGCGTGTGAAAATCGCTCGACAACGGAAAAAAAACTTTCTAATATGAAAATTATTAAGATGCCTCAGTTGGTGTGACAAGAAAAAAGTCAGGCCACAGTGATAAAAGTTACGAAAATTCTGACTGCATTTGAGGTCAATCGAGCAGTCATGTGATGGCATGGTTTCCCATTTTTTGGGAGGGAAGCTGTTGCTGTGCATGTTAAGGGAGCAATTGGGAAATAGTTATAATTCTGATGATTAACACGAGAGAAGAGTGCCGGCGAAATTAACATAATGCTGAACTGATTATCATCAGTAATGGCATATACAGAGTAATGTCTCTCCCACACACCATTGCAAATTGTTATGGCGCAGCAATGAGCTAATAGTACGTATATAAAGAGACTCTGGATGCTTGAGGCAGACGGGGCCACATCGCGTAACGAGGGACTTATACTAGAGTATGTATGAGAGGTCGTCGTGCAGTACGAGTTCGGGTTTCGACCTGAGAACACGCATCACACACCCGTTCGCTTCGGAGTGTTATACTAGTTGAAAGAAGCCAAGAAATAATTTAATTCCATATACAATTTCGACGATTACGCGACACTTTTCAATACACCACGGAATAAAGTAAAGTGCAGTGAATATAGTACCTCGTTAACACCTCGCTAGCATTTGATATTTGCCACCAATTGAATGGCTTTTTTTGTCTTATAATCAGTGTCTTCTCGTGGTGCTTGCGCAAATGCATCTCTTGTGCAGTTGATTCATTCACATTAGAATACGTCGTCTTCACTACATAACTCATCTCGAGTCGTCGATGATATGTACATATGTTTTCATTGATGTGAAAAGTCTCGCGCTCTAAGTCAATATTGCGGTAGGAAAAGGAATTTTGTGATTTGCTTCAGCAGTTGATCAATCAACAAATCCCATATTGTGAGTTCTTATGTACAGCTGAGGGAAAATATTCTAATGGCTTTCATATGTACACACACTATCGAACCAGGAAGTGTGCACTGAGTTCGTCAGTGTTGAACCGATAAATGATCCAAGAATGGGGGAAAATCAATAGGAATGCCAAAGAAGAGAGGCACACTTGACGGTTTTCTTTCTTTCTTTTTTTTTGGCAAAAGAGACTCTCTTCGAAACACACAGTGGAAAAGTATTGACAATAAATTTGGTGCCTGAGGGAAGGCCAAATACCAAAAATAATAGTATTTTTCCAACACTCTCAACTCGTGCTAATTGACGACTGAAGACTCTAATCAAAAGTGGTTGCGTTTGCTTCAATTAAAGACCCACCGTGTGTCTCCTCACTGAATAGACTGTTTTTTTGTACGTGAAAGAATATAAAAAGTTTTATATGTGACATTGGTGAAAACGTACCCTAAAATACGAGTATATTGCGGCAGAGGTTCGCCTTCAGCTGACACGCACACATGAGTTTATTTACGAGAGAGAGAGAGATGTTTCGTAAAATTCTATTCAATAACCGCACAATGTTCTATATGCGCGTCCGCGAAGGGCCTTAACACAAATCGTGACTTGGGTCGAATGGGTTTGTGTATCTCATCAGCAGAGACTCTCAGACGGCATTCAGCGGTCTTTGAGTGCACTTTGCAGTGGAGTTTAAGAGTGTCTCTCTTTGAATCATTTTTTTCTCGCTCCTTCGGCATAAGTGCGAAAATGGTTTTCCAGTAATTAAGTTCAGGTCACGGCTGTCCACCTTATTATAAGTTTATTGAAAATTTATGATTGCGTAACGAAGTTGGAAAATTGTGGTTGAGAGAACTTGTCAGAATTACACATTAAAAGTTTTTGCGAAATATGAAAATACCAACTTTAATTCGCACCAAACCGAACAGGGTTAGAAGTTTTATTCTTACCTGAAGCACACATTTCAACAGCTTTTCGAGAGGTGTGCACATGAAGGTCTATTCACCTTGCCTTCTTATGAGAAATCTAGCATATATCGCATTGATATACACACAGACAGACAGTTTAATTAAGTCATACATATGTAGAAAAAAAAACACAAACTACGAGTAATTTGCCATGCGGAGATTGCTATCTCTCTCCCTCTCTATCATATTAGTTATTAAAGATTGCCGAATCTTCCTGGACTTGACCACGAAATTAATTCTATATTCATACTGTTATTTAGTGGACTGGAATTCTTATGGCAGTGTCTTGGGCGATGTTTTGATTTTTCGTCTCATATTATACAGTGATGAGCGAAAAGAGAACCAATTAGTGTGGATGAAAATTCAAAATCACTCATGAACACAACAGCTAATTAGCATTTGCATTCCAGTATAAATTCGTTCTACTGTTCTAATGATCTTTTTAATTCCTATCTTAGGTTTTTCCATTCCGGCGAGAAATTTGCTGCCAAAGTCAAAAGAGTCGAGCACCCGAATAATTTATATACCTCCATATCACTCACAATCATAAACTGCCAGTTTTTTTGTTGGCTCTCTCAACTCGTGGAAAAACTACGAGGAAATATAATGTAAATTATTACTTGGCGTGAAGAACGACCACGTAAAGTTATTACAATACTAACAAAAAAAAGGCGCAAAAATGGCTAAGGTTGAAACAAAAACAAGGACAGAAGGATTTAAGTGCTGGCACAAAGATGATGGTTCCAGTTCTGAAAATTCCGTCGTGGAAAGCTGCAGCGAGACAGACAGCCAGCCGAATAACAACACCATGTTTCACACGAATAACATCGCATCGGAGATGACTTACTCGTTTCCAAGACGGGAAACCGTTGACATTTCCTTTGAGAATCTCAAATACACCGTGAAATCTGTCAACTTTAGCAAATGCAAAATTGGTGAGTAATAGCCAAAGGGTGATACGGAAACTCCAATTGTGTAATTTTCTCGACTTTCCGGAAGCGATGCTGCAACCAGATTAACACGCAAAAATGATGTTTCTCAAGGTTAATCAGTTTAAAATTATACCGAGATCAATTTGTTAAGACTTCAGCTTGAAGTTCTATTGCTGTGGGATTCGGAATGTTTTTCATTGGCGCAAAAACGAGGGAAATGTATTTCTTTGCAATTGAATGTACTTCAATAAAAAACAATGTTAAAGAATTCTTCCACTGATTTGCAATACAATAATATAATAAAGCTACGGATTTAATTCAAATTGCAGCCCGGCATGTGGAGATAACAAGTGTAATTTGCAGCACCTTTAACAATTCACACTGAATGTCATCATCTTGATTCTAGATTATAATGGATTTTACAAATATTATCGGATAATCTACTAGCGCGTGTTTTGCGGGTGATTCAGCTCAAACTTTGCTATTTGCATCACTATTTCCGCAGCGTCATATTCATATGTATGTTGAATTTACTTAGGAAAGAGACAAATCAAACAAACTCACTATCAGCTCGAAAACCATTTCAATATTTACTGAGATAGGAGAAGTCGCGAAAAGGAAGATTGCAAAAATTCTAGACATATGTGTGCTTAGTGTGCTTTTATTATGTAAAATATATTCACTTCTGGACGTTTGTCTTCTGGTTATGCTTGGCAGAAACAAAGGAAATCCTTAAGGGTGTGTCAGGATCATTTTCTAGTGGAAGACTGACTGCCATAATGGGTCCGTCAGGCGCTGGGAAGAGTACTTTACTCAATGTATTAGCGAGTTATGTGTGAGTATATCATGAATCAATCAAGTGCACAATTTCATTTATATAATATAATACGCAGAGAACTATCAATCACACATTTTTAATGCTTAGTATTGAGTGTTTGATAACGGAGAAAAGGCCACGTTTCCCATTTCCCAGTGTCAAGGCCACGGGAAATGTACTGACGATTGCATCTGCATTTCAGGGAACGTGGCGTCACGGGAACAGTGACAGTGAATGGGAAGAATCGGTCCGCCAATTCGCAGAAGTTCAGAGAGATGTCCGCATATATTCACCAAGATGACGCTCTTCGGCCTTGGCTGAAGGTGTCAGAGGCCATGATCGTGGCGGCTCATCTAAAGTTGGGCTACAAAGTCACGCACGACTACAAGATCAATTTGGTGAGCAACAATTGTATAGTGAAAAAGATGAGTGCACTTCCACAGTCATTAAGGGTGGAAAGTAGCATGTTTTTCAAACACATTTATCATATTTCGATAACCCGGAAAAAATTGAGGGCATGTGCTTTATTCTCCATTCTTGAAATAAAAACCAATAAAACGCACAATGTGGAACATAATTTCTACACTCTTAGTGCTATGAAGTGTACAAAAGTTAACGCATTATTTTTACACTTTCTCTCAAGGTGAGACAAATCTTGACACTTCTTGGACTGGAGAAGCGCTACAACACTTTCACAGCTAAACTGTCTGGCGGCCAAAAGAAGCGATTGGCAATCGCATTAGAGCTGATAAACAACCCACCGATTTTATTCCTGGATGAGCCGACAACGTAAGTTATCACCTCTAATTGAATATAACAGCAGAATCGCGTGTGTAATTGAATTGCACACTCAATTTTTAGAAGAATCTAACATGTGGCTTTGCATATCGTTTTCCTCATGATTTGCTAATGGAGATAATTTGCTTAATATTGCTAATAAAATTGAAGTTTACCTCCAGAGACACTCGAAATTTTCTTGTTTATGTTTTTACATCACATTTCAATTCTGTGAAGTTATCTCACTATGATCTAATGGGTTAAGTCTCTTTTTTTTAATTACTGTGATCTCTATTTCCTGTGACAATTAAAAGTGTGTGATTTGTCAAAGAACCCAACATCATCTGATGCCAATTAAATCGCCTCTCTTTACGTAATCACTGATTGCAGAGGTTTAGACAGCTCGTCTTGCACACAGTGTATTTCTCTGCTGAAGCTCTTGGCGCAGGAAGGTCGAACGGTGATTTGCACAATTCACCAGCCAAGTGCACTGCTGTTCGAGATGTTTGATGATCTCTACACTCTGTCGCAAGGATACTGCATATATCAAGGGTCCGTGAGGGAATTGGTTCCATTTCTCAGTGATATTGGACTTCGTTGCCCGAATTATCACAACCCTGCGGATTTTCGTGCGTATAAATCAAGTATTTTGCACGCATATTTAGTGGACAAGTGGACGACCTTTCAATGCATTTATGCTTCTGTCTTTGCAGTTATTGAAGTCGCGAGTGGCGAGTATGGCACAGATATGTCAAAGATGTCCATGATTGCCTCCAATCGTAAGCGCGAAGATGTCAATGTGAAACGTGTAGAAATACCTTCGGGTGAGTTAAATGAACAGTATTTAATTGATTGGGCGTCATTAAAGACCTCTATTATTATCATTGAAGCGGATTTATTGCAATATTCTCTGCATCATTGAGGATTTCCCCTCTGTGAGGAGGAGAATCAATCAGCACTTTTTGTGAATGATCTGCTAGTCGATAAAATAATTGATTTCATAGTTCATCTGTCAGACAGTTTAATTGCTATATTATTATAGCGTTGAACTTGTCGTGAAACAGAGTCTCAACACTACTTTAAGAATTTACTACCGTCAATCATATTCTCACTCGTTTGCGGAGTGTTTGAAAATGACAGACAGAAATGTAAATTTTATATTTGCAGAATATTTCGGAAGAGCAACATAGCTTGATTGTCTTTAAGTGCAAAAAAATGCGTGAAAATATTACCTCAGTACACATGATTATCTACTGAGTCACTTGAGAGAATTTTGTCGTGTTTGATTTCGTGACTGTCAAGTTGAAAAATTTCAGCTTAGGCATATTTTTCGTCTTGAATCAACACTTGACATACTTGTTGGAGGAATAATTTCCAAAAGTGCTTCACGAATTTCAATGTTTTGGTCATACACTTGAATTCAGCAGGTGGAAAAGGTGGTGAAGAAGTCCACAACGGGTTCTGATCGGTTTTCTAGTCATTGCCATTTCGGCTCTTGCACCACAGCGCTATGTTGAAATTAAACTACATAGAGGTGTACTAAAACCAAATACGTTAAGTCAACATCGAGTCGCATTGCAACATGATCGTGAATGGTCTTTTTATTCGATTGCAGAGAGTGAACTTGAGAGCAGCGGCATAGATTTCATTCCGCCACCCGAAAGTGGCGGCGTTATCCTTGCCGAGACGGAAAGGCTTAAGGACTTCAAAGGAGTGTCAGGACAGCGCAAGCCAACACAGAGAGCTTCTGTGCTGATGCAGTTCATGTTGCTATTCTGGAGGAACATAATTTGTCATAAACGCCATAGTGTGAGTGAAAAATTAATATTCACACTGCGTCTGATTGTTCTAGAGTGGAATTTGCTTTGACGAAAATTGCCATACTTTGCATTGAATTGGAAACAAAGACGATGGGAAAATTGAATAGTGTTTAGAAAATACTTTGTTAATAATCTATTTATAAATTGGCGATAGAATACTCGATGCGATGGAACGGAAAAGTGGGGTTTTTGCACAAGTTTGAATTGTTTTTAATGTCGCTTGCGAGAGAAGTTTAGATAAATGACGTGTGATAAATGATTGTGTGTGGGACAAATGTCTGGAAATTCTCAATGAGGTCACTCAGTAATCCTTCCTTTTTCTCAACAGTATATTTTGATCTGCCGCATATTAGCACACACGATTATAGGAGCTCTTTTTGGCTACTTGTACACCGGCGTTGGAACCTTGGCCACAACTGTCTTCGGGAATTACGTTTATTTGTATGGATCGATGCTACTGGTTGTTTACACTGGAAAAATGTCTGTGATGATGTCTTGTAAGTTGCAATAGGGGGAAAATTGTATGAAAAACCCTGTTTCACACCATATTAATCATACTTTATTAGACTGCTATAGTAAAAGTAATCTTAGCACTTTTCAATACAAAGTTGCATGCTTGATTGCCTTTTTAATTATATGCAAAATGATGAGCTTTATTGAGTCTTTATACAAATACAAGCTCAGTAATAAGGTGAAGAGTCCATGAAATCGCTTGAGATTTCATAACAGAGTGCTGCAAAAAAGCGCTAAAAGTATTATGTTTACAACGTGCTTGTGAATTCGCGGTCAGATTCGACAGCTTGAATATGAGCATAACATGAAATAATAATGCAATAGAAATAAAGATGTCCTCGCTTTAGTCTTAGATAAAGTGGGTTTTTCTTCTGATAATTATCTATAGAGTAATTTTTCACCTTGATTCCAGTTCCAATTGAGATGGAGATGCTGAAACGGGAACACTTCAATAGATGGTACAAATTGGGGCCTTACTTCTTCTCTATCATCCTCTTTGAAATACCATTTCAGGTGAGGAATTTAGGTTAACCCAAATATGCTGATTATGAAGAGAGTCTTGTTTTTTTCAGATGATCTGCGCGAGCACTTATCTAGTGATTAGTTACTGGTTGACAGGGAATTTCAGTGAAGATTGGAGGTTTTTCTACTTTATGGTTCTAGCTCTCTTGGCAACTCTCAGTGCTCAGAGTTGGGGATTCTTCTTCGGTGCCACTCTGCCAGTGAAGGTATAATATCTTCAAATAAGCTCTGTCTTCAGTCTGATGTCTAAGAATCTCTCTCGCTCTCTCTTTCTCCCAATTAGATCGCCGTTTTCGCTGGACCAGTCGTTGCAGTTCTCTTCTCTGTCTTTGGCTTCTGCAACAGATACATCGACATCACACCACTCTTCCGATGGATGTGGCACATCTCTTACTATCGCGTGGGCTTCCACGGGATCCTCAACACTGTTTTCGGGATGAACAGGAAGGACTTGACGTGTCCCGAAACAGCAATGTATTGCCACTTCAAGAAGTCCAATGTATTCCTTACAGAAATGATGATAAATGACATCACAATGGAGGGTGGAATCTTCATGATGTCGCTAGTCATCTTTGTGATGCACTTGCTAACCATTTCAGTTCTCTGGGTGAAACTTAACAAGAGATAGGGTATCTGTTTAGCTTAAAAGCAACCTCATAGAGCTTAAAATTTCGTCCGAATTGTATTTTTCACCCGTAAAATGTACGGAAAAATGTCTTAATTGAATTTAGCATGACTTAGGGATTATGTAGAAATCTACATAAATTGATTACGAGAGGGGTTTTTTTTATCTAATTGATTTCCTTGCAATAATGTGAAACATTCTTAACGTTTTTCATGGTGATCCTCGAATTATATTGCCAAAATTTTCCATTGAAACTTGGCAAATTTTATGTTTGTAAATTTTTTACACTTTGTTATCTGTAACTTAATGACAATAAAAATCTTAAAATGTTTTATACAAAATTGTCGTAATAAAATGTTTGGAAAAATAAGAAACGATGCATTTTTATTATCACATATTAACTTCTTTTATTTTAAAGAAAGCTGTAGAATTTTGCCAAGATTGCGGCTAATATGAGAATATTAAATTATTTCTTTTCTGGATTTCAAATAAAATTGCATAGTTCGATTTTCCAGCTTTTGCCTAAGTTCAGGATTTTTTTGCCAATGTTTGAATGAAAAACCGAAATCCGCGACCGTTTCTTTTGCTGATTTTCTGAGTGAGCGGAAAATGACTCCAAACAGACTGTCGTAAAAAGCTAAGCGGATCACAGCGTCACTTCGTTGTCATTGATAACATATCGTGTCAGTCGCGCTTTATCGCTGGCGATTTTCAGTCGAAGATAAAACAAAAGAGCCTCTAATATTCACTCATTTTTCATTTAGGTTCGTGAGTTACAGGAAAACCTACCGTGTAATTGACTTTTCTTGGAATCACCGCATGAATACGCATAATTTTGCTCTATTCTCTCTCATTATTCTTAGCGTGCTGGTGACTTTTCAAAGTGCATTTTAGATGTTTGTTTTCTTTGCTCAATCTATTCACTGTCAACACTGTCAATTATTAAACGAGGGTATTACGAAGCAAAATAGAGGTTAAGGAAAAATATATTTCTTTACTTTTTGCGGTGTTTTTATATTGTTTCCGAATGAGTATCAAGATATACATTTTTTTATTAATTTTATTTCATAATTTGGGAACATTTTTCAGTGAAGTTCCATAAGAATTTGCATGAAACTATAATGAGGATTAATTAGCGTAGAGAATATTTGCAATACCACCTTGACAACATGAATAGAAAGGAGGATTTCCGGTCCTTCTTCGCCAATACAAATTTAACAATACAAATAACAATATTTTTTTATTGTATAAAATAAATATAGAACAAAATACATACTTTTTCTCATAGTAAGAAAACTGGTTATTTTACTTCTCGTAAAACTTTATTCATTAAGAGGCAAGAAAATTCTTACATAATGATCAAATTTTTTGCTAATTCTTTTGTGTATATTTTGTTTGGATGTATTTCTTTTCTTTTTTTGCACTATTCACTGCTACCTTTGAAAATCTACTTGAACTTGACATAGAGACAGAAAAAGAGTGGCCACAGTCTCTTATTTGGCAGCTCAATTCGAGCAGTTTGTTGGTGCAAGAGCCTCTGTCTTTGCGGTCTCTGCAGCTTTCGTGTTTGCGATCAATCAAAAATTAAAAGTCAATGCATGAGTCGTTCAATGTAATATCTCAAAGTGTGTAATTTTCTTGCTGTATGCACAAATTCTTGCATACGAAAAATAATAACATGATCACACGATCTGCCACCACAGGCACAAGTCCGCTTCATTTATGTATAAGAAGGCAGCATGATTACTTGTGGCTGGGGTACTTTTGTCGTGTGGCGCTTGTGTTTGTTATACCAACAGCGGGAAAACACACTCGCTCTTGACTTGATAGTATGCTTTATTCAGTACATTTGAGACTACGCATCGTGCAAGTCGGTCTTCGGGTGGAAAGTGAATTTATTTCTTTGCCACACAAAGCCTTGTACCACATTTCCTTGCCAGTTGCAAAGAGGAGGACAAGTGTAGAAAATTTCAAGCATTCCGCTCAAATATTCTAATGTGATCCGCATCGCAAGTGCAATTTTCAGGAAGATCGATGCATTTTTCTGTGTGATTATAGAAAGTTTTTCACACTCACGGGAGGAACAGAAGAGATAAAGAAGATTGAATACCATCTAAGTTGCGATCAGTAATGTGATTGACTCTGGAGAAGTTCGAATTTTTCTTGAAGCTGTGATTAGATAAAGAAAAATGTTGCCGTCACAGTCAGGCTCGTGCAGTGATGTGATGCTAACAACAGTGGCTGAAGACGCAGGAATGGATAATTCTCAGCAATCAGATGTTTCTCAAAATGACCTCCAAGAGGAATCACCTGCTATAAAGAAGAGCTTGGCGGAGAGACGACCAGTTGCTCTGCGCCTTAAGCCACTAGCACAGTCGCAGAGTGACTCTGAGTGTCTCACGGACGCGAAGAGAGAAGTTAAATCGCTGGATTTGGGCTTCAAAAATATGAAATACACCGTCAAAACAGGATTAGTTAAGCGAGGTTCGTGTGAAATTGAAGGAATCATCAAATTTCATTACATGAGGAAGTGATGAGTGAATCCGCATATGTCGAAAGTGATCACATTATTAGCACCCACAGAAGTTGAAAAGATTTGTAAAGCGCATGCATTGCGAATGAGCTTATCTTATTTCATGATTATAGGTCATGAGGGGACAATGAGAAGTACATAAAATTCCATTTCAACATTTTCGTGGAGGGTTAAGCCATATCGGTCACAATTTAATCGCACTTTTCATGCCTCATGCCTCAACTTTTACAATTTCTGATTTATGCTCAGAGCAGCAAAGGGTCAATTTCAGCATGTCTCTTGCGAAAAGATGTTTTTTTCCTCTGTCATTGTGCTCTTAATAAGTTCGTTTTATGCTCCAATTGAATATTTTTTTTGGATTCGGCCAGTGTTGCTGGCTTTTTTGGCCAAGAATTATGAGGCAACTAATTAATTGAGGAGTATGCAAAAATCTGATAAAAAGGAAAGGTCGTCGAGAGTTTTTTCACCTCATTCTATTTTCTCCCACGAATTCAACTTGATACTCGAATACATTTTCATTAAGCATATGTGCTTCATATTGCTCAATATATAAATAGTCCATGTGACCATACAGTCGCGGATTTCTTGAACAAGAGACCCAACCCCAAGGAATATGTATGCGTGCATTCTCACTTGGACACTGCGAAGTGAGTGTTGAAGAAGAAAGCAGATGAGGAATCTGTCTATCCACATGTTTTCATATACACAGTCATTAAGTAGTCGTTCAGAATTTCTTTGTCACGCTCTATCTGCTCAGAGACAATACAAAAGAATATCAACAGGTTTGCCTAAGCGAGAAAGATCGCGCGATAGACTTCAGGAAGAAGAGTATTGCTAGAAGAAGAAAAACTGTGTGCGAAAAATCAAGGATACCGACTTTTTCTTCAGTCAACATGCTCAATTCAGCTCTAAAGCGCTCCACAGCGCGTACATGTTTAACCTAACAGAGAGGGTGAGAGGAAGACAGCTACAGAGAGAGTGAGGGAGATGGAGAGCTACTATGCTTCCACCAAAAAATATAGTCAAGTGAATTTGGACATTAATTCGCAACATCACTGCATGCGATGACCGTGGAGAAATTACATTGAATGAACGTGATATCTTGTCTGACTGAAGTTTGAGAGAAATAAAGGAATGTACCCGTATTAATAGACTCTGTTATCGCATTTATCGCCTCCAGTACTTTGCAAGACCTATCATCGATGTCTATCACGGTCACACCTGGGAGAATGTGCGAAAACCACCTGGGAACTTTCTAGTCTTAATCTTAAGAACGGAGATACTGGAGAACGAGACCCACAGGCCATATCGCCTGTTCTCGTTCTCAATTGTCCAAGATACCGCGAAAATTATACACCCAGCAGAATAGGAGTAATGTACACATTGGCAAAATCATTATCAGCTGGAGAGTCACGAGCAAAAAAAAAGTCGCTGTCGAGTACTACACGCTCTTTGTCAGTAATTTTCTCTGCGTGCGTCTCTTATCGTTGAGAAACTTTTGCCGTTACTGACTTCAAGTACATGTAAACTAAAAATGAGAGATAGTTAGAATCAGTTGGTAACACTTAAAATATTAATAATTCATATATAATTACTCAGACCCTTATCTTAAGAGAAGATCCTCGTTCTCAAGATTTCTCACTATATTCATTGTCATGTCCCATTATAAGAGCTATTTCATTTAGAGGATAGGACTTAAATTGCACCATTTAATTATAATGAGGCGTAATAATTATATGGTGTATTAAAGAGACTATTTAGTGGCATGAAGTTGTTCACTTAAAGAGGCAAATAAGCTTTTCTACGTCTTAATTAAGGAGTCAGTAGTGTAAATGTAAAATTGTAATGAGTTTCTTCTGATTTTTTTTCTCTCTCCCAAACAGAAGACAAAGTTATACTGGATGACATAAATGGGGACTTTAAGGCAGGGGAATTAACGGCGATTATGGGACCATCGGGAGCTGGCAAGAGTACATTAATGGACATCTTGGCGGGTTACACGTGAGTATCATGCATTATTATCATGGTAATTGCGGGGAATTTTGATTTGGATTAGCTTTTTTACCAGTGTGTGGGTCACCTTTAGAATATTTCTTATATGAGCATGACATAGTATAAAACCGATTGGTGTGATCCGATATTTATGAACTTTAGAACTTAATAATGCCAATCAAGTCGAGATATCCGCCATTATCCCCAGTACTAAGTTTCATATTTATGAAAATACTTACACAAAGCTCTAAGCAAAGGCGAGCACGAGAGTGAATACCCTTACAACAATGTTATTCATTAAGTTTTCAAGTGCTTCAGCACTTAGCGAAGCACTGGAACCTACTTAACTTTGTTCGTGGTATCAATTTTAGTTTTCCTTCTCTCAATGCAGTGTTATTTTAGTGATGTAAGCTGAAAGCAAACTCTCATTACAAGAGATTATCTTCAATTTTGATGACGCATAATGATAGTGACAAGAACGCATAGTTGTGGTTTAGTGATAAGGCAAATTCTATGATTACATGGTACATTTTGGTGATTTTTTTCGTAGTTCATGTTGCTGAAATGTAGCAAAGCTTACTATCGAAGCCTTCCGCTGACTGGGCATTAATCATGAAGGACTTTGTATAGTCTCTAGAGAAGGTGTTTAACAGCAATAATCCTCCCACTACAATTTTTGCAATGGGAAGTAAGCGCTTTATTTCCTTGAGTCGCTTGGTGAACCTCTTGAAGAGCTTTCAGTTGAATTTTTAACATAATTTCGGCTTAGCGGAGGTGAATTTTGAGGCAAAGAGATAACAATGTTACAATGCTATTCGAGTTCGTCTGCACTGAAAACGTGTGTCTATCGGAGTTCATGCGGTGACTCATGAATGGAGGCACTATTGGATGTCTGAGTACACTGCACTGACTCTTTGTTTTGGTTTTTTTTTCTCTCTCTTTTTCCAGTACCACCAATGTTTACGGGAAAGTGACGGTGAACGGCAGGGAGAGGGACATTCGACGCTATCGACGACAAACGGCCTACATTATGCAAGATCACAATCTACAGCCAGTTCTAACAGTGTGGGAAGCCATGCATTTCTCAGCAAATCTCAAGATTGGGTGTGATATGAGTGCGGCAAAAAAGCGTGCCAGAGTAATATATTGACATTGTCATGCGCTGATGAGCTTAATTGACAAAATGCTTTAATGCCTTTGCAGATCAAACAAATACTGAAGGCAATTGCGCTATTTGATGTCCGCAAAACGAGAACGATGAAATTGTCTGGAGGCCAGAAGAAGCGTTTAGCCATAGCTCTAGAACTCGTCAATAATCCACCAATAATGTTTTTCGATGAGCCAACAAGGTTTGTGCGATCGCCTCGATCGACACTTGCAGTGTGAATTCTAATTTGTCTTTCCACGTTTTTTTCCAGTGGTCTCGATAGTTCGACATCGACCCAGTGCGTGTCCATATTGAAGCAGCTCGCCGAGGAGGGACGCACGATCATTTGCACGATTCACCAGCCATCCGCTCTAGTCTTTCGCATGTTCGATCACTTGTACGCCATCGCAGAAGGCAAATGTATCTACACGGGAAGCGTGCAAAATGTGGTGCCCTTCCTCATGGAGCTCGACCTCAAGTGTCCGGAGTTCTACAATCCATCGGACTACTTGCTTGAAATATCCACGCATGACTACGGAATGCAGAACGATCGACTTGTGGCGAAATCTCAGAATGGCATGTGCTGCACGTACAGGAGCAAGAAATCAAGGAACTCATCGCAAATCTCCGCGATGACCAAAGTCGGTGAGTGTCTTGAGAGTCACTTTTATGACTCTTTCGAAGAGAATCCCATTTATTCTCTCGTGATTCAACAGATGATAGAATAAGTACGTGTTATTTGTCATTTGATACGCAAGATTAAGTTTACATAAAGGAAGAGCGAAGTGGATTTGAACAAGAAAATGACATTTCAATTAAACATTCACATCAAAATTCCAAAGGACAACACGTGCAGCATATATTTGTCAGAAAGTAGATAAAACAATGTTTTTTTCTCAGGTTTCTCAGTCTTTGGAAGGCAATTTGAATTTAAAATTTGCTTTCCAATCTATCCTCATCTCCCCTATAGAAAAATCATCTGTATCACTTTCGCCTTGTAGACTAGAAAATGCAATACAACGCAATATTCTAATCTATTTTAAGACTCGCATGATTAACAATGCATACGACTGCATGATCTCTATCTTCTCATTAATGGACGAATCTAATTTCTTGCATTCTTCCTTAGAGCAAATGATGGCGAATGGTCTGATAACGCCAGTGAGAGCTCCAAGCTTAGCTCACACATCGAAAGTGCCTCAAACACCTGTGATGGAAATAATGCAATTGAAACCAAAGAAAGCAGGACTGAAGATTAACCCGAGCAAGTGCTGCAAGCGCGACGATCGCTACCCAACGACCTTCTTCAGGCAGTTCTACATCATTCTCCTGAGGACATTCCTCATCCTGTGGCGAGACAGATCGCTCACGGCGATGAGGGTGAGCATCCACCTCTTCGTGGCGCCCATAATTGGGCTGCTGTACTTCGGAATTGGGAATGACGGCCACCACACTTTCAACAACTACAAATATGCCTTCTTCTCCATAATGTTTCTCATGTACACAGCGTTTAGTTCTATCATTCTCGTTTGTAAGTTGAATGTTTATTGACAATTTTGCTTTATAAGGCCTAAAACGTGTATTTTTTTACCACAATTTCCAGTTCCTCTGGAGTTGCCGATCATCAAGAGAGAACACTTCAATCGATGGTATTCCTTGAAGGCATACTACGTAGCCATGACCTTAGCCGATGTTCCTGTGCAGATAGTTTGCGTATTCCTGTACACCTTGATAACGTACTTGATGACGGCTCAACCTCTTGAGATTCAGCGATTTATACTCTTCAGCATCACTTGCTTGGTGGTCTGTTTTGTTGCACAAAGTATTGGTCTTCTCATTGGATCTCTCTTTAGTGTTAAGGTGAGTGACATAAATTTATTTATTTCGCATGAATTTACATGATTTCCTCCACTTTCAGAATGGCGCAATCTTCGGGCCTTTCTTCATCTGTCCCTTCCTCATCTTTTCCGGCTTCTTCATCCACTTGTCGGACGCCCACCCAATAATGCACTGGCTCTTCCACATATCCTTCCTGAAGTACGCCTTGGAAGGTGCTTCGTTGGCGCTCTTTGGCTTCAATCGACCAAAAATGGAATGTGATAGACTCTTTTGCCAATTCGTGTTGCCAGAGAAATTCATGAAGACCATTAAGATGGACGAAGCCAATTTCTGGGTCATTCTTGGAGCAATGACAATCATATTTCTCTTCTTCCGCGTCACAACGTACTACGTCATGCTCTACAGATTGAGAAACAAGAGTTAAACTCAATTTATCTAATAGGTAGACACTATTTATCGTGCACATTCCGCACATTCTAAGGAAATGTTTATTCTCACTTTTCTATACCTTTCAAGCAAATTTATTGTGCAATGTAGTCCTTTAAAATGTGGAGAATTTTTTTTTTGATTATCTTTAACAACTAGATAGGGTAGAAAAATCGTTGTATTCTCGACAGTTTAATGTCCCCCAAGTTAGCTTTAAAATGTAACATCTCGAGGGATTATTGGTGTGTAAATACATATATTTTGTGAAAATCGAGAGTATCTTTCTTCTTGTGAGTTATGTAAGATAAAATCCAAAATATTGCAAAATAAAAGGTCATTGACATCCGCGATTAACGCCTAAATCATTGGCTTGAGAGTAGGCGTAAATCTACTTTTGACACTTCTAGTGGCGATTTCGACACGATCGCGTTCATCGGAAGGCCCGATTCATGCCGAAACCGGCTTGTCAATGAACTACACCACTCACGAAATTCCACTTCACAGTGTGCGAATGCGATTAGTATATAAGAAGAAGTATAAACAAAAATACATTCGTCCATTCTTCTACAACTAACACTACGTGAAAGAATGATTACGTTCACACCACCACGTGTAATGAATTACATTGAGATGATCTGCAGAAAATGATTAATCGAAGGATGCAATTCAGTATTTCATTCATCAATTTCATATAATTTGCATTTAATTGAATTTATTCACTTGACCAATCCTATTGGTTTGCTTAAGGTCACCAATACTTATTATTTTCTCGCATTCAACGTTTGTTATTTTCCTGATAAAATGAAACTGTGTTGATGATGTTGAGAATGTAGATTAATTTTTCCTGTGATGGTATGCTGCTTTTCAGATGATTGCTATAAAGAGTGTATCAAACACTCTTTGTGAGCAGTCAACTAAGTGCTGTGAGCAAGTAATGTGTACTTCTTCGGCGCCGCATTTTTATATATCTGTGAAACAATCATTATGTGTGTCAATCTTTGACACCAAAAGCAATTTATTCGGTATATTCTCTTAATTTGACAGTGACTTTTATCACTTAAATAAACCGTAGTTAAGCTATGGAAAAAAGTACAGTTTCTTTTCATGCAATCTACGTGTGTGTATATATTCTTTAACAGCATTCCACAAAGTGGGTTTGAGGTGTGACGTGTTGGGTATGTATATTAATAAATATGTATTTCACGAGAAATAATTACTGTATGTTTTATGTAGATTACAAAACGCATATAAACTGGTAATTATCAGAAGCCGAAGCGATGTGTTCACCAAACATCGTTGCTGGAAATTCAGCCTGATTTGAGGAACTTGACACAGAATAAGATCTTGAATGCATTTAGTTCGAGACATTTGACATCATGGCTGCTATCGATATTGATATTAAAGCCTACAGAAAGAGTATTGATATACACTTCCATCAGTTAGCTTACACAACGCCGGGTAAGTATATAGAGTTGGTCTAATCAAAGACTTGCAGATAATTTTGAAAATTCTCATTGCTTTCATTTTATTCGCAATCTTCTCACAACAGGCAAAGACAGCGTCAAGATACTCCATGATATTTCTGGCAAATTCAACTCCGGAAAGCTGACAGCCATTCTTGGACCGTCTGGAGCTGGAAAAACCACTCTTCTCAACATATTATCAGGCTTCAAGTAAATGCAAAAGAAATTTCACAACAAAAATAGCCAAAACATTCTCATGATTTCTTATTTTTCTGTATTTCCAGGACTAAAGGAGTTACAGGGACAATTCTTGTCAATGGAGCAGTTCGGGATAAGAATGATTTTAGAAATAAGTCTTCCTACATTCCACAAGAATTCCCAATGCTGGGAAAACTCACAACACTTGAGACATTAAAAACTGCTGCTGATTTAAAATTGCCCGTGAAATTGTCTGGCGAAGTTAAGCAGAAAATTGTAAGACTCATAAAATCACTAATTGAATGAACTATTAATTTATGCTCTTGTAAATTTTATCAAGATTTCCGATGTGACACAAATTCTAGGCTTGGAAAAATGCCTCAACACTCGCGTGGAGACACTGTCCGGCGGAGAGCGGAAGCGTCTCTCGATAGGAGTGGAGCTCATCACGAATCCTCCCGTGATGTTCTTCGACGAGCCCACGAGTGGACTGGATAGCGTGTCGTGTGATCAGGTGGTGACCCATCTGAAGGCACTGGCGCACTCTGGAAGAACAGTGGTTTGCGTCATTCATCAGCCCTCTTCGCACATACTTGAACTCTTTGATGACCTGTTCGTGCTGTCCGAAGGCCAGTGCATATATAGTGGTGCTGTTGATGGTATCATCCCAGCATTCCAAGAAGCTGGATATGACTGTCCCCAATACTACAATCGTGCGGATTTTGCTCTCGAAGTCGCCAGCGACGAGCGAGATGGAAACTTAACTGCTCTGATAGAGAATCATCGCAACAAGCATGGTTCATCGTTTGAAGATACCGATGGCTCGGGTGATGAATTTAGTAAGGAATGAGATTGTGATTTGTTGTGCAGAAATTCTATATGAATGTCTCTCTTTACAGCGTACGTTTTGAGCCCCGAATCGGCGGATAAGAAGAAGCAAAAATTGGTGCAAAAGACACAAAAGCTTGTGTATCCTGTATCAAGATGGAATCAATTTCTCATACTGTCGAAAAGATCACTACTGTGTACTTACAGAGACTTCGTACGTATATTCACCATTAATTAATTAATATGATTTCCTTGTATTTCAATACAATCATTCTTCGTAGTTCTTTGCACAATTACGGATCATCACACACATAATCGTTGCAATGCTTCTTGGATTTGTGTTTTTCGACATCGGATCAGATGCTGCAAATGTGCTAACCAACATTTCGTGCCTCTTTTTCTTCATTCTCTTCATATTCTTCGGGAACAGCATGCCCACAGCTCTGTGTTGTAAGACTAGAAATTTCTTCAAGCCATGCAATGTGAGATTACCAATAACTGTTCCACTTTCTTTGCAGATCCATCGGAAGCTTCTGTATTTCTTCGTGAACACTTGAACAATTGGTACTCACTTGGAGCATACTTCATGTCTAAGATAATAGCTGATCTTCCTCTGCAAATTATGTGTCCGTCGCTCTTCATTCTGATCGGATATTTTCTGTCAGGACAACCACAGGAGGAGCATCGCTTTGCCATGATGTGGTTTATTTGCCTCTTGACAGCCATCAGCGCTCAGGCGATGGGATTACTCGCCGGCGCTGCTTTCAATGTTCAGGTAAACAATCTCTTAACGGAAGAAAAGATCATCTAATAACGCACTATTATTTCACAGATGGGTATCTTCCTGATCCCTGCTTCTTGCATCCCAATGCTGGTCTTCTCAGGATACTTCATCCGATTCAATGAACTCCACTTCATATTTAAACCACTCAGTTATATATCGCTGTTTCGATATAGCTTCGAAGGATCCATCCAAGCTATTTACGGCTTCGATCGGGGAAACTTGACGTGTTCAGAAACATTCTGTTACTACAAGAATGCTGACAAAATACTCAAAACTTTGAACATGACTGAAAATACGTTCGGTTGGGATCTCGCGGGTTTGCTCCTGTGGGCAGTTGTATTTCAAATAGGAGTTTTTATTGCTCTGAAGATTCGCCTCAGGCAAGCAAAGTAACATAGGACATCGTTTATACAGTGTCCAAGAAAATAAGGTGCTCAAAGTCGTGAGAAATCTTTCCATTTTTACGTAGAGACAATTCTTAGTATGTTATATATTTTATCAGATTTTTTTTACAAACAATAAAACATTGAAAGAAAGATTAAAAACAGTTTACTGATCTTATTAACAAAAAAAAACACACATCTCCAGATTAATGACTCAACTGAGACGCACGTTAGCTTTGTGACTCAGCTTGGCAAACAAGTCTCAGTTGCGTTAACAATTAATAATAAGATATACATATGATTTTTTCTGATCTAACAACAGGTTCTACATCAATAAAACGTCTAGATTTACATTATATATCTTCTGGTGTTTCTGTAAAGTCAACGAAGGAAATATTCAACCATTACATTTTATGCAAATGTAATTTTTCAAAGAACTGTCAATGGTTTCACGTGAACATAATTAGTAAATAAAGCAAAATACACAATGAATCACTATTTAGTGTATCTATTTCCATGCCAAATTTTGAATTTGCATCTTAATTGTTTATTTACATACTTTCAAAAGTCCTCCTGCAAAAAGTAATTTATTGACTTGCGTCAGGTCATTTGAGAACATAAGGTGGGAAATCCCACAAATGAAATTTATAGTCACAAGCTGAGAAACAGTGCTAAACAGGGTTGTTTTAAATCATATGTCAGTTAAGCAATTATGAAAGAATCCTTTTGTTTTGCAGTGTGTCAAAAGGAGAACTAAAATCGAAATTAAGTGTGAATTTGGCTAGTATTTGAGGAATATTTTCGCCATCGGACGCACAAATTTATCATGGAGTTTTCCAGAGGTATTAAATCAATTAATGATACGGTTTACAAGTAGAATCATTTTTTCAGCGAGGTTATTTATTTATAAATTTAAACACTATTCTATTTCGATGATACCGGTTATTCCGCGGTAAGTAATTGCCCGCGTATAATAAAATAGTGATTGTTTCAATGGCAAAGAGGCATGTTTGCCAGGACTTCGTGGAAATGATGCAGAACATGTGCCTCTAATATAAATATGGCCAGTGTGTGACCCACTTAGTAATTAAGAAGAGCCAATAAAATATTCAATACTGCACTTTTCATGATCCGTTTTGCAATTTACTCAAACAATTACTCAAAGCGTTTGCACTCTGTACCATTGCATTGTTCATCGTTATTTAATGTGAGTGTTCTCTATAGTCAGCAATAAAAAAAGAGGAGTGAGTAATGAAAGTCTTTTCCTGAAAAATTTTCATGTTAAGTTGAAATTGAAGTGAAAAAAAAATCGACATCTGATGCAGAATGTCACAAGTTTCTCGTGGCGCGCGAAGTATTTTCTAGGCATTTACACAGTCGTTTTCACTCGTGCTTCACCCACCGCCACTTATATATTGGAGCGATGCTGATCACCTTCAGTTTAGTTGGCAGAAGATAGTCACAACGAACGAGTGTGTCAGTGCTTCCTCAAAAAGTGCGCTTTTCTACTCCGCGGAATTCAGTTTTTAAATTAAATAATTCGACATTGAGTGGCTAAAAATTTTAAGGCAATTTTCCCCGCTTAAGTTTCTCAATTCACGCGTGAGCTTCAAGTTGCTCAAGGCAGGTTTTTCTGCAGAGTTTCCTTGTCAATTGTATTGATTTACTGATAAGCCAAACTATGCTCAAGCATTAGCGTTTTTTTTTGACAGTCGCTCATCACAGATTGTTTTCTCTCCGACACAGAATTATTGTCAGTTCAAGTGAAGCCAGCATGAAGCTGATTACATCAACATTTTTAATCGTATCGGCGACGATACTTTGCGTATCTGCTCTACCAGGTAAACTTACACCAGACACAATTCATCAAGCTTCACTCATACTAACAATTAGTAGTTTGAATAACTTTTTTAACCGTGGGATATCGTGTGAAGGTGAATCTGAATGTTAGCAATTCATTCGTGATGCCGATTACATTCAATTGCCGTAGAATGGATTAATCATCCTCCTTTCGCGGTTCTGCACGTTCTAGCATTCAGCCATAGAACATTCGATGGCTCCTCTTATTCCGGCCTAAGTCCAAATGAAAATGGGTATGAATAACAAGTGGGTGTGACAAGTTTACATAGGGAGAGAGAAGCGCAAAAAGCCATGAGCGAATATATATGAATCTCTCACAGCAGAATAATGATCTTGTTTACGTTGCCCAAGCCAAATGCAGGCACAAATATAATCTCAAACGCAACTAAAAAATAATTTGATGCAATTTTTTGCCACACAACACTGTGTGAGCAATAAAATCGCTTTACATATGTACAATAATACGAGAGAAAAAAAAGAACTATATCGGCGCAACTCAAAAATGTTTGATTTTTTTCACTCGACACATCCGCTGTAGTCTGAAGAGAGTTTTATTAACTATTAACTCTTTGTTGCCACACATGGAGAGTCACACAGGGAAAATAAAACAATATATGAAGAGATGAACTCAGACTCATCACAATTGATTTGCGCAAAATTTCCCATGTATAGAAAATACTAAATGAAGCAATATCATTTCTATTGCAGCAAGCTTTAACCCGGATGACGATGCTGAAGTCGTGGTTGTGCCTCTGGAGAAGCAGAGTCCATCGGAAAAGGGTGATTCTGATCCCAACTTCGATGACTTCGATGGTGTTGTTGAGGGAGAAATTCCTGGTGGATTTTTCACCATCTTTCGTCCATTCAGCTTTGACATTAGCAGCATCTTCAGCAATTTTGAAGGTTGGTTTTCGTGAATCACTTTATTTGAGCCTCATTATTCACCAGTGAAGCAACAAATAAACACGTGCTCGAAGAACGCTTCTGGAATAATCTAGCATCGTGCAAAGACGAAGAGATAAGTTTGATTTATTCACTTGAATTACTATGGAGAAACATGCATCCGGCAACAGTGAACGTCTTCGAGTCAGATTCAATTATTTCAAAGTGCGGTTCACACATTTTTTCATGCATCAATTGAAAAAGTATATGAAAAATCATCTGTATAAATTAAATAACCACAATATATAGCGATACATGCAGTCGTTGTGGGCGTCTTTGATGTGCTTTTCCATCTTTGCAGATACGCTGAGGCGAATGAGGGAACATCTTTGGAATAGCAGACCTCCCTTCTCCGGTGATGGTGTTGATGTTGATGAGGTGGATCCGTCCAAGGGAAACACAACATCAACTGTGCAGGTATTTTCCATAGAAAATTCTATATAATTTCAGCGAATGCCTCATTAAATCCACTTTTAGATCATTGATGGTCACAAGGTGACTACAAATGAGACGATTTATGTGAAGAAAACCGATTTCGGTACGTCAATCTTCAAGCACAGAACAGTTGATGTGCAGCCTCTGGACGAAGAGGGAAGTGACAGTACAACAATCAATCCCAAAGCCGAATCCACCACAAAGAGGGACACAGAACTCGCGAAGGATCCAGAGTCCGCGGAGTTTGATGCGACGGAAAATGAAGTGGTGAAAGGAATTGTTGACGAGGTAAAAGATGAGAATGAACCTCTGACCCGTTAAAGTTATGTTTTGTTAATGCTTTACCGAAACTTATACTTTCTTGATGTCTCTATTGATGTTACAATATCTCAAAGGTGCTGAATTTGTTTAATTTTTAATAATTGCATGAAATTTAATAAAAAAAAAAAGAAAGAGCATTTCTTTAAGCTGTTGCCCTGTCTCAATGTGACAAATATCTCGAAATCTATACATACTTAAAAAGAATAACATGGATTATATGTTTTCTACTTAAACAAAAAATAAACAAATATGATTATGCATATGAATATTTCTGATTTGATTACTCTTGAAGGATGGAAACTTGGAATTATGCATGACTGTACATATTTGCGTGGTGTTTACTAATTTCATTAAAAAAGAATTTTTCACCTGATTATATTCGTTATTGGGCTGTCTCAAATCTTATTTTCTCTTCATACAGAGCAATGTATTGCACGATATAGTGAATCCACAGATACCTTTAAGAGCACATGTTGAGGACTTTGGATCACCCGAAGGCGCATATCAATTCGCACCGTCGTCACAATCTGCACACCTGTTCTCATCTCATAAATCACACGAACTCAGTTCATGGATGGATGATGTTAATTTTCAAGATAACTCTAGTCCGTACTTCTCGAAGTTCAGTAAGAATGATATCGAGAAGGAAATTGGTGAGTCTGCGTTGATTGACTTGTCAGACGATATTGCGGTTAATGAGATGCTTGCCGATCAAGGAGTTGCAGCCTCAGACGATGTTGAAGTCTTTACGGTTGACAACATCGACACAAAGAACCATCAAAATAAGTATCACTATTCAGATGTTAATCCTATCAAATAGGACTGTTAAAACACCAACTGAAACACTTTAACTATCATTCTACCAAAGATTCTCTGCCTCTCTTTACTATTTTCACAATATTTATCTATAATTATTTGTAAAATATTTATGAGACTTTCACATTTTTATTTATTTATTCTCCTTCAACTGGAATGAAAAGACTTCGAGTTAATTTTTTTTTATTGTATAATTTCAAATATGTTATAATAAAAACAGCAAATATAATTCTCTACCATTTATTTCCTACAAATTTAAAATCTTCTTTGGTGATTACAATATTTGTTTGTTGTATTAAAAGAAGCTATTTTATGAAAGGATTCTGCTTATTTTTTTTTCATTTTGGCCACGTAATAATAGCAGAATTGCAGCTAATAATTTTTTAAGTACAGATATTTGAAGATTTATTATTGTCTAAAAACTGGAAGATGCCTGTCACTGTTGATATTCCTACTTAAGTACATAGCAATGTTTCTAAACATCTGTCAATGACACTTTTTTTTATGTCTATAATTTGGAAATTAGAAAAAAAGAAAACTATTCGCTCTCACTGGCACAATATTGTTTCACGTTAAATAATTTATTTATTTCTTTCATAATATACCTATATAAAATCATAACAACAAAAAGTGTTGATTGAAACTATATTTCTGATCAGATTAAGGATATTTTCTTTTGTAAATGGTTTTGCTGGGTAACAGAGATTACTTGTTTCTTTTTTCTTTTAATGCAAGACAACAATTTGATGAAGATGTGCGCATTTCAGTATGGCTTTGAAGTCTCTTTGGTTCTCTTAAGTTGGACTTTGAGTCGCTTAGTGCCGATTTGGAAGCCATGCATTGTCTGGATGGCCGTTTGTGCTGAATTAGGATTATCATAGGAAACAAAACCAAAGCATTTTGAGAGATTCGTCTGCTTGTCGATAAACACCTTTGATGACACAACATTGCCAAAGGGTAAGAATGTTGATGCTAAGTCCGTGTCGGTGAATTCCTGCGGAAGGTGGTAGATAAAGAGATTACAGCCTTCGGGACCTGCATGGGAGAGAGAGAGAGAGGAAGAAGATGTGAAACTTTGGGCTTTAAAGGGTTAAGACTCTTAAGAGTGGTGAGAGGCAAACCTTCGATTTGTTTCCCAGCAACAGACGCAATTGCTGTGGAGCCCAATTGAGCGGGAAATGCTGACACAGTGGGTGAGGCACCCAATCCTGGAAGGCCCGTTGCAGCTGCTGTATATGCCACTGGTAAGCTGTCAGCATTTGCCGTCCCTTTGCATAAGACATAGAGGCCAGAGTGAGTCTTGTGGTAATTGATATTCTAAGTTAAACTGCTATAAATAGTCTTAGAATGGAAGAATAGCATTGTATGCACTGACAATTTAGTGACGACTCTTTGCAATCTTTGAACTATTAGCGACATATTACTGTTGGCATATAATGACTGTGAAGAGATATTTATTAGAGAATCGTACACTCGGAGCCGTTGGTTCTTCTTCCATCACTTAGCACATGCATTCAAAGTAGGTGTACATACATAACCATCGGAGTTATTTACTCATTCAGCGATTATCACTTGCGGAGTAAGTGTATGTACAAACAGATCAATCGAACGCTCACGCACACACTCTCTGTCACTGTACAAACATTGAAGAGTATACCTCGGAGAGCGGTGTGATTGTACAGAGGTTTTGCGCAAGCACTTTGCCTACCGGGCCAGAGATGGGGCTCTAACTACGGATGGTAGCGCTTAGAGGAAGTGGCGAGCATATGCTCGACGTACTCACAGAGTGGCTTCCCTGCGATTGCCGTGGCGGCCGATATCGGCGATATGGCCGTGATTGTGGGTGGCTGGGGAGACGTCGACTGGGGCACTGGGTGAGCCATTGCGGCGAGGGTGACAACGTTTTGCATGGACATTGGCGCCAAGAGACCACTTGCCGAAGGAGTTGACGCCGGATCTGCAGCTGGCGATGCTAAACCTTCGTTAGAGTTGCAATTATTTCGTTATTAGCAATAAGAATGTCTCCAGAGATTTTTGTATTATACGATGCAATTTTCCGAGAATCGATAGAATTCGTTAGAACAATGTGCATTTTTAAACACAAAACAACACACACACACACACACACAAATTGATTGGCTTTCAATGCCACAGCAAAGAAAGTCGCAACAGAGAAGTGCACAAGGGTGGAATTGGCACAATTTCTACGGTAATTGCATCTAACAACCAAACACTTGATAAGTCAGAAGCCGGAGTAATTACAAGCCAGATAACATAAATAATGTTCTTTAGAGACTAAATGTGTGGTATTGTTCTCCGTCTACAAACTCACTTACAACAAGTAAAATGAACAATTTGTACATGTAATTGGCCAAGAGATTATAATAAAAAGTACCTTGGAGCAACTGTTGCTGTATTCCAACAGTTTGGAGGCCTTGGAGTTGCTGAAATAGTTGAAGAGTCTGTGAGGGAGGAATTGCGTCAGCCGCCAAGAATGGGCTCTGCTGCTGCGGAGGATTGGGCAGAACAGGTGAGGACATCGTGGTGGCTGACTGCGTGAGTGGCATCGTGAGTCCATTCGATCCCGACACCGTCCAGAGATTCGCCTGCAGCTGCTGAAGCCGCTTCTGCTCCTTGTCCTTCTGCGTGTCGGCGAACTTCACCACAAGAGGAGCCGAGCATCCCTCCATAGTCTTGCTCTGATGGAGTCCCTTCAGAGTCGCACATCAAAATAATAATAATATAATTAGCACAAAATTGCGCCTGCCTTCTGCCTGAGCAAACCCACTGTTCTTCCGCAAGTCTTATAAATTCTAACAATGCAATATTACACATAATATACCTTAATAGCACTTATAGCCGCCTGTTTTGTGGCAAATGTGACGAATGCACAACCCTTGCTCTGTCCATTCTGATCCCTCAAGACTGTGCACTCTTCAATAGCTCCATGTCCTGAAAAGAGCTGCCTCACATCCTGTTCGTTGAATTTTTTGCTCAACATTCCCACAAAGAGTTTTCGATCTGGAATGAAAAGTCAATATTATTTTCAGTTCTAAGCCACGAGAATTGAAAAGCACAGAACTTCCATTATTTTCAACGTTATATCACAAAATCTGCGTGATTGACAATTTCGTCATATATTTATTCCCTCTCCTCTCCTCAATAATACTCTAGGCAAGATTCGACATAAAAATGCCTCACATGTCACATGTGATTTTTGTCAGAAGAACTCTGAAAGACTGACAATTTATCTTTTTCACTGAAAGGCCCACGGAAGTGCTTCGGATAGGTAAATTTGTGTTGTACACATCAAGAAAGATATTTCTTGTGGAAAAAAATATGGTGTTATTTTTAGAACTAGAGAAAGTGTCGTTAATGCCTAATGGATATTTCAAATTAACGAAATTGTGTATTTCTCTCATTGAACAGTGCCGAAATTGTAAGGAAAAATCTGCGAAGAAAAATCCCCTCTCTTCTGCTGCCTTATCACGAGCCATTCTGACAGACGACGTATCATTAGCAAATGTTCCGTGAATGGGTGTATGGAATTCGCTAAATAGACTTTACAATGTCAGTTTATATCACGGATTTTAGTGTATAGTGCTTGCTCAGCATAAACCCAGCCGTCGTTTATCAACACATGGAAAGAAATTCATGCAGAATCAGATTATTCAGAATAGACACCGTAAATTGAGTCAGCGGAATTTTCGTCGCTCTTCACCACTCACACCACATTGGAAAATCAAAATGTGGTTTCGCTACAAGAAGACTATTTATCAGTGTTGCGGAAAATTCAAGCACAAATATGCAACAAGTATTTTACAATATTATATTTACCATCAACTGCAATTTGTCAGATTATGAATGCATGAAATATTGTCACAGAAATGCCAGTCAATAGATGGTCTTGTGTGTAAAAAGCGTCAAATATACTGTATAATTGGGAAGAGAGTCTGAAAAATCAGTGAGCTAGAAATTCCGTGTGGCCACAGAACCACTAAACTTGATTAATCGACTCAGGAGCACTTAGGAAACAGATGAGCAATTTGGTTTCTGGTGGCTTGGAATTCTTATAATAGCTCCTGACCATTCGGAAAAATCGAATAACAGAAGCCTTTAGAAATATAACCTCTCACGATATGAAGGCTTGATTTCATTCCTTTGCGTTCTGGCTTCTGACTAATTACATAATTGGATGATAATCATTACAATAAGAATAATGGCATTATTATCGAAAGTTTTATCAGTGAAATAGGAAAATGCGATATTCATCTCTCATTTTAATTATTCTACACACATTATTTTGTGGCAGATGTTTTTGAATTAAATACAGAATAGTAAAACTGAGCAACATGATATGCTTTTTGCATCGCTGGCTGAGTTAGTAAAGTTTTTGTATAAGAGTATAATATCATGTTAAAGTCAAATAATTGTTGTTTTTATCAAAGAGACGCTTCAAGGCATCTTCTAACTCTTACTCAGATCATTACATTTCACTTTATGCAATGTCTTTCAATGGAGTGCTTGACGACTATTCAATATCCTGCACTGTTTGGCTACAAATTCAATTTATTTACACTCTCTCAGACATAAATACTCCACTTCTGTCGCTATACTGTATCAATCGACGTGAAAGTGTCCGCAAATGACCCCGAAGAAGCGATGCATGTGCCACGAAGAAATCAATAGACTGATTGTAGTGCTATTTATTGTCGTGAGCCACATAATTCAGTTCAAGCAGTGAAATTGTCATAAATATTATAGGCATCATGTATAGATATATGTATATCGATTAACTAATAATAGGCAAGAAAAAAAGCCACATAAAGCACAATAAGAGGTGAGTCGTGTGACATAGATTCTGGATGTACTGAAAAGACCGGAAGTTATTGTAAAAGCTTTTCGGTATAATGAAAATTGCTTTACATACAATTGTGCAATGCTGTTGCCCATATAAATCTTCTTATGGTTCAATTTTATTATGTTACACATGCGAAGATATAGTAAACCAAGGTCGACAGCATCAATACCAATGAAATTTATTTCCACTCATCGAGGAATTCAATGAAAAATGTGAAAAATATCAGTGTGGCAAGAGAGCCTGCAATTAATGTGTCACACATAAATTCCTGCAGTTGAATGAAAATCGAGTCTCATCCTCTTCGATCATTGCCATTTGTCTTCTCGCGAGTGATTGCTCTTCCACCGTCTTAAGTGTAATGTTCTCTCTAATGTAAATTTACAGTATTGGTGGAGAAACAATAAATCAAAAATAAACCATTCAGTATTATGTAAGAGCCGGGGCAGAAACGTCTCGTGGCGTTTTCAGTGATTGCAGAGAAAAATCTTAGAAATGTGCTGGTGCTTGAGACTGACAAGTCTTGTTCTTTTACTTATTTTCTATGGCACTCTTGAGTGGAAAAGGGAAAAAAAGCCGATAGAAAACGAGTATTTATAAACTCAGCTCCGTAAATGATCATCCAAAGTCGATTGAGCATATCTGCACATTTTTCTTACATTGTAACTCAATGAAATAATCATTCTGACGTCGCTGTTAGAAATCGATTTTCATTTTTATTTATCAACAACAGCAGCAAATATTTGATGATACAATTAATTCGATCAATTATTTACGCAAAAGTAAATCCACGTAAAATCAATTTAAAAATTATAAAATTAAATTAATTTCACATATACTATGTGTATACGCTTTAATTAAAGCTCGCGGAAATTGATATTGCATCAAATATCAATGTTTAACTTGATGATGTTTAATGTTTATAAGCGAATATTCTGTGCGTTCATTTTGTTGTGCATAAAAGCAGCATAATGCTTTTAATTAGTATTTTATTTCAATTCAATTTTATTATTTGTCAATTCTATGTTTTATTTACTGCTTCTTTTTAATTACAATATAAGAGTGTGTGATGCTTTTGTACAATTTGTGCAAATAATTGCTTGAACAATCCTCTAGTTTCCATGGAAAATAATGTGAAAAAAAAGATTCACAAATTTAAACTTTGAGTCCTATATTCTGCACATTTCGGGAAGAAAAACACAGAGTTTGTCTCTTGAGAGTTTCCTTGATAGTCATTTAAAAAGTATGCTTTTAGACTCACAAGTAGGAAAATTTCATGAGTGGTTTTCTCAAATCCAACAAGCACGTGTCGCGCTGTGCAAAGAAAAGTCAGCAAATTCAGCACCTTTGCTTAGAAAAATAATTTGTCACGGAAAAATTGCAATATCATGTCCTTGAAAATACATTATCGGCGTTTATTAATTGTTTATTTTGTGATAATGCAGAGCATGTGAAAATGAACATTATTGCGTGCTCGCAGGAATCTATTTGGCGTGAAATTTCACTTTAGTCTGTCCTCAAAACATGTTCAAAACTAACAAAATGTAAAAGCTCGGAATGCAATATGTATGCATGTATGAACAAATGGAAATGCATTAAGCATGAAAGTAAGCAACAAGTCTTCCCATATTTAACATTGCATGCCATTTCAATCACTTTTTGAAGTGCGTTTCGTTCGATGATAGTATTTCAGGTTGTACATATTGGACAAATAATTTAATAAAACTGAGGGGTTAAGAATAGTTATGCGGAAAAAGAGAGCAACAGTTGAGCATTTTATTGGGATTTCACGCACTGTGAACAACAAATTTGACCACAGAGATGGTTAGCAAAATCGCCAAACCGCATGTGCACACTAAAAATCATCAATAAGTCATTCTTGCAATAATTAAATACGTTTTGTGTCGTAGAGGTTATATTACATAGCATGTATTTTAATTGCAAATTTTTAGCGTATAATTGGCATGACAACTTATTTTTAGACAAAACAAAGCGGCAAAGTGATGCTAAGTAAAACAGTCTCTATATTTTGCGGATCTTGGGCAATACGTTTTTTTTCATAAATACGAGAAGAAACGGACATTGCAATATCTGTGGGAAATTTGAGGGGAAAAAACACTTAAGTGTGTCCACTTCAATTGAAGGTTTTCATTATCTATGGAATAACTCTCGCTAATATTCGTGTTTATTGAATTTCCAAACACACGATGTCGTGTTTGAACATATACAAATTCAATCTGTTTCTCAGAAGCTGGTTGTTAGAAGAAGACGATGAAAAAAAGCAGTAAATACAGCAAAATAGCACAATACATATAACAATAAAATTTCTCATATAGGTGAAGATTGTATAACTAACAATAGCGTATAATTTACTAACGTATTCTGAGGGCATTGAGGACGCCATTGGACAGGAAAGTATATTCGACATCGCCTGAGCAAACAAACAATTCTCTCTTTCTTGCTCACCTATTCAACTCTAACACCACTCACCAAGAGGAATTTATACAAGAGATTAAACTTATTTGTGAATGTGAGTTGCATAATAATTAGCAAAGTGTACATTGTTTTACACTACAAATATTAGTTTAGCGTTGTATTTGTATTTAATACCAATTCTTTGTTCAAGTCAAGCTGAAGTTTGTAAATGAAAAGTACTGTGCAAGACTCTCTATGTATATACAGATAAGTATATATTTGGTTTCGACATTACAGTCAAATGTGTAAAGAAAAATATATCATTGTTCATCACTATTGCTGCAAGTCATACGCCTTCAAAATATGCGGACTCGAAATTCTCGTCACCACACAGAAATTTTGAATAACGTACATAGCATCCAGAGATGGCTTATGCTAAGAATTTTTAAATAACCACAACTATCATATTTATGGCAGAAGAATGTAAAATGAAACCTCATTTCTTCTTTGGCGACTATGAGCACATCGATGGTAATTATCCCTAATTCAATTCATTAGGTTTTTTTTCTTCATTCGCATGCGACAGCGAATGGAATAAATAGAAAGTTATTGCGGAGATTCATATGCAATAATCATAAAACACGTTATGCACAGAAACGAAGCGAACGGAAAAGTACATAGTGAACCTTCTGCTATGTAAAAGTGTAAAATGATGACAACATTGGTACAAAAGGCTCTCTGTCATCATTTTTAAAGAATGCAGCACAGATATTGAATGCCTCTTTATCCTAAAAAGATTTTATATTCAGTGAGAGTAGAAGTAAGAATCTCCAATCCGATTATACTGTTATTCTTCTTTGATAATATTTCGGGCTCCTCTGCGTGGCTTCCGAATAAAAACATAATAGGTATATAAGGTATGTTCATACTTCGTAAAATTCTGCTATTTCATCTTCATCTGCCTTTGATGAGTCTGCTCAGACGTATGATGTATTTTTTGGAACGAATTCTTAGGCTATATTTTGCGTGAAAGTGGGATTTTCATTAAGGCCATGTATTTTTAAGGCATACAGAAGCATCATGCTCATGACATGAAAGTAAAATAGTCACCCGCGCATATTGTAAGGTGATGATTATTGTCGAAATTTCCATTTTGGCATTTTTCCAACATTCTTACACATGCACCTATTACTACTTCCCATTATTTTCATCCTTTCAGAATACTCCGAGTGTGTTCTTTGGCGCAATGAAATTTTCAAATTTCCATACAGTCGCCGAATGATGTCAGATTGGGAAGGTGGTGGCAGAGACGCATGGTTGAATTAGCAGTCAAGACACGATACCTCTGCTGGGGGCAATCGTGATAATTCAATTACAGATATGTGGCTGTCATGAAAAAAGTGGCCATCATGTGGTGATAATAGGTGTATAGTGTGTACAATGGCAAAAAGTTCGCAAGTCATGCAAATATGGTGTCCCTTGGACTCTTTTCCCAGTGACTCTCTAAACCATAATTAATTATTAGTAAGACTCCTTAGTGTATTCAATGCATCTCTCTGTGATTTATCTAATGATTTGTACTTCGCAGACCAACCAGAAAGTGCCATCCACTATGAAAAATGTTATATAACCAATTAACATATAAGCATTATGTAATCCTGCAAGTGAAGAGGAAAGAAAATATTCCCCAGAAAAAGGTGTACGAAGGCAAAATTATCGAAGATGTGTGAGCTCATGGACAGTATGTCTGACTGCTATTTACATGGCAAACAGTACCTGGAACGAGGTATGGAGTCGGATTTGGCGCTGGTAACCAATAGGCCGCTGATATGGATGGATATGCTGCATTTTTAGGACTTGCATGTCCTGGAATGGATATCGGAGAATTTCCTTTTGTGCGATTTTTCATGTCCATTCAATGTGAATTGCAGAAAATGCTTTGCAAATTAATTTATTTGCACCAAAACACTCTCTTTTTTTCGGCAATTTTGATGGGGCTCTGTTCAAATTTTACCTCTAGCACATTGTCTCATCCTGGCTGTCACAGAGCTTTCACACGCTGTGCACAAAATTTACAGAATCACTCATTTTTGCCGAACAATATGCCGTGTGCCAAAGGGAGGATTAAAAGCTTGATGGTAATCTTTGAAAATAAATTTTCCAAAGCGAATATTTCGATGGCAACTTGTTACACTGCAAATTGTACATATCCATTTGAGCTTCACCACATATTTTCCATTTAACAGTTCACTCTTTGGGCGACAGTGGAGTTGACACTTTGCTTATTTTATCCATATACTGCCAACATGCGATATTATCATGCACACACTGCTACTGAAGTTTGTATTGTATTGCTGCTATCCGATCGGATTCGATACATATTAATTGAGTGACGATGCAGGTAAATTTCCTTATTCCGCTCGCCGAAAAATCACCACACAGAAACGGGCATAGAAATAGGGGAAAAAAAGGCTCTTACGCACAAGCCGAATAGATCCTAATCACTGTCGCACGTAATATAATACAGTGAGTAAGTGGACTTAAAATATGTCACCAAACAAAAGCGATAGAACACCAACTATTTCTGACTGAGCCTTATTTAAAACTGAGGCATTTTACTTTTAGAATTATTGACACTATTGAAGTCTACTGTGAAGACACAATGAGCAATTTATCGGGTGTAACGTACTTTTGTACCGCAGACGACACGACAGAGATTCATCGAATAGTGAGCAATTGAAGATTGATTTAAATTCGCGCAGTGAGCCTATTAGTAGACGCACTGAGTGACACTGAATACGTTTATTTTTCGCGATTCCCTCTAATTTCACTCTTTGTCGCCCTTCAATTGCACAATAAAAAATTCACCAGTGTGCAATTTGGGTGTAAAACATATTCACAGATTTAAAAAAAAAATTGTTGTGCATTTGGGGGAGGGAAAAGAGATGTGATTTGCAAAAACTGGGGATTACTTTCCGCGACCGACACTCAATAGAAAAGTCTACACATTATGCGGCCGCGCGAACGACTAACTATTCAATGGGCGCGCAATGCTTCAAACAACATACGCAGTCTCCCAACGACATCGTCGTATTTAATATTCACATGGACGATCCACCATCGCGTCTTACGAAAAAACTACATACGCTGCATGCCACGGGCGCGAGACTGTGTTGGTTGGATTTGAGTAATGCCTGTGCAGTACTTCGGCGGAGCACGTCATCGTCAGGTAGAGGATAGGTGATCGTGTTGCAACACTTCTTCACATGGAATTTTATTGACTACACTTCTCGCTGTATTCTGTACCTTTTCAACTGAATGCCAGCAAATTACCTACAAATTGCACATTTTTACACGACAAGCACAACCGAAAGGGATCACAATTAGCCCGCGATGTTCGGCAAAGTGAGAATCACATGTTAATAGAATGGTTTGATAGCTGGAAGAATTTTCAAGACGGTTAGCTGTTTACCAGAGCATGAACTTGTAAATGACTCCATTCTGAGGGGAGATTTCAGAGATCACTTTCGACTATTTCTCCTCTTTTTTGTGTGTAACGAGAATTTTTCAAACTGTTGAATTAATTGATTTTCCAAGAAAATCAAGACTTACTCACCACTCATAATTTCTCTAGAACCACTAAACCAACACATACTTGAATCGCATTCTCTACGCGTAAAAAACCAATCGCGTAGAGAAGAGATTGACTTCCATGTGCATAGAATGTATCGACGGGTGCTCCGAAGACTATCAAAAGTCGTTTTTTGATAGTTGGCGTCTTATGTATGTTTGGATAGATCTTAATGTCTTCTATTACGTCTCAAAATATTACATTTGGATGAGCTAAAAACGCTAAAAAGACCTCATTTTTGTAGTTTTATTTAAATCTTGCCACTGTTAAAATGACGAGAAATCCATCGTGAGTGTCTTTCGGTTCGATAGATGGAAGACGAAAGTGGGAAAGAAAATGGACGGGAAAAATCGACTTATTATATCAAATATTTTCAGTTCGTCTATTAACTCTCTGTATGTCAGTTAATATTTCAATAAAAAACAGTGGAATAATCTGCGAAATATCCTAAAAAATAGAGTAGAGCAATATTATCAATTTAATGAAAGTTAAGAGAGAGTTTGAAGAAAAATTAGTCAAATTTCAAAGCAATATCAAATCTCAAACTTCAAGTTGCTCTACTGAAAAATGGCGATTTTGACTTTTGATCGTCTTCGGGGCACCCGTCGGCTTGAAAAAATGTGCACAGTGAGTGAAATAAAAATACGCCCATCACTGGCTTTGCAATTCAGAACAATAGGGATAATGGATCAAGTTGACATTCACTGTTTTCTCATCTTGAAATTATTCATCGCCCAGCGAATATTCTGAGCGGCGAGATGAATTTTTGAGCTTTGAACAAGAAATAAAAAAACAATTAAATATTAATTTCCCGGCGTTTGTAAAGAAAAATACGTAGAGAATTGCTCTGAGGGCCGAACGGTGAGACAACGCGCGAAGAGTGAGGAAATTCTATAGTATTATTCATGTAGAATATTCATGGCACAAATATGTTACCTACACATGTAGGGTATTGAGTATTCTGGTGCGATAGCGACGATTGAGATGGTGACGAGGGTTTGACACAAAAAACAATAGATGTTACATGGTATTGATTAGTTTGATGAATTTTTTCGTGTGCTTGTCCTTACACGAAAGTAAAACAAAGCCACTCTGTATCCTTATGTCCACATGTTTCCCTGCTTTATTGCTTGTTTAGAGAATTATGGTGGTGTAAAAAATGGGAATTTTTGAGCGAATATGTAATAAAAACGTGTGTGTTCATATTTTTGACACCATTAAATATTGGCATAATTGCTAATTGAGATGACTTGCTGTTCAAGTGTGACACTGTATTGTGTGAAGCTGAATCGGCTGAGAAATAGCTTTCTCAGCTCTTCTCCGCGACTCTCGCGTCAATACGATTCTCCTGTATCTTCGCATTTGTGGTGCCATAAAACATTCATTCGATAGAAAGAATACGCTTTTATTGATCTGGGGAGACACGAAATTGAACTGGAGAAATTTTATGGCTATCTGCCTTGCAATAGACTCACTTTATAAGAGAAGAAGTTGAGTGTCTTCCACAGAAAGTCTAGACTCTTGATCTTTTCTCTCATTTCACTTAAGAGATCTCTTTAATCCTCTCTCATTGGTCTGCATATCTCATGGCGGTTTCGCCGAATGACTTTTTACACCCGCACACAAGCAGCTAACGAGGGAAATTGTATCTCATACTAAATATTTAATATGAAACTCCTAATGTGTGTCCATATCTTGTCACTGTGTTGGTATTTTTCTTCACGTGCTTCCCATGTTGGCAGCGCTGCCGAACGTTGGGAATTAATAAAGACACAATCAATATGTTTTCGTCTTCTTCTTGCATTAAATATCATGCATCATTAGAAACCATAGCAACATAACAAAAGCGAGTCCCTAACCGCAATTGATTCCCTTTTCATTATTTCTCTATAATTTCCATTATTGGACAGCACTCTGCTGAATCCAAATTGCCCACTTACCATTTGGGATTGGACAGTTACAATCCGACAGCTCTTACTGACTTGGCTGAAAAGGTGAATCCAGGAGGTCAAGTGTCGGCGAAAGGAACATAAAATGCCATTGTTGCTACTCAGTACTTCATTTTCGCATCTGTTCTACATACATGTGCTTGCTAAATATTCGGTACTTCAATATACCAAATACAAAATTTGATAAAAAACCTTTCTCAAATTTTCAAAACATATAGTCTCATATCTTTATGTACATTTTTTTCGGTATACCTAACATACATAAGTTTATATGTAGCGTTAAAAATGAACAATATTTCGTTTTCTCTGCACTTTTTCACTTTCATCTTCCATTTCAAAATTTACTATTTATTTTTCCTTCAAGAATTCTTGTTGATGATTTCATTGAATTTTATAAACAATCTCCTGAGATTATAGGAGGTTCGAGAAAAAAGATTCAATGCTTCTTATTACATAGCGACGATGATTCACCTTATAAGTTAATTATTTTTTCACCAAATTCAATTTTCTGTACATTTTTTTTTTATTTCAAGATATGACTTCAATTTTTTTTTCTTTCTTCCTTTTAAGTATCTTCTATTTCTTTGTGTTCAGACTGATTATCACAGTAATTCAGTTATTAACACATACATAATTGTAAACTTCAACTTAAATATTTCATATATAGACAGAATTTCAACTTAAATTACACTAAATCTATTTTCCCTAATTTGTAATTAAAAAAAAAAGTTCTGGATTCCCTCAATTTGAAATAAAAACTCACTGAATTAGATTTTCTCTTCTGGGTATTTTCTTTTCGCATTTATAAAAAAAAATCTAAAATATCTCAAAAGAAGGAAAAACACGAATTTTGAAGAAATCCAAGTATACATTTTCTCGACAATTATTCCAATTTTAAAAGTGATGTAAATACAGAATGTTACGTAAAGTATTTTCCTCTTTAAAATCATATATCGCATAATGCATGTAACGCCAATAGGAAACGAAAATACAACTGGTTAAATGATTATTTTGGCAAATGTTACGATAACGACGATTTTTCTCATTTCTCTTCTCTCTCTTTTTTGTGTGTGTGTGTGAAATATTCCCTTTCCAAAATCCACGTTAAAAAAATACAAGATCTTATCGACTTATCATTTCACGTTTTCCACTGTCTTTTAACATAATACAAAAGACGTTTAATTCATAGTTACATCAATCAGTGTTTGGGTGTGTGGGTGTGTGCGATGTCCTCATTGACTAATAGGGCTTCGATGCGTCCTTTGGCTTCTTCAGTTGTACTTTCAGACGTTTCGTGCCAATCTGGAACCCGTGCATGGCTTTAATGGCCGCATGGGCCGACTCGGCACTGTCGAAGGACACAAAACCAAAGCACTTGGACAAGTTTGTCTGCTTGTCAATGAACACCTTCGCCGATATCACCTTCCCGAATGGCAAGAACGTCGATGCGAGATCCGTGTCCGTGAACTCCTGCGGCAAGTGATAGATGAACAAGTTGCATCCTTCAGGGCCTGCAGAGAAGGTGGTTTGAGAGAATAGTTCATCATAAGGGGGCATTTGTGGTCCCGAGGCTGAGATTCCCATACCTTCGATTTGTTTTCCAGCAGCCGCCGTGGCAGCAGCTGAAGTCAGTGTGATGCTCGACAAAGGGCTGCTTATGCCTCCACTTCCGAACTGCGAGAGCCCCGTCGAGACGAAGGGTGTCGCCAGGGATGATGGATCTGTCCCTACAGACGGGAAGAGAATTATTATTCATCATGCGAGATTACATTTTACAAAATTGAACAAGGAAAACTTAATTCACTTCAACGAGCTGAGTTCATCAAACAAAATTGATAACTCTATTTTCATGAACAATCATCATTACTCTATATGTGTTTTCAACTCCCTCACCTGTATTCGCTAATTTTCGCAAAAGACCTAACAAGCCGAAAGATTATTTTTTTAATTGTAATTCCATCTAAATCTCAATGTAGGCGAGAGCGAGACTCTTTCACATATTTTATCACAGCTTAGCTCGCTCTCTCCTAAAGTCATGACTTAGGAAATATGGTCTTGATTCAAGTTTTCAACACATGGTGATAGTATTGAGTTGAGAAATGTCTTACAGAGCAGTGCTGCCGCGTTGGTCAAGTGTCCTGATGGCGTGTGCTGCGTCGGGGCGATTGTTGGCTGCGAAATTGCGGCAAGAGCGGCCAAGTTCTGCACGGTCATCGAGGGCAGCAGTCCCGTCGTAACCGCAGCCTCTTGTTGACTCGGTAATCCCGCGAGATAGTTGAGTTTCTGCTGGATGAGATGAGCCTCACCCGCTGAGCGAATTAAAGGCGTGTTAATGCTGCCAAAACACAACAAATCCGGAGGTTTCTCACCTTGCAGGAGCTGATGCTGCAGACCCACAGTCTGCAGTTGCTGCAGCAGCTGCAGAGACGCCGGCGAGATGGTCTCGGTGGCCAGAATGGGGCTCGTCTGCTGTGGTGGATTATGAAGAATTGGCGGTGTTACAGTCGTCGATGCCTGCGATAGTGGAATATTGATATTCGCAGCAGCAATATTCCACAGATTAGCCTGCATCTGCTGTATCTTCTTCTGCTCCTTCTCCTTCTGCGTGTCGGCGAACTTCACGACAAGCGGAGCTGAGCATCCATCCATTGTTTGACTTTGGTGCAAAGCCTAAAAGAAACATTTTTGATTATTCTCCACAAACCCCTCAGCAGAGGCACACTTTCATTACACCGCAGAGTACCTTTATAGCGCAAATTGCGGATTGTTTTGTGGCAAATGTGACAAAGGCACAACCTTTACTTTGTTTATTCTGGTCCCGCAGCACTGTACACTCCTCAATTTTGCCATGTTGATCAAAGATTTGTCTCACATCATCCTCACTCAGCTTCTTATTCAACATTCCGACGAACAGCTTTCGCTCTAAGCATGTTGTAAAATATGGGAAAATCAAGTTTAGACAGAGGAATGGAAACCAAGGAAAGTTATATGTATTTAAGAATTACCATTTCGGTTCTCGCTATCAGCCGGCTTCATCTGAATAGGATGATGCATCTATAATGAGAAAAATTGGACGAAAATTGTTGGTTATTCTGTGAAATATTCTATCCACATTCGCATACATATAATTTATTGTTTGATAAATTGATTAAACATCCTTTTGTAATTTAAAAATGTAAAATAATTTTTATTTCATCGTCCAATGTTGGATATATCACGAGAGAAAAAAAGGCCATCCTTGCTTATTCGCATACACTAATACCCAGGAATTGGTCATTTTTATTTATATCGCGCTGTGGGTGCATAAAAGTATATTGTACTTAATTGAGTGGAAAATGGGTCTCTATAAATAAACATTTTTGTATCGATCTTTAAAGAGGCTACAAATAATTTTATCCCGACTATGCTTACCTCGACAAAAATGCAATAAAATTATTTATTCACCGAGAAGCATTTGTTAATTAGGATACTTTGATTAGAGCACCAATTAAAATTCATAGTGTAAGGATTGAGAAGAGAGATAGAAAAAAAAATATATAATCTCCACATGCATCACATAAAAAAGTGTCGGTACGCTACATGTATACAAAATGTACATATAACACAGCATAATCACAATTCATTAAATATAACAGATTTGAAAATGGTTGTTCGTGTTCAGTTTTTTTTCTTCTTCTTCTATTCCATATACAACATTTCCTGAAATATCACTGTTCAATGAACATTACTTACCCCAACAAGTGTTTTCACATTATGGAGTGCATCTTGTGCTTTGAGAGCAGCTTTTCGGGTGAAGAACGTCACAAAACAGCACCCTGAAATATACAGAGAAAGCACCGTAAAGCAACAAAACAGACAACAAACATATACAGTATGTTGAGAGAGAGAGAGAGAGAGTGATAGAGAAAATATATAGAGATGGAAGCAATTTTATTTTACAGAGTGTTGCAATCTCAATTTTACTAATTAATTTGAATCACCAATTAGTCAAAATCTAGCGTCATATTTTTCATTTCAAAAATTTTCATCATGTATACAACACAACACTCTGCATCTCAATTAGAACAAGTGCCTTCTGAATTGATATATATATTTTATGTATCTCAGTGAATGACACGATTGATGATCATAAGGAGACGGAAAAGCAGATAGCACATATAAAAAAGGGGGGGGAGAGATGTTGTCCTGAAAATATCTGTGAAGTGCAAAATGACAGTCAAAACAATCAAATTAATTACAAATAGGTACTCTTTTTTACGTCTTGATGGCTGAAAAATGTCATGCACGCGACGCTTTATGTACATACAAAATACACGAATAGATGACAGGAAGAATTTCACAATGATCTCAATGAATGGCTCTCTACTAGAGTTATTTTTCTATATGCCTATAAATCACATTGAAGATATAGTCTCAGCTGTACTGGTAAGCCTTCAAAAATCCGCTCAAAAATATCGAGTGTGACAAAAAGGTATAGATTGAAGAATATTATGTATTTTTGTGAAATTTTCCTCAGTGTGCATTTGAATAACTATTGCGAATTTTACCATTTTTGCATTAAAATGCTAATCTTTGGAGTAGTTTCCTAATCTAATGTATTCATTGGAAGAGTGCAACTTTCGTCACTTTGTCGCGAAATTAGGTTTTGTTGTTACAGTGAATTTTGGGGCATAATTCAAGTATATTTTCACTTACCTTTACTCACACCCGTAATTTTATCACGCAGAACATTAATTGAGTGGACTCGTCCGAACTCCTCAAACATCTCCTTCAGTTGATTCTCATCCATGGTCTTGGGTACTTGTCCAACGAACATCTTGATATAGTCGGGATCTGGCTGCTCGCTCGGTGGACTCTCGCATGGGAAATCCTTGTCACAAAGGCCATAGTTGTTGTTGGCAATGGAGATGTTGTTGTTGTTCGAGTTGCCACCATTGTTCATGCTGCCACTGTGAAAGATTGCAAAAGTACAGGAAAATCCATTACAAACTTCTCGCGCAAGCGGAGAAAATTCTTAAAATCGGGATTTATTTGCCAGCAAACTATTTTTACTCACTTCAATTTATCAAATTTCTCATTATAGTCGAAATACTTAAAAAAGTCAATGAGCGGCGTGTAATGCAACATTGTACTAATTATATTTCTCAATTCACGATCAAGTAAAATAAAGCAAAAAAAATACTTTGATAATAAAATTGGGAATAATCAATAAATTATTCAATCAAATTCAAATACAGCTGGATTTTCTAAAGGGATTTTCACTGGGAAATTGTGTTGCAACAAAGCACGCGCACGGAAAACCCTTTGAACTTCTCACAGGACAAAATTCGACTGAAGTGTGGTAAGATTTTTATTCTCCACCAGAAGCTCAACCAGAAATTAATTTTCCGTTAGAGTAATTAGTGGGGAGGTCGACAGAGAGAACAGAGAGATTTGAAAAAGTGATACGAGCACGAAGAGAGAGAGTGAGAAGCTCCTCTGCAGAATTTCTAGTTGCAATTTTTGAGACAATATAATATATTGTTCGAAAGTTTCACCACTGTGAGCAGGGTCAAATTTCAACAAGAGAAAAAGTTTGAATAGACGAGCAAAATGTACAGCGCGCTTCTCATTACAGGGAATTTTATCGTGCTCCTGCTAAACGACTCTTCGGACGAATATCTCTCCCTTCTCGAGCTCTCTTTTGAATTCCCCATATATTAAATTTATTTTTCTCCGCTGCCTCTCGCTCAGTCCGAGATAAAAGGTGCCCAAATATTGGCCACAATATCGACCTTATCTGTGGTTTTGTCCCCCCCAACTGTTGATGTCAATTGAAAACAAAAGCCCTGAGTGTCCTTGTAATTTCATGATGAACCGTGACAAAGAGAATGGCCAATAGCTTTAATCTCACTGTGTGTGTCCCTGGAAAAAAAACCTGCTCTAAATTCTGTTTACCCAGATAGAGAAAATTTAATTGGACAAGTAATTTCACGCAAAAACGTTTATACGTATATTACTGCAGGAACTTCTTCTTGGTATATCATTTCTCTTATCTCGAGGAAACAGTGCATAAATACCAAGAGGATTAAGTCACTTAATGTGATGCTGTTTAGATGGCACAATTACATGAGAGGACAAAAGCTACAAAATTGTCTTCTCCCAGTAACAATAGTTCAAATACCAAAGGAAGCTTCTGTGAGAAGACAAATTGCGCTGAAACATCTCGCAGAGTATCGATTTATTTTCCGCACAATTAAAAATTATACACTTAAATCACTCTTCATCCATCTTTGTCCTCGACACGCGCATAATTGCAAATATAATTTTTGCTGAGCCTGAGAGAGACACAACTGAGAGCGAATTTTCCCCTGGAGACCCTTTCTGAGCTTTTGCTGTTATTGACACTTGAGAAAAATTATGTGTATTCGCATAACCCAGGCGATTAGAGGGAATAAAGGCGGAGGTTCTACAACAATTCCCTCTCAAGCCGGCATTTGGCCGCCCGAAACGTGAAACGCCTTCAGCTATTTACCCACAAATCGTGCCTTGTGTGCATTTCAAGGAATAATCCCATAAGCTTGTTGCACTCTGAGATTTTTTTTTCTTCTTTCCAGACCCAGTCAAATACTTGCCGGAGCATTTGCGTTGTCCAATTTGGATTAGATCACAATCAGTCAGCTCTGCGGGATTGTATTGAACTTGCCTAAATATTGGTCCACACGGTCTGCCAATAAAATATACTCAACTAATACACTTCGTGTTCCAAATATTGCCCCATGGATGTGTATTATTAACATAGATACTCTGTTGAGGGTCATTTTCCCTACCATTATTGCTTGGACAAGAAGTCGAAAGTGATGAAGCAATACAAATTAATTAGACTGCCATGGCGCCTAATAATGTATCATCTCCTGTGTAATTACTTAAATATTTCCATCCCCTCAACATATACTTTCACCCTGTTATCACCACACAGTGACTCCAAGTCAAATAGGGCACCTTGATATTCACTTAATCAAATTTTCATATCGAACACTTATAGAGTCCAGATAAAATAATGAAAATCGACAGGATATATATCCCGACGGGAAAGTCACTCGCGATTTTAGTCAATTTTGTGACTATTCAATTATTTTTTGATTTTTTCGTGATTTTTATTCAAATTTTGATTATCCCTTACAAATTTCAATTGGTTCTTGATATTTCGTGATTTTTATTTAAACTTTGATTATTTCATACAAATTTCAATCATTTTTCGATTATTTTATTCAAATAATTTAATATTTGATTGACACCATTAAGTTTGCTCAAAAATCGCCTTGTGACTTGCCCATTGATATATCCTGAAGACATCATATCATAAAGGGATTCAGGATTGGCCGAATATCTTGAAACTTGCCATGATAATTACTTATTAAGGAGGGAAGATTCGTGGAAAAATTCAGATCTCTAGCTTTACGTGGTCTTAGAGGCTCTATTTGATTTGGAGTCACTGTACATATTGATCAATTCATGAATATTCTGGTATATTCTTTCCATATGCGTTACTAGAGAAAACGATAATAGCTTTCGTCCTTTCTCAGCTTTGCTCACTTTGCCTCAGCAGATGAAAAGAGCAAACTTGACATGTAATATAAAGTGACTATTTAATTTTGTGAACCACCAGAGTTGTTTATAATCTGCCCAAACTTTGCGCAACTTGTTGTACATTTTATTCTATTTCCGTCTTCCTGGAAAAGTTAATCTGTCCGAATGACACTCCATATTGCAAAGGTCACAGAAATACTCTATGAATATTGTACTCTATTCAAACTATATATGCAATATGTATTTGCATAAGCATAGTCAGTTTTGGTTCTTGCACAGAGAGAATCTGAAGCAATCTCTGCCTTTTAGTAAATTAAATGAAAACTCAGCTAGCAAATATATAGAACAAACTCTGGATGGGAAGTCTAAAGTGAATGGTCTTAATTTTTCCACAGACTAAATTGAAGTTCTTCAGATATTTATCACTCTGCACTGCTTGCCTAAATCTGTTCGTAATTCGTGCAGATGTAATGGGGGTGACTGACTACGTGTTGAAGGTGTTGAGGGGAAATGATAAGATAGTTCGAGATCCGAGTCTATCGAGTGTTATCTCACTCGGAGGGGATTTTTCGTGATAAGGAAAAAATGGGTTAATCCGATTGCATGCATGTGAGAGTGTATGCAAATGGACTGTCCAAAAATACATTGGCCAATTTCACTTTGAGCTTCTCTTGTGGTTCAATTGGAAGCCCTCCGGGGCGGCCATAGGAGAGCGCGATGTGAGAGCGAAATGCCACGCTGATTAAGGTGATTATCTAAAGATAAAGGAGACAAATGGGCGAATCAGCGCTTGACGCGGTGCCAAATTGAAATAATGATGATGGGCGAAGGAATTTTTCACGAAATTGGCACCAAAAGTGAATTCTTCAGCAGACATTCAATCTGACATTCAAACCAAGACATTTTCTGCATGACCTTTTCAGCAATCATTGAGCAATCGGCCCCTCACTCCCAACGCCAAATAACATCAAAAACTCCCGCTGCGCCACCCAACAAAGTTACGGAAATACATCGGCCAGACAATGAGTGTTGTTCAGGGGGAAGGGAAATTGTGGCAATTAGGCGCAGCATCCAGTGCATGATGAGTTAATATAGAGTGATTAATAGGTTTTCTTCTATATACTTACTGGTCTCTCGCATGGGCCTGCTCCTGCTTCGAATATGGATGAATATTGGAGATTATCTTGTTGGCATTGTTATCCACCTGCTGATTCGGACTGTTTTTTCCTGATCCAGGAGAGATCTTTCCCGCCAGAGCGTCCAATGAACTCAACATTTCCATTTAACTAATTGCTGAGGTAGATATTAATGGCTTGCCCTATACCGTTGTTATCTATCGCTGAAAGGAGAAATATTCTTTATGTCACACTGTCACTCTTTCAAAGACTTTCTCTTCTTCCACTGTGTCTCTTCTGTCTGACGCAGTAATTACAAGGAGTAGCGAGAGGAGACAAAAAAAACTGCTATTTCTTATTCTCAAGACTTTCGTCGAGTTATACACGGAGAATTTAGGAACTTCTCCTGATCATTATTGTACGAAATTCCACACGGGATAAAAATATGCCGCGAAGTTGGCGAGAGAGTAACTTTGACACAACTAAATTTGAGTGGAAAAAGTGAGTGTATCATGCGACAAAGGCAACATATTACCCGTATTGCGTTATCGCATTTTATATCACACTGCTCCGCGGTGATAACATTTCCTAGCAACGGCCAACAATTCAACAGATAAGATAGCAAGCCTCTACCTGTTATACGGTTTGGAGTTTGGAAATTTTCGTTTTGCAAACACAAACACTTGTGTGAAATACATCGTTACATTCGTCTCTATCTCACCTCCACTTCTTATCAGTCCGTGTACTTGACAAGGCGGGGGCAGATCGTTTGCAATAAGGACGAACAGGGGGGATTTAGAGACTGCCGACCCTTTGAATTAGCAATCTTGATTGTAAATGTTTTCATTTAACACAATGTGCTGCACAATCCAGAAAATCAGAAGCATATATTGATTGAGTTCTCAATGAGTTTAGTGTTCTCAGTCAATTGTGCAAAAGGTCATCAAGAATTCAGATTGCATAGAATCTCACACGCGGTGTGGAAGGTTTTTGTGCGAAAGAAGGATATCTTTGAGTAGATTCTTCAATACAATAATTCACTTTGCGATATTATTTGCCTGTACACGGATTTCCTTGCTACACAATACGGTGTATTTTCTGAGGGAAAATGGAGGAAACCTTCGGAAAATCGCATATTAGAGTAAATTCGATTTTGCTCAGGTGGTGTGGGTGGAATCTCAAATCCACGCAGCGCGCGCGATGGCAACTTTTTTTTCTGATTGTGGCGAACAGCGCTTTTTTTCGCTCTAGATATAACTCTCATCAATCCCCAATGAAGCATTCACTCAGGCAAATGTATTCATGTTATGAGCATTTATTGAAATTTTAGTGTCACCCCTGGCAGACTCTCTCACTTTTCTCCCCTTTGTTTTGCGTTGAGCATACATGATTCCCGGCTATAGTGGCACATTCTAGGACGGCATTTGTGCTCCAATATGTCGATACTACACATAGTGAGGGATATAATCAATGGTATCTGCCATTTTTCTATGATTAAAATTCCAACTGAGTCACCTGTCAATTCCTAGACCAGAATACATTCAGCAGAAAGTCCCCTTTTTTCCCTATTCTAAACCCACTTAGACTTAAGCGAGAGGAAAACTCAATATGAGTAGAGCAAATCCAAATGTGTTTCGATAAAAATACTCAGTCTCAGATTTCCATTAACCGCTCCTGAATTCGATTTGTCAAAGTGGAGTGTCTGACAATTTAGTTCGATTATCTCTGATTAGGAGCAACTTTCAATCTTTAATCTTGATTTGGACAACCAACATGTGTGGCAACATGAAAGCAAGGAGGATATATGACCTGACCGACCTGATGAGCATGAACATAAAATGGAATGAGTTTTCCCCATATTCATCCATGAATTCTATGTATATTGCTGCCCTATGCTTCAATGTGAAGCAATTTTTTGTCGCCTTTGTCTCATTTAGTGAAAAACAGAGCCGGTGCTGAATTAATGAAAAATCACTGATGGGAATAACTTTGAACTTCGATGGATATAATCAGAGAGTTTTCGCCTCAATTGTCACTGTCATTTAGCTCTTTTTTTTCTGCTGCTTTATGTGGAACTTGTAATGCTCATTCGTGGTTGAAAATGTTGTAAACTTTGTTGCGGGACTAAATGAAGTGATGTCCTGAGAGCCTTTCATGGGGGAAATTCCACCTTATTCAATAGCCTTTAGAGTCATTCATCACCGAAACGGAGACAAATATCGATTTCCACTGATATAATAGGATTTATTGTGACAATTTTCTTCGTTTCCACGACAATGTTTTCAGGGATAATCGGGATAATGGTCCCATGACGATCGTAACTCAAGAGCTAATTAAAATTCCGTAGGTGGAAATCGCTATCGCGAAGGATTTGCTTCATTGAATTCGACCCTTTCATGATTTATGGTGCATTTGTGCGTTTCAGTATACCTTATATCACCCCCTTTATGCCAGGAGACTGGCATTATTTCGCAAAACGGATTACATGTTGAAGTTCTTGAGTATGAAATTGGACCCTCAATTCACAAATTACAGTATACCCTTTTGCCTGCTAGCAAATTGAATTTAAGGTATACATGAAATTTGGCGCTAGAAAGTTTCCATATATCAAGATTTCATTCAATATTTATTGACATTGATATTGGCGCTGCTGGAATTTCGCGGTAATTCCCCTATATAAATTGCCACTTATCTCACAAACTTTCCATGCGGCATTTGTAGGAAGATGTTGGCTTTGTAAAGCTCAAGTGACAAAAGGAAAAAGGATTTTTCAAGCCAATTTCCGCTCCAGAATTTATTGAGATTTCCTTTCACATTCACCAGTGCAAACTCATGTAATTCAATGGGAAATCGAATATTTCTTCTTATCCCGAAATTAAATCGATATACATTTGGGATTCATCTAATAGAGAGAGAGAGAGACTTTCTTAAAAAATAAAAGCAGTAATATGATTTTGGGAAAAACCTGTAAAATTCTCCTTTGCATACTTTTCCATTGAGCTTGAGTAATTGAATGAATTTCTGTGACACTCGAAACTGTTTCTTTTCAACGCCAAGAGTTTGTGTCATTGAAAAAGTTCACATTTTTCTTTCCATAGTTGCAAAGTGACACTATCCAAAGGGTTCTCTTTGCTCAAAGTATCACACCGAAGAGAGCCTCATCCTGTTGTCTGTGTTTATCATGGGGAAAAAATATCACTGGTGGAGAAATTGTGACGAGGATAATTCACTTAACAGTGTAAACATTATTATTCAGCAACATGGAATTGTTCACCTATTTTTATTATTGAATAATTCGGAGGACACAACAGTTTTACACTCAATTGAACGCATTTTCGATCAATAAAATCTGGCGGAGTGAAATTGAACAGATGTAACAATTGCTACTTTGTAATCATTTTACACTTTCACTCCAGAGGACGTCCACTATGGTTTTGCTTTTTGGTGGTACAAAAAAAAAACTATGCTTCCTGTGCAAAAGTGTCTCGATATTTCCGCGAAGTGTCACTGCTCACTGGCAATTGTCTCACAAGTCAGAGAAGAGTGGTTCTCCCCTCAGACACTGCAATAGTCCTCGAGCGATTTGTTTGCCGTCCGATTGAGTCCATAACGAGTGATGCCTCACGGAGCACTGTCTGATAAATTTGCAGGTTCTTGAAAAAAGATTACAAGCGGTGAAAGTGTTCCGTAGCCTCAGTGCGAGGTCGAACGACGGCGTCCTGGCAAGGAAACTGAACACTCCAGCCTTTACTGAGCGTGTGACACTTACACGGTAGTAAATGCATCACATCGTGGAGTTACGAAGGTCCGCGAATCCCGCATGATGCGACTGCGCCCTGGCCAAAATCTTACCAACCATTAATAAACTTTTATTACACAATCACATTGTAGGTGTTACACTGTAAACCCACACTGCGAGCCCGCGAAATATTAATGCATAGTGACAAAAAAGGCAACTACACTATTATTATTATTGACAATGAATGGCTCAAACTCTGGGATGTTATTAGTTATAATGCTTCGGGGGCTCCGCATAAATGCAAATTTACACTTCGATTCGGCACTCAGTATTTCATCCACATTAATCTGATTACCATTTGAAATTACTTTAAGTGGTGGCGCAAAGGAAAACTGCCTGTTTAAACAGCAAATGCTAATTCAGTGGGTATCAAATCAAAACTGAATTGTTTCACCATAGTCAAACATATCTGTATACGCAGTACACAGAGGAAAAGTTGCACAGGATGTAATAGTTTTCGTTTACATAAATATAAATAAGTAAACAAATAAATATACATATTCTACAGGGTGTCTTGAAAGAACTTCAAGCGAAAGTGGTTAGGAAGAGAGATTTGGGGGACTGAATAAATATTAGATTTTGCAACTCAAAAAAGGGGGGGTAGAATTATGGATAATCATCAAAGTCAATATCGTTCTTTCCAATGTTCCATAAAAAAATTACTGTGTGCCGATCGGTTTCCGAAAGGACGTAGTTTTCCATTGAAATATTGAGTTCAAGGAATATGGAGAGTCGCAAGAAATGACAAATAGAATTATATAGTGCACTAAATTTCTCTGATATAATGGAATTGGTACCTTCTGCCGCAATTATATCATTGAATGAAGATCATTTTGCTCAGTTTGTATCGATTTCTTGTCCATTTCAGGCGAATGCCACTTAAAATTTTTCAATCTGATTGATCAATGATGCAACAAGTGGCTCATAATGTTAGTCAATGTCACTTCCAGTTTATTCAGATGCCTTGCATTTACACACCTTCTCATCCTGTAGCATCTTCTCTATCCAGCAAAACCATCCAGTTTAGGAGTTTACTCGAGAATGTCTGAAGGGAAGTGTGGAGGTATATATTGTTGAAAATTTCCCACTTGATAAAGTATCGGCCGATGGTGCACGTATTATTTAAGTGGAAAACAGTGAAATTGGATATGAGTTTCATTTTCCACCTTCAATTCAGGAGGTGGATAGGAAGACGATAAGTGGAGTAACTCCATATGTCGCATGTATCATGCAAGCTTTCTCGGATCGTAAATTATTAAATACACTGAAATGTGAGCCTCTCATTTTGTTCAGGGATACAATAAATACATACAGGTATTCCCAATAATAGAAATCAATATCCACGGCCAATTAATAATTGAGAATCGAGTAAAAAGTGAAGAGAAATAGCGTCTGACCACCGCCAGTCGTGCCACACGAGTGGAAATTCTATCAAGGAGGAGTGGAACAATTTTCTCACTATCGTGGAAAATATGCTGAGAATTCAGGAACACCCTGTCTAGTACATATTTGCCAAGTGTGACAACTTTTGGAAATCCAAAGCATTTTCTATTTTTACTTCTCATCCGGATCATTTTAATATGAAACACTGCTATCGTATTTTCATTAGAAATGATGAGTTTTCTACAAAATGCGAGCAAAAAAAAACGGAAGATTTATTTTAATCACGGAAAAATCTCAATCCATGGACATGCATGTATTGCGACACATAATTCATATGTACATATATAAGCAACATATGTATGTGTTTCACTATTTCGGTCAGTATCAAAACTAATTATAACATCATCGCCATATCATTTAATACAAAACTCTCAAAATTTATGCCGAATTATGACAGTTGGACCAGGAAAAAATAGCACATGAACCTCAATTGAGTAATCTAAATTTATGTTTATTGTTTCTCTTTATGTTATCCTAAAATTATATATTTCAATTCATCCTCCATTTCACACTGACGGATATACAATCCACACTCGTTCAAAAAATATACTTACCCCTGAAAAAAATGTGTGATACAAATTTAGGTCTGTGCGCGTTTCTTTTGGGAAACATGAAGTTTCACTATCAAAAAACACCTGCCCAATTGCCACATGTTGATAAGTTTATACAACTGAGACCTCTACATTGTGCATCACATCGCAGCATTCCTCTGTGATAGCATTATTATTTCTAACACATCATTTATCAGATTGTAAATCCCATTTAGCGCTTAATAAAGGAATAATTTTTATGTATGACGATAAAGACATATTATTTGAGCAAATAGCAAAAGATACAGACTTTCCTATCATTTCATTATTTGGCTAATTGTATTGCACAATAATTTTCTTCTCAATATTTATTTAGATTCTCTGTCGCTATGGGAAGGCGTGAGCCAAGAAAATATCACTAAATTCTCATGATATCGCATAATTTATTTGAATTGTACAATTTTGCTTGCAATTAATTCTGAATTGGATCCAAATGGGTGGAAAGTTCCATTAAATACATATGTGTAATGGGACAAAATTATATCATTTGTTATTAAATGGGCCTTTTTTTTCTTTTGAAAACCAGAAAAGCACAGTGAGACACACAAAATTCCTTTTATCTCTGTGGGATGAATAACTGGATAGAGGAGTGTTAAATTTGGGTTGATATAAGTGCTGGTATTTATGACACTTAGGATAGATTTTCCTGCTTGACTAATTTATGCAATATGTTCTGGGGCAGCAAAAATGCTCTCAGTTTATGTGATGTTTACTCTCTAGAAGAAAAGTGGGAGGAAACAGAACGCATACTTGCAAATATATTCACACTTTTTGGTGTACATAGAGAGGTGAAACGACACAAGACAAATATAAAAGCGTATATCACACAACAGAAATTAAACAGTGAAAAATTATACTATGAACAGTGTCACAAAAGCAATAAACAAAATTTTGATCATTTACAACAGAAATGCAAACATTTTCGCGTTCGAGAGAAACGTGGTTCCGTTCGTTTCACTGCAGATGATCATGCGCGACTGCCTAAAAGTGTAGTATCTGGTGGAGTGACTCGAATGTGTCTTATACTATTCTATTAAACAACTCAATATGATTGGTGATAAAAAACGCTCTGCCAGACACACTGTGAAGATCCACGGAATTTTGTGAAAAATCAAGCGCAGAGAGTGTATTGAAAATGTGAAGATAGTGTTTGCAGTCTTATCAGCGTGATGGCTATATGAATATGAGTGATACTGTACTATGTGGACCGTATTTAAGATTCACACATTTTTTTTACAGCAACACAAATTACTTCAAGGCGAGCAAAACTTATTTACGTGCTGGAATTTTTATTTTTACTTAATTTCCACACTCTCTTTCTCTATCACTTACCCACACAGATTTGCCATGATAACCTACTGACTTTTCCTAATCAGTCTCAACTTTTTTATCTTCACTCTCGTTGTATAATCGCCAAAGGCCTTCCGAGCCTAATGTTTACGATGCAAGAAGTTCTTTTTATGGCTCATATTTATTAGAATGATGACGATTGTATTTGAGGAGTGTTAAAATTAATACAAGAGCGAGCTTCAAGAAATCTGCAAGGCAGTGTGACGCGAAACACTCTGAGAACAGTGGGAACAGTGTGGCACGACTGTGCTTAAGCAAAGACACCGCCTTGGAGGAGATAGAGTCTGCCTTGCCGACAGCGCAACAGGGTGAGAAACTCCAGCGCTGAGATCAACCTGTTATGGGCTTGCTAAACAGACGAATTCCTCATGGAATAGTGTGAATGTATAAAAATGAGAATTATGCTTCCATAGGCAATTACAGAGCGCTTTGCTCGCTGGCCAGTGAGCAACTTCTCTCTATCAAATGTGACCCTGCGGATTTTGTGGTATACTTAAGTTTGGGAAAAAGAGACTCCACGCAAAGTGATTAAGTATGCATGAATATACAGTTTACGGCAAATATATAATACCTATCATTTCCTGTTGAATTTCCAAGGGACGACAATGTGACAGAAAATTATGGTTTTAGTATAGAAAAATGTGAGAACAGAAGCTGAAAACAAGTTTGCTTCTTTTTGATCCATTTTTTTCTGCCTTCACATTTTGCCCAAATCATATCCAAGAGTCCGTCGGCGAATTCATTTGTTGTGCTCCATCGGCAATCGACAGTTTTGCGGAGTTCGCGGCCGGTCGAATGCGCGGGGGGAAGATGGATTACTATATGGATCCACGCCTGATGCAGCTGTCGCGAGATCGGGCAATTGAAATGGCGAAATTTTATGTGTGGTGGAAAAAGAAACACAGAATTTGTAAACTGAATGTAAAATTCAAGCTGTATATTTTTTAAATTCATTTTAACAGTGTTCATCAGATACTTATATATATATATTGGGTGGCCGACAAATGCAAGTGCACGATTTTATCTCACAAATTGTAGACGATGCGCGGCAAAAAATTTACAGACAATGCGAATTCGAATTGAATTCTGGGCTGTCTAAAGTAAATATATTTAAATTTACTCTTGGTGGTTTCTTAAAAATTATCTCTTTACCTACCATAATTACAATTTGAAAGCCATCTACATAATATCTTTGCTCAAAAGTTGTTGCAATAATTGACAGCTTTCTCATCCCAAATGGTGGTTATTGTTGATTTATTTCGCCATCCCATATGTACATAAATTGTGTATAAAACAGAAGTGTTCCTGCTTATTTTTCTTCTCTATTACATACTTGACTAGAAAAGTGAAATATAAATATTTAGTAAAATCTGTTCATTTGTGATACAAATTGTTCGAGAGGAAAAAAAAGTATAAAATTTACACCTAAAAATATTTGCTGTAAAACAAACATTCAGATTGTGATGTGATATGTATCTTAAAACTTAAAACATACTTAAAAGCAAACCACATAATTTTTTTTATCATTCCTGACGAAAGAACTTAAGGAAATGATTCACATAAGAGAGATTGTTGGGACGGTTTTGTGATGATTGAATTGAAAAGCTTTTAATTGTCAGTCTTTAATCACTCATCATATCTTTTGAGTGACTTTTCTGTTTTGCAGATACGACAATAGGCAATTTAGTAGACGAAATGCTACTGTAGTTGGAGAAGATCTTCACGCTTCATACGCAATATGGAAAAGTAATAGTAAATAAATTGAAAAACTGCACGGGATGATGAATATTCGATGTTCTACTCAACTTTTTTTTTTGATTAGTGGAAAAATGTGGCTTTCTCATAATTAAAGCAGAAAAGCAATACTGAAGAAGTCATAGATGATTAAAGTGTAAAGGGATTATTCTTGCAAGCAAACAGAGTCCGAGAACGAATTTAGAATAATGTACGGGATTTGATTGAATATTCAATCTCGTAAATCATATACACAGGTATAATGCAATAAAATAGAAAATTAGCTTAAGAATCGTGAAATCTGATATTAACTGTCGAATTAAATGATCAATTATAGCATAGAGATTTTTTTTCCACCCGTACAGCGTGTTTGTCAAAGTATCACTAAAACTTCCAGAATAAATCTCAAACATGAATGCGATCAGACACTTCGGTCTCATTTCAACCAAAAATCAAATCAAGATTTTCAGGAGATTTTGTAATATCTCTCGCTCATTATTTTCCACAATACATAGTTGGGAACTGCTCAAATATTTTGTCTCATTGATGTTATATAAGGTGAATTTCATTGACACAATCAAAGTCTTTGATCTAAGGTCCCCGGTATTATTAAATTATGTGAAAAAAGAAATTCCATGTATTTAATCTTCTGTCACATGATTGTATTAATAAATGTACAGTTAAAAAATGTCATAAAAAGATATGGTTCCAGAGGCCCAACAAAAAATGTCAGAGAATCTACAAGAAACTGAAGCAGCACAAAAAGTGATTGAAAAGTGTATCTATATGTTTTGAAGCGTAAAATGAAAAATGAGACTGGCATATGTGATACATAGCATAGAGCTAGAACTATATTTTCTGAATCAATTAAAATTCTAATAATACGTGCACAGATATATGTTACTTAAAAACACCAACATGATTGTCAAGTTCTTACTATAACCACCGTAGATTGATTGAACTTCAGCATTAATGTGGATTTCACGAGTGATAATCATATATGGAGCATTACGTTATGTATTCTATGCTTTATATGGTTTCTCAAGCGCGAAAACTTGTGACGAAGTGTTTTTAGAATTTCGGAAAAATTATCTCAAATTGCCTGAATTCATTTAACTCTTAATAAATATAGCCATCTTATTTCAACTCAAATACAAAAATGGTAATACTTTTAGTTACAACAGATATTATACATTTTCATACTTATTCCGTATCTTCGTTTATGGATTCGTCTTCAGTCCCAGATTCACCTGATGAGCGAAAAATACTTGTTCTAGACTCCCTGTGTCGTTCCTCGGATTCCCCAGATGAATTAGAGATGCATTTAGAACACATTCCCTGATGTATGATATTTGATGATAGCAAGTACACTTTGCCGCAGCTCAGGCACTCTTCTTGCGGATCGCCTTAAAGTGGAAAATAATAAAATTGTCAAAAGACCATTTATGAGAAGACCATCGCGAGAGAGACATTCTATAAAGTCTCAAACTATCATCGTAGATTATTGTGTGTGTATGCAAATATTGCGTGATAGATCGATCACAGTCACACGACATTATGCTCTCTATTGCCTTTTTATATCCCTTCTTTCTGAAGCATTTTAAATCTCCAACTCCTCTTATTATCATTCACTGACTCTTTTTTGTTTATTATATTTGATGGTGTCTCGGACATATGCATACAGTCAAACTTGAACACTGCATGGCATGATCACAGATATTTTATTATAAAATGTACCCATTCCATTGGAAATCTAACTATATGTATGTATAATATGTGGTGTAATGGAATATAAAAGAAGGCAGAAAACAGGATGTGAACCGGTTACTGATCTTACGGTCATAAAGCAATAATCATCTCATCAACCTGAAGTAAGAAAGAATGAATTTAAAATGATCTCGCCGCGCTTCTGTGCAAAGAAGAAATTTAGCCATAAGGCGATAGTATCTTCGCCATGAATGAATTGCAATATGGGAAACTCAGCTCCTCGCACTCACACAAATATGTATGTATGTACATATTTTATGTGTTCCGTCGAACCACTAAATTTTATTCATGCTTGTGCCGCGGAGAAAAGCATTTCACTCATTACTAAAGAGCCAATACAGATCTGCTTCATTTGATATGTAACATCCTATGGAATCTCACTTGCTGATCCCACAAAAAAAGAATCAAAAAGTTCCCTTGATTGTCCTAAATCAAGATCAGAATTCCAAAAGTCGGGAAGGGATGCGCAAAGCACTTCATTAATGTGGCGATAGTCACATTCAGAACCGATTAACATAAGATTGATTAACATTTGAGGTGAAAGGCGAAGAATACGTTCATCAGACTTTTATATGTCTTCACATTTTTTTTCTACAGAGCATAAAATTGCCGAGTTTGGCAACATAAACTTAACTGAAATCCTATAATGAAATAAAGTGAAAGAACACGTATTTTTTAGGTGACAGTTTTTGCTCGAAATTCCCTCGAATGGTGATGCTGCTTCTCAGAAGCATTAGCATTAAATATACATACAGAGAGCAGAGCAGTTTCGAATAGATCTTGGCGAATTGAAATTATACAAAATATGCAAAATATGATAAACCAGATTAAATGACAGACTCCGGCATTCGAGAGAACCCTGCTCTCTCCTAGAATATTTCGCCATGCGATTCAGAACCTGGGCGAAATGAACTACATACTTGGCAATAAATTTCTTACCTTCGTGCGTCTTCATATGAGCTCTCAAATTGCAAGCCAGGGCAAATTTCTTGTTGCACAGCTCACAAGCGTGTGGTTTGTCACCTGTAAAGAGAGGAGAAAAGAAATGGGAATATAAAGTATGAGCTGAACATATTGAAAATCAAAGTTGAATATCGAAAAGCCGAATTAGACGCTAAGATTAGCTGTCATATATTCTCCATGAGGAGTTTTTGTGGCAGTTTTTATTGAGTAGCAATGATTGCTTCTGAAAGTTATTAGCCCATTTGCCCTATTACTTCCTTTTTTACGCTTGTTAACAATCCATCCAATAGCATCAGAGGATTATGAATGATTGAAAATATCCATGTTTATATTCATATGGGATGTAAATGGGAATTTGGATGGGTATGATTTGGAGGAGAGCCAGATTTGGCATGAGAAACAATTCAGAAATTGAATATAGCATAGATATAGGTACTCTGAACTCTCTAGCCTAATTAATTCTTCTGGTTTGAGCTTTTATAAATTGCTTGTCACAAAAAACGACCATTTTCGAACGGAATATGGGTATTTTGTTTTCATTTTTAACACAAGGTGGGTTTGCGTTCGTGTTAGAAATTAAATTTTTACCGCGATCTGATTCTGGTGTAAATGTCTACCATTCATGGGAATTAATGCATAGAAGATGAGGCATTTTTTGCAATAGCCATTCTATCTGTATGCATAATTAAGATGAGTTGGAGAGAGACTAAGCATTCTCCTGAGACTGAAGTGTAACCTCAAAGCCGATGAGGAGGAAATGCGACTTGTTTCAAATCGCCTAATTTGAGAGACATTTGATATTCCTCTGATGGACAATAAATACCGTCCACTCTTGGAGGTGTGAAGCGCCGGGAGACCTAGTTTGCTTATAATATACATATGTGTATCTTAATTTGAGAGACATCGATTCATGTGAAAGGCGCATGGCAATAAAGTTCGACGGGAAGTGATTGTTGGAAACGAAAAAATATCTCACATTGTGAAATCAATTAGTAATTTCCTTCACTTTTTTTTAATCAACACACACTTCATCCATGTGGATTTTTTAATGAAGCCTAGCATTGAATATATGTATTTCCAGATACATACGATGATAATACAAAATCTCCTCTCCTTACAGATATTTTTCTGTGCATGTTTAATAGCCTATGAGAAAAATGGCATGAAATTCTCCATTCAATATATTTCAATTATTCCTCTTCATAGTCAATAATTAGTGTATGGTGCATTCAATGTACTTACAATTCCCACAATCAATAATTGTTAGGATTTATTTATTTAACATATCATGCAAAAAGTCATTTTTTTTCCAACAAAAATCATCTACACCTCGCGCCAAACAAAAGAGGTGCATTGAAGATAAAAAAAAACTATAAATATTTCAGCATGTAAATACACTTTGGAATAGTGGCTGTATAAATTAGTGGCTGAGAAAAAGGTAAGAAAAGGAACATGAAATACAGGAGGAGATAAAAAATAAATATTTCTGTTGCTGCTACTCCTTTTGCTCGCCAATATATAACATCTCTATCGAAAATTTGCCAAATACCGATATCACCTTATTTACATAGTACAAGTGGTCGATTCGAAATGCATTAAGAGTTAATTGTTTCTATCAAGAAGTTGTACTCTTTAGAGCGACTCCGCGCCAAATGAATAGGATGGAGAGACTCGAGAAGAAACATGCCAACCATCGGCATCTTGCCTCTCGTTTGCGCTCCATTATATACTTAAGTGATTTGAAAAGAGAAAGAAATTAAAGAGGAAAATACAAAAGTTTACCATGTTATAACACGATGCAAAAAGGATGCTATTTTATGAGACTGCTGATATAATTTAAATTAAGTTGCAATTGAAATTGTTGTTTTGTTTGCTCGTCATCCACTGTGCTTCTCCTCGTCGTCTCTCTTTCTCCCTCACTCACTGGCTATATCGGACTCATTAAGTCTTTATTGTGGCATTTATTTACAATCGATTAAGGCTGTAGCGTGGGTGGATGAAAGAAGCTACAGCTTAATTTACCCCTTCATTCCTATACATATAGTGACTCTATTTCGCAAATGATACGAATTACATATCAATTTTACAGATTTAGAGCTACCATTCTTTCGTGAGCGGCGAATGTGACCGTGGCAGCATTACTGGAAAACATCATTGTTGCTACCTTTCTGGTTCAACAATCTCATTTAATATCAATTTCATCTGTGCCTCGGCCACAAACATGAATTAATTCCGCCTCTACGTATCACTATTCGCGCACAAAAATGCCCATAACGTGTCAATTATTGGAAAAATTAGGGAAACTGTATGATCTTGCACTTCGGCGGGTGAATTGAAAACGATGAAAAGTCGGTTTATCATAGTTTTCGTCTTATGTATTTCTGAAAAGCTTTGAATTTGTTCTTCCTGTATAAAAATTTTGAGATCTGTATCTTATAAGACTATACTAAAAAATCTTATTTATGTAAAAAAAACACAAATGGAAAAAATTGTCATGCTTTTCGAATGAAAAGTTGAAAAAAAGTTTAAAAGGCTTTTTCAAAAATTAATTTTATATTTTCAGAATTATTTCTAAATGTTTTTTAGACTTTGAAAAATATTTCTCATATCTTTTCAATTTTTTCACTTGAAAACTTAAAAAAAAACTTCAAGTGAAGTATGAAAAATTGATTTTTTTTTTAAACATTTTGGATAAAGTCGACTCGAAGAGTGTTAAAAATCGACTTTGGAAAGTAATATTTGCAGATTTTCTATTAATTTTGTCAAGGTATTGTGAAAAATTTCAATAAATATCAATAAACTGAACGAAAATATTTACAAAATAATAAATACAGAGCAATAGTTGCACTTTAACTGACGATTTGAAGTAATTTAGATGATTATGAAGTAAATTTGGCAAACTTCGCAGCTTTATTAACGCTAAATTTTGAACTCGCTCTGCCTAAAAATTCAGATTTTGGCTTTTAGTAGTTTTCAATTCAACCGTCGACTTTGCCGAGTCAGAAGACCGTAAAACTATTCGGTCTGTTCGAAGGGTTCGAAGACTGAAGGACCTGTTGAATAGGTTTCAGTAGTGCACTCGAATAAATTGATTTCCTATTATTCCATCGATCATTCATTGTTAATAATGAAAAAAAAGGTTCCGTTGCGCATCTTTCCAACGTCCACTTGTGGCATGGCAGGTAAAAAGAGTCGGAGAAATTGTATTAATGCACTCCCCTACGCACGGTGATCCTGTCAGGTCTTATTTTGAACGAGAAACCACCTTCAATGGAGCAAAAGGAAGACAGTTGGATTTTATATAATTGATGCGAGGCGTCTTTTGGGTGAGTTATTATCTTATATATCACTAATAGGAAGAACCATAAAGTCAATTTGAAAGAAGAGACAGGTGCGTCTCTTATTTACAAAAATTAGGTATACATAAATATTCAACTGTTCGTTTGCCTCAAGCTAAACGCCGCTCGTATCCCATTGCTACACATACAAGGTGTCTTGCACGGAATATTCCTACGTCTTTCCACCCCTAAATTACGTTAGCCACAAGTGTCTCTATTCTCTATATATATTTCTTTGTACTGAAGAATGAGATCTTCTGCATCCTTGCAATTGGATACCCTCTCAACTATACATACATTTTTGCAGTGCAAATGTACCGTTTGCATTTGTTGAATAATTGACTACAATTGTTAGTGAAAATAATAGCCAGGATGATTGAATATGCAAAAGAGTCGTATTATGCTATTATGACGAGTGGACTCACCACTTTAATGTATCGGGATTGAAATTTCAACGAACACAAGTGCGATGGTGAAAAAAAAATCTGTAGTGCTTTACCACGGATGTGTGCATTGAACCTGTTTGCGAACGGGAAAGATGATCACCTTATCATTAGCAGAGATTGATCTTCAATCACACACGCGATTATATAGTGAATGTCAAAAGAGGCAATTCATAGAGTTGAATGGATGATTTGAACTATGATGCGTTACTAATTTGCCTAGAGCTTGTATAAATGGAATGACATTCTCCTTTTATGAATTTTTAATGGCTTTCGGCTGAGGTGTATGGAGTTCATTGTATGAAATATAAACACACTATTCATGTGGTAGTTGCTATTTGAGCAGATTTTGCCTATTTTAGAGTAAAATAAGCAATAAATAATCCTACCGGTATTTTCATAAACTCGTTCGAAGGTTCTTTCGTGCAAAGTCGCGAAGGAATGTCGGTAGCTAATGTTGAGACGGTTTATTGGGGCGAGGTTCCTTTCCACACTATGCATAGAGGAATATGCAGGAATTCAGGCAGTGTAAAAGTCATTAATTTCTGCTATAAAGAGCGCGCATATTCCAAAATTTCACTCCCTACGAAATTCTTCTGGTCAATTTGCTGACACACTTGTGCTAATGAAAATTGATTTAAAAGAAAATAAAGAATAACCTATACGTGTACCGAAAGAGTCGTCTTTTTTATACTCCCAAAGTAATTACTCTCGAATCCAGTGTGTGATATTTCATATGTGTACGGTAGAAAAGCAACAAAGGTATGATCACACAAATTAAATATCTGAAGACCTTATTATGGTCCACTCTTATGATACATGATGTGTGTTTCAATCTATATGGTGTGGAGGTTCATTACTTTCTGTACCCAGGCACACAGATATTATATACAAAAAGAGATACTGAATTAACGCCATAAAAAACCGCCACATATTCAGAGCAGATACTATTTTTCATCTTCCTCTACTCAAATACCTTAAACCAATTTACTTATAACTGCTTGTTTATTATACATATAAAGTTATGTACGAATGAATAAAATTTCAATACCTTCAGGGCAAATGGCAGTGAGCGAACACCAAATGTTCGTTTGATCGGAACGACTATAAAGTCTATTGAAATGAAGCACATGTCTCGAATTTTCAAACTACCTGCATATATAGCTACTATATATATCGCGCCATACACTTCTCGTCTCGCGTGTGTGTGCGTGTGTGCGTGTACGAAAAAAATATATAGCCACCCCGAAATTCGTAAGTCCACATGGTAATATGAATAACATATTTTAAGACTGATATTTAATTTTTTACTTAATGCCACATGCTAGTATGGAAGACACTACTGCTAACTAATCTTATTCCCTATTATACTGTATATCATTATACAGAAGCCGACTAAAATTCTCAGAGTTGATTTAACTTCTTCTCTTTTCCCTTCATTCTTACTAAATGTGGGGTGAAATTATCGTTTGTCAGTGCCCGAGGTATTAATTATATTGTGTCGATGAACGTTGCGGCTATCACATTGTCTGGCCTGGAAGGATTGGATTTTTTCTCTTCATTGCATACGCTCATACAATATAACTATACGCTCGCCGCACACATCCACGGATGACAGAGTGGAGTCCGATCCTGAAGATGCGGTGAACTATATATGTGCGCGTACGTATGGCGGTTTAATATACAGAGGAGAGATATCATTTTTTCATATTGTGCTACTAAAGATGCAAGAGCACAGTAGCCCAATATACTTGGGGCTATGTGATTATCTTTATGTTTTGCTACATATTCTTTCTTCATGCGCTAGCCTCTTCTTTTCTGCGTTCGTTTGATCGTCTGACATTCAGAAAATGTTCAATAGTCATATTTCTCTGGAGCCTCCATTCATATATAATACCTACATTCACGTATAAGTATGCATATACATAATGATTTCCAAGTCTGCACCTTTATTCTCAAGCATCTCGTGCCGCTACTGCAGAGATTGAACCGGATGACTATCGATAAGAACATCTTTGTCGGGTTACTTCTTCACTCGAATTCTCTTAGTGATCCCAAACATATTTTCGATCTCTTTTTTCTCTCTCTCTCTCTCCCTCTCCTTCTCTCCATCCTCCCGAGAGATTTAACTTTATTGCGAATAATTGAATGAAGTTTCATTCGCTACTGCTACTCTTGTTTATGAATACTATATATGCGATTAAAGGCACTTCTTTCTTCCCCCCTTCGCAAGGCATAAATAATATTTTTTTCTCCTACAGCTTCTCCATCCCTTCGCCAGCATCTACCGATCTCTGGGCTATTGTTAATCTGTACAATTTTATCTGTATGTAGCTCAGAGAAATCAACAAGTTGTAAAATTATTCAGAGCAAAGTGCAACTTACCTGTGTGGAGAAAGAGGTGGTTCTTGAGATTAGTATGCTTTGAAAATCCTCTCGAGCAAATATGACACTTGAACGGCCAAGAGCCACTGTGAACATACATGTGCGATTTCAAATCACCCGGAGTTGGAAAAGACTTGGAGCACAATCCACACTTGTGGGGTTTTTCCTGAAAAAGATGCACACACATCGCAAGAATTAATGACCGCGAAATCAAATTGCTGTCCACATAGAGATGTTGGGAAGTGTAAAGTTGAACGTAAATATGGCAAAATGTTCTGGCAAATTAGAATTTTTATTAGGAGATCCTCAACTGTGGCCATATAACAAGTGAAAAGACGTTTTCTTGTCTTAATTTGAAACCCTTTCTACCCAATTTAGTGGTCCAGAGAATTTTTATATTTCACAAGACTTTCAACTGTATTCTAAGCTCGAGAAGCAATATAAAGTCTCTTAGATATCATCAAGATTCATACGATGATAATGTCTTACTGAAAGCCTCTTCGACACTTTGGCCAACTTTGTTTCTTTTTTTTAGGACATCATTCCATACAAACGAAGTAATGTTGAACGACTTTTTGATTATTCTTTAATTTATTCTTGTGAATCAGTCCCTCGAGCTTGTTGGTAATGCCATCGTCATCGTACGCTTGGCTCTCAAAGAGTGGAATATTTTGATTCATTAGGCGAGTTCGAAAGCGTTGTAGTTCGAATTGCTGAAGTGGATTGAGTGATTTATTTGAAGTGAGACCAAATTTAACAATCTTATGAGGACCTGTTGGCAACCCACACTCAGAACTTCACGATTTAGCATCCATTTCATGCTGAGGATTTACAGTAGGAGTTTATGATTGCGGTTAAGTGTTCAATATTGGATAATAAGAGAACTGGTAATTTTCTATCGTGAGTTCGGATATTCGGAATACCCATAAAGGTATTCTGAAGCTACAGAGCTTTCACTTTCTCTCGCTTTTCTCGACTTTTCTAAATATGCTGAATTGTTAATTATGAAAAAGCAGCATACCTTAATATGAGTCATTCGGTGGTAATATAAATTGGAGCTGGCTGTAAAGCGTTTCCCACACACTTGACACTGGTGTGGCTTCTCGCCGGAGTGTATTCGACGATGTGTGTTCAATGAACTTGATGTACTGAAACCTTTATTACACACCATACACACATGCGGCTTTTCACCTAAAAGAAAACATTCACTTACTGATAGGAACTTGAATTGTGTATGTACATATTAGGAGATTATTAATTAATAGCTCAGAACTATTCATCTGCAAATTCTCTGTATTTGACGGGTAGCATATATCATACTGTCTCAACAATTTCTGTATTTTCCCCACTCAAATGATGAGCGATTGAAATTATTGGAATATTAAGAGCAAATGTAGCACTGAAATCAATCATAAGTCACAATATTGGCGTTGCAAATGTATTGAAATTTGTTGAAATTTTTCCTTTCAGATCAGAAAATGAGCCATTTTTCCACCAAGTCAGTGAAGTCAATGTAGTTTTTGCCTGTCGCTCTTCATCTACCTTATGTTTCATGGGTGTTATTATGCGTAATGAGCGAAATAATTCACTCATCCCTTAAGAAGGCTCATGCAGAGGCATAAAAACGGGCCCAATTGTATCGGGGAAACCACAAAAACTTCCCTTCTATGTCAAAAATATCATTCATCATCGATTTAAATTGGCACCAACCTGTATGTGTTCTCATATGTCGCTTTAACAGACTAGGTCGATCGAAGGTTTTTCCGCATACTTCGCATGGAAGTAGGGCCCGTTCGCCACGCGTAGTTCGTGACTTCGGGGAGCATCTGTGAATTGAGCTCAGCATCCCTGTCTCTATCAGATCCCCAGTACAACTGGCGGCGGACGACGAGGTGGAAGATTCTCCAGATACTGACTTGTGCTCATCTTCGCCGCCCGATATCGGTGAGATGGGCAGAAGTACTCGAGACATGAGAGACATTGATAAATCCAGTGGCGAATCTGCGGCACAGACAAGAGCAATAGTGTTTCATCTCAGCATTTGGAATGAATGATGAAGTGAGAGAGAGAGGAAAAAAGCCGAAATACCTTCAATTATTGAATCCATCGTTTGCCGATATAGTGTGTTTCGCATTCTAACGAAAAATAACTCCTCCGGTCGTTCAGGCAAGTAATATACGACTAGCTCTTGGTGAGCAGGTATTGGTTTCACAATTTCATAAATTGGTTCTCCCTTAACTTTTGTACAAACAATATTTACCTATATGAAAACGGGGAGACAAATTGAGTACATTCTTGACATTTTCTTCCATTTCAAACTCACCATCGGACCATAATTTTCTGAAACCCTCAGAAATCTTATCCAGTTACAGTGACGCACTCGCTTTCCATTAGAAGCTGAGATTTCATCGTACAGCCCAAATCGGTGTCTTATCTGCAAAAAGAGACAGATTTCATCAACAATTGCGCATTTCTCCTCGCACATCGCAGTGGGGAAAGGAAGCATTTTGCTGTAAATGAGTAGATAAATCAACTTATACCTAAATTATAATAGCTCATATTTTTACAATATTAATAAATAGTATAAGTGTGCATTGTATGAAGAGTGCAACTCCTAAAAAAAGGAGTAAACAAGAATGGGCATCAATAATGAGGTTTCGCGAGATCCCATTAAAATTGTTCAAAAGTATAGAAATCAGTACTGCTTGTATCGTATTCCTGAAAAGGCATTGAAATCTCGATATTAGTTACTTTATTGTGCATCACACGATTCTTTAGTTGGATGCGGCTCCTTTTGAATATATAGTAAAATATCTCTTTTTAAATTCCCGACAGAATATACAAAAAGAGAACGACAACAATGGCACGGGCAGTTGCTTCTTTTCCACTTCGAATACAATAAGCCATGTCTGCACACCGCAATTTCCTCATTTTAAATCGCTAATGCGCCTCAATATCCCCATAGTTCACCCCTCTTTCCTTGCATTTCTCTCCCCTTTTAATGTCCCCCCTTGGCAGAAGCATTTGGCATGTCGTGAAATTGAAAAATGGAGCAATTTGTTTCTTCAAAATAATCTATACGAATGACATCACCGTTTTTACTCTCTCGCCGTGGCAACTTTGAAATGAATTCAGGTGGTAAAAAAGTGTCCTATTAATTACAAAAGATAAATCTCAACTGTTAAACAGGTTGGAGAGCACAAAACCTTATAAATCGCCACATTAAAGATCATATTGAATTTAGTTTTTAGGAATAAAAATTAGAAGCTCACAGTTGAATAGATTCTCGATCTTGCTTAAAAGTTCAGAAAATGTAGTCATTTTGCTCTTCTTACAATCGACACGCTCACAATGAGCGTCTTTAATCAAAATCTCCAACCAAAACCAATATTCTTCCCAAAGTTACGCTTCGTGGAATAGTAAATAGGTGTTAATTCCGACAAACAACCGTAAAAATGAGTGCACCACTAAACGCTGTGGTTACACCTCTTTATTATTTCACCTATGCAATTCTTCAAATCACGGTGACCACGTGCCGGTAACGCTCCGTAACTCTCATAAAGCACCAACTAGCGTTCAATGTTCAGTGTAGCGCATCGAAAAAAGTCAACCACTTAGAGAGCCGATCGCTGTTTGTCTATTCAAAAGGAGTGTTTCGGATTTGTTTTTAGGGTGAAACACAGTGAGGGTTGCCGGCAAATTATTGCCTAATTGCAATCAGTATTTTTATCTCAGAAATATATATTTCTGCGCGTATACAAATATTTTAATTGGTTGCGAATCAAAATTTGTATCCCGGACAGCCGGCGGCTCGGATAAATATTTCAATGGTCCGCAGAAGCTATAATTGTGGTGCGAATGTTCGATCAAAATGTAACACCTTTAGATTATATGATAAGGATCGATTCCTCGCACATAAATTTAAAAATTTAAATATTGCCAAGTTTTATGCTACAGAATAGCCCGCATCATGGTTTGGAAATCAATTTTCGAACTCTCGATGTTGTGCATATTTGCGCCAATTAAGTGCTAAATTGAGTAAAAATTGGAATGATCAATAAATGGTGTTGTCGATGAATTAAAACATTAACGCTGTCATTCAACTTACAGGCTAAGAATTAATTAATCGAATTCAGCCAGAAAATATGCGATATGTTGAATGAATTGCTGAGTGTAATTAAGAAGAAAAACCAATATTTATTGATCAGTTATTAGTTTATTGACTTATATTTGACTTCGATTCTATGCCATAGTTTCAATTTTCTTTGCAAAGCAAGCAAATACCTGCGTTTATTGCCTAATAATCCAACATAGGTGCAAATGTACATCCCCAGCGAACATTGTACATAATGTTCCTATTTAATTATTGGATGTCTTAAAGAACCATTATTTGTTTATAATTATGGGAATGCACACATTGCGAAGAAGTGAAAATAGTTCCCACACTGAGAATTCCCTTCTTTATGTCACAAGATCAAATTATTATTCTATATAAGAAAAGGGTGAAATATTATAATGTGGTTTCACGGTTCTTACCCATCTTATTAATATGAGCACCGGCGTTACCCTTGTATTACGTCTTAACCATTACATTTGACAGAAACACTTACTTTATCAAAACCATACAGGCAAGAAAAAATTCTTAAAACTGCCTTCCTTAACGTTTTCTTGGAGATTTTCCCACGGTCATGGGAGGGTGATTCTTTACACCCTAATGAGTTTCTCAGTGTTTCCCCTCCGTAGTTTCCTTCTCAATTAATCTTTTGTTTCTGAAGATGTTACTTTCTTGAATTGCTGAATATATTTACAGAATTTCAACTTGTAGGTGTGTGTTTTTTTGCCTCTAAACTGACCAACATTTTATGTTTCTTCAGCACTTTCTCAGGCTCCTACAAATAGGCCTTTTCGTTTTCTTCGCGATCGAAAATAATTATTCTTGTGAATTTTTTATTTTTATTGCGTGTCACTGTGTTATGGTAGACGATATAAATTCTGAATTCATCAGTTACACCTTAAATTTTAATCTATTCTGTGTGAAGTGATATCCGAATTTGCATTACATTGCCATTTTATGTCAATTTCTGCCATTATTCATTAATTAATCCCATTAGATCTCTATTAGCTCAATTCAGTTGTGATAAAATGAAGTTTTAATTCCCTTCAAAATTTTGAGTGGTTAAATTGCGCAATAAATTAGCATTAGATTATTATTTGCTAAATTCGTGAATATGGAAAATGACGTTAGAAGTCACATTGGTTTCTTGGTTTCTACTGACAAGAAACGTAAAAATATCTAAAACACACTAACAACATTATTATTTAATTTAAACATATCTTGGCTCAGGAGCGTCTTAACGATTGTTTCTTATTTTAAGGATGAGTTTTAGGGCGTTACGATGTACACCTGTTGCTGCATTGAAAAAATTCTCCATCAAAAGTTCATGTATGAAATATTCGTATCCCGCATTGTGCATATTTAATGTGTGGCTCTTGAATAATGCAGCCAAACCATTCACACTTGTTGAATATCTCATATATTCCTGATCCCTTGGCGGGAAGTGGTTAGTATTTGAAGGGACACAGAATAATTCTTTCTATATTGTGCTTTTAAATCTATTTTCACGAGATGCTCAGCAAGTTATACACTAATTCTCTCCTCACAGAAACATTGTTCGCCAATATCGTGGGAATGGAGAGAACATTTTAATGAAACTAGGGAAAATTCTCACATTTTAATGAAGAACAATAAGCAGAAGAGAGTGTAAGTGTAAATATCCTGGTTCAATACTCACATCGTCGTCCGCAACATAAGAATACACTTCCAATTTATCAGTTCTGATCGTCCCTTGAAATGGGTAACACAGCGAGCCCTGTGGAATCCTTGTGATGCTCCAAACAGATACAATCGGCTCATTTGAATGACGAGCACCCGCCGTTGTAACGGCCAGAGCCAACTCTTGGGGTATCAAGACACAAGTTTCCATAACTACTCGGCGAGAATCACTTTATTGCTGTCAATAAAAGGCAATATCGCTCAAAAAGTCACCCTTCATTGCTCACTGTGTTCCACGCAACAATTCTGTCTTGTTTTGCTGACAATTAGACACACACAAAATTGCACCAGGGTTTTCTCTAAAATCACCCTCTGCGATGCACTGCAACCACTGAAATATTCATTAGCCGAAAGTCATCTATATATTGTCGAATTTATTTATTTAGCGATCACTGAATTCAGCATTCCATTCCACGCGGAGAAATATATTTTTCACTAATAAAGACTCCCCGAGCGAGCGTAAATTCACTCCGAAATGATCCCGTAATCAATTGAGAGATGACCCACACCTTGCTACAACTTTAAGAAAACTGTTTGCCGAGATCGGCCGGTATCTAACCATGACCTTCTGGTGCACAGCTCTGTACAGCCCGAATAAATATAAGAAAGAAAATAAGGTGTAGTACAAAGCGGTAGAGAGTGAGAGAAAACCAAATACAAGCAGACAAGTTGATTTCTCTACCTGTTGATCATACGTATATACATATGCGTGCTTATGTATATATAATTATAGGAATATATCTCACATTCCTAAAACATTCATTCAATTCGCGATCTTTCTTGGTATATGTATTTCTGGATCGGCGACAGAAAGGCACCGACTCAGTAGCTTTACCACATTCAATCAACTCCGCCTAGACTATCGTGCATCTAACAAAGTAAAATATGTAAAGTGTTAATATCTCACCTTGACCTTAGTTTAATTTGTTGGAAAAAATTTTTTAATTAAGGCTCATCATTTTTTTGCAGCAAATTCCTCTGCAATATCAGCACCATGCAAATGCGATTTTGCACTACTTTCACTTCTTGAATTTTTGTAAAGTCAGAAAAATTATGTTGAGACAAATTGTCGGTGTTGAGAAGTATTTTTTTGTGTTTTTAACGGAAAAAATAATTTTTCTACTGAAAATATGCTATTCTGTTTCTTAAAGTGTACTTCCAGTTCGATTGGCTAGTAGACTACATTTATTATTTTCATATATGCTTTAAAAATAATAGATTCAGTTTCTCATGCTGTCTTTTTGCAGAGATCACAAACAAGTTTAACGCAATGAACTTATAATAATATTGCTACCTGAAGTTCACCTTTTGATATACAGGTATAGTAGTCAGAACACCTTGCCGATATAATACCCATTGATGTGTAGATAGTTGTACCATAGCAGAGACGAAAAGCCGAATGAAAGAGAAATAAAATTAAGGAAAGGTGCTATAAGAAGATATGCTGAAATTTATCTTACTCTGTGTGTATCGCCGTACACAAGAATTCTTCTTTGGCTCTCTTAACACAGCCAAAGCCCACCAACACACGCGAATAGCAACATCTCGCAAGATGTGAGTGTATTATTATTTTTGTTATTATTTGTGGATCGTCTCTTCCAACTTTCATGCAGGCGTTACCTGTCTATGTGTCTCCAATTGTCTCTACCACCACCGTGAAATCTTTTTCATTTCGTGATCTGACCAATAGGCATCGCGACCTTCCTTCTTAATGTAAAATTCAAAGCCAATCACTTCCATGTAGATTTTATTACATTAGACTGTAACTTTTACACTTCTGCCGCGCAAATACTGCTCAATCCAGCGGCTTCTGCATTAGAATACTCCTATAAAGAATTCCCATACAAGCAGCGCGCGAATGCATCTTGCGTCTCAGACACACTGATCCCGAATCGCATGAAGAAAAACCTCCTTTCTTCTTACTTTCAGATGCAGAATTCTGAAAAAATTTACAATCACTGCTTACTAAAAGTAAACAATAATGAGTGGAATTATAAATCGAAAGAGAGAGCTTGGAAAATATTCTACATAATATTTAAAAATTTTATGAATAAAATGCAATAAAACACTTTAAACTTATGCACATTAATTACCTGAACATTTAATGACAAATTCTCTTGATAAAGAATTAATTTCGCTCTTTAAAATGATAAAAAAGAAGCTTTGCCAGTACCTCAGTTAATTAATTATAATGATATTAAATCGTAGTGGCAAAGAAAATATTTAAAATAATTTGAAGATTAAGCCACTGATCATAGCATATTGAATTGTCTCTAATATTCATGGCAAAAATATTTTTCTCATTACTTTTGCTTGTTTATACATTTAACAATGGAAAATTTCATTCACTTTCAATGATTCGCACAATTCAGATATATATATATATTATACCTTCATCTTATGTGTCTCACTATGTAAACATTTCTATCACAAAATCTCTCACCATTATGAAGAGTGTGAAGAATCTGAAAACTTTCATTGAGCAACATTTATTTTCATTTAGGTTTATTGACATGTTGAACAATTGAATATTATATCTCGCGAATTATTATATTGAAACAATTTCAGCGAGGTTACAGACTTTTCGGTGTTGATGAACTCTTGAAGAAAAAAAAACACACCATCATGTCAAGTGCGATGGAATTTAACTGAAGCCAATGCAGGGGAGATCTTCGTAGGCGCCCCTCTTAAGACCTTTCTTTTAGCGTCGAGGAGTTGTGATCTCTTACTCCGATAGTGATAATTTTGCTTAGCGCTGAATTGCTCAGAGGAGAGTTTAATGGCCTCTGGAAGTTTTTCCTCAATATTAAATTAATTATTGCTTGCCAATATATTGTTCAAATTTACTCCCCACAGCCTGAATTGAAATTGGTAAACGGGCGAATTTTGGGCGCTTGTGTTTTTAACGCCAACTTTGCCGCTCCGCTGGAAAAAGTGACACATTCTCAAGGGAAAACGAGGGAGGACGGAAACCCTCAAGATATGGGTCGTGGTGGGAAGAAAAAAGTCTTGTTCGTGCAGGTGTCTAGCACATGGCTCGTGATGGGGTTGCATTACGCCTTCAAAAGACGTTGAAGTGAGCCACTTCGTGCGGCCATTAATCGGTATCATCGAAGGAAGGAAAGAAGAATAAATAATAGAGATGGAGGAGAAGTTATGCGAATTTATACAAAAGCAACACTATCATCAACCGTCATTTAGCCAAGGATGCCAGAAATACAAAAACAGAAGGCGCAACATGGGTGTAATTACACCTCCATAGTTCGATAGAACGCACTTTTAACCATACACATTATGTGTAATATAAAGAATGTTGCTTTTTTGGCGCTTCTGACTTGCTCCAAGGGATCAATCCTCAAGTTTACAGCAAAATGACTAGCCAATTAACAATTTTCAATAATTTCATTGTGATCACTGACAAGATTTGTCTTTTTTCTGTTCCATTTGCCGTCGGACCTTTATTGTGTGCCTAAATTATTTGATGCTGAAGTTTGTGGATAAAATTTTCAACAATTTGTATCATAGAATTGTTTGAATACTCTGAGATATAGAGAGAATTTATTGTTCAGGAAAACTGTTTAAAAAGCACTTTTTCTGTGATAAAAACTTATATTAAAGAGTTCTTCAGATTTCCTATGCAAAATCAGAGCATAATAAAAATTTCTTTATCGGTAAAACAGAATGGAGCCTGGCTTAGTCAGGACTTATTCTTCACTCATTCTTACCACTTAGATAAAGGTTCCATGATTATCCAACTTTTCAAGAGCAGACACCATCCAACTGTTACTCACTGGCGCGATAGATGGAGATACTTTTGTTGACACACGTGAAAATGTTCTCTCACATTGGCAAATAAAATAAACAGTCCTCATAAATAGGGTGGTTTTATGTATTTCATTACATATTTATAAGAGAAATCATAAGTGCATGACAACGTGCACTTTTATTGATTGCATTATGCACAATAAAAACATTTCATTGATAATTTTTTACAATCACCTTTTCGCTGGGTATTGTCCAACTAATTTAATATTGTTTAGTGGTATACATAATTATTTATATCTAATAAAATAATCTCACACGATAGACTTTAATTTAATGCCTTTCCATTAGTTTTTAGTGACTCTGGAGGTTTTTCTGCTGGAAAACTTGCCGCACACGATTATTTCAATATTCACTGTTTAGCGGCAGGTTTGCAAAAGTGCAAGAATGAATTTTAAAAAGTTGTTTAAACCGCGCGATATTTACTCAGCACATCGTCCTATATTCTACCTTCTCTTCTTCTTCGGTCTGTTTCCTTTTAAAATAGTCAACAGGAAAGACAAGCGCGAATTGGTCCTCACGCTGTACGGACTTTTGAGCACGACTTTCCATATAGCATTCTTCTGCGTATGTTACGTGAGAACCATGAAAAGTCAGCAGAGCATTGTGGGATATTTTATCGACAGTGATGTTTCAAAATTTGGCGATACTTTCCAATTTGCAACGAGTCTCATATCAATCTTTGCAGTGTACGTGTGCAGCTTGATAAAGAGAAACAGACTCGTGAGTTTGTTCGCGATATTGTCCGACATTGATACATATTTCAGCCAATTGGGCTACGCAAAGCACTACACGAGAACCTGGCTGCTAATTCTCCTTAATCTCGTCATAATGTTTATCATTTTCATCACATATTTGTTCGGAAGTTACTTGTTGCTGCACACATTCTCCGTGTATCCCGAATTCAACGTTTGGGTGACATTTTTCTTCGCATTCTTCATTATTTGCATCACAACTACTTTTCACGGATGCATTCTGAGGGAGCTTAGAGAGCGATTTTTAACACTGAATAAAGTATAAGAATTACTATTGATTTCATTACAAATAATTATATAATAATATCTCTTCTCAAGGTCCTTATTAAATTGCGTGGTGCGGAAATTAATTTTTGCGGCTCTGCAAATTATACCCGAAAGACTACAATAAGCATTAGAAATATTCTAGTGCAATCACGGAAGGAGACAGACACTCTGGAGGAAGCTCTGGACAACATAATAAACATTCACAGCGATCTTTACCACTGCTGCAGAGCAATTCAGGATTATTTCTCCATACAAATGCTTAGCATTGTTGCAGTTTCCTTCATGACAATTGTTTTTAATGCCTTCTACATTCTTATGATGGCATTGGGCAGCTCCAAATTGAAAACAACAGTGGGAAAATTGGAATTCATAATTTTCTTCACATATCAACTAATAATTTGTCTTCTGGGCGTTATTCATATTGGTCGAAGTACGAGTAGAGTCATTGCAGAGGTATTATTGGAAAATAAGGCGTTAATTTGAATTTTACAAATATAAATCGATTGAATTGCAGAATGAACGAATTGGGCCCAACACTTTCAATTTAATCTACAATATGAAGAACGAGGAAATTAGAGAAAAGGTATTTGTTCTGCATTGTTGAATATTTCATTATCGTCGTCATAATTAATTGGATGCCATATATTTTAGTTGAGAATATTTGCTGATAATTTACTCCACATGAAAGTTCAATTCACTGCTTCTGAACTCTTCAATCTCGATAAAACTCTTATAATAACGGTGAGAAGAAAATCCTTTCAACTGCGCTTATTTTCAAAGTATTAATTACTCTTCCAGATTATTGGCACAGCATCGACTTATTTAGTAATCCTTGTTCAGCTGGCACTTCCGGGAGAAGAGAAAGATGATCAGTGTTAGTGACTACAAACACCTAATCCTATAGTTATTTAAGACATCGCCGTTGAGTGTATCTACCGAGTAAAATTCCTTTCAAAGTGATAGTGAAAAGTATGCCGGGCACTATCTTCATGGCATTCCTTCCAAATTCATCAAAGCGTCTTATCTAATCGCTCGCAACTGAAGATTCTATTAGGTAAATATTGGGTCAGTTTTCATACATAAACCCACACAAGTGTTTCGATGTTTATAAATATGTTCACTCACCAGCTTTTAGCGACGTTTAACTATTTTTAGCACCATCTTTGTGTTGTCAAAATTGTGCACAGTCTGAAGAAGTCAGTTGACTCAGACGGTGGCGTGCAGTGGCATAAAATTCATTTTCTCATTTCTGTGTGACTCTCGCGAGGTGTTTTTATAGTGGCAATATGAGGATTACTTTCTTCCTCCTCGCAGTGTTTCTTCCTTTGGGACTCACGCATCGTATTCTCGGAATTTTTCCCTTGGGCGCAAAATCTCACGACATTCTCTACCAATCAATCGCCAAGGAACTGGCTGAGAGGGGACACGAGGTGACTGTCATCAGGAGTCTCGCAGCATCTCCAGATACTCCTCAAGGCTACCGTGAGCTCCTCTTGAGCAATGTGGAACCAATTGTTGATTCATTCAACCTGAATGTGAGTTGAGATAAATATTATTGAGATGTTTCGTCATCATCCACAGCGATATTTGAGAGAAGTGGGCGCAACCCTTGATTGTCAGCCACTTGAATTGATTGAAATCGAACTGGTCTCCTCCGCAGGATTCCTTTGCACCCAGTCTCTGGAATGTCTATCGAGATTTCTCCGGACTGATCGAGATGTCTGAGCGGGTGTGCACGAGCCTCCTAGAATCGTCGGCTCTGAGCGATGTGCTGACCATTCACAAGGAGACCCCTTTTGATTTAGTGCTAATTGAGCTCTTCGCCACGGACTGTCCCCTGGGAATTGCCAATGAAATGAATTTGACCACAATTGGCATTAGTCCATGCGCCCTAATGCCATGGCACTACGACAGATTCAATCTGATGGATTTCCCATCATTTGTGCCCACGGAAAGTTCGCCATTTGCCACCAAAATGACTTTCTGGGAGCGTGTGGAGAACTATCTCATTGGTAAAGTCATGAAGATACTCTTTAGGTTGTTCTTCATATCACTTTTAATCCTCCCTGAGATCCCTTTCTCATCGTGCTGTGTTGCTTGTGTAATTGCAGAAAAATCCAGGAGCAAGATAATGCCATTCTGAAGGCACACTTTGGCAGACATCCCAGGGATGTGGACGGTCTGGCACGAGAAATCGCCTTGGCTCTTGTGAATCAGCACTTTTCCGTGAGTGGCGTGAAACCACTCAATCCGAGAGTGGTTGAAATCGGCGGAGCACACATTAAATACACCGAGGGAGGTCTTGCGGAGGATGTGGACGCATTCCTCACATCATCACCGACCGCTGGGGTGATTTACATCAACTGGGGCAGTGTTGTCAGATCATCAAGCCTCCCTGAGAGTCACTTGCAGGCGCTCAGGAGTGCCTTGGGCAGATTACCCATGCATGTTGTGTGGAAGTGGGAGAGTGGAGTGCCCTTTGTCAACAAATCGGAGCGGATTCTCGTGAAAAGCTGGCTGCCACAGCTTCAGATCCTGTGTCATCCCAAGACAGTGCTTTTTCTGACCCACGGCGGTCTGCTCAGTGCCAACGAGGCGGCTTTCTGTGGCACCCCCGTAATCGTGACGCCCATCTTCGGTGACCAGCATCTCAATGGAGCGGCTCTGGTGGAGCGTGGCATGGGAATTCTCCTGCCACTCGATGACTTCTCAGAAGACACCATCTATGCTCGTCTCACGGAGATTCTCAAGCCACAGTACCAGCGTCAAGCTGAGCAGGTGCGCCTTCAGTTTAGGGATCGCCTCATGAACCCTTTGGACACGGCCATCTGGTGGATTGAGCACATCGCCGCCGAGCCAGCAGCTGCTGAGCTCCTGCGAACACTCCCAGTTGACCTCAACTACATGAAGAGCAACAATTTCCAGGACCTCATCCCACTGATTTGGGCAGCATTCGCCACGGTCATTGGTTTCTGTCTGCTCGTGCTTGTGGCAATTCCTGGTTTTGTGAGAAAATTGAAGGAGAAATTTGCATGAATATTCAGAATTGACAGAAAAATCTCAACAACAAATCCTACATTCGAGGACGCTCCTCTCTCCATTTGGCGTAGTATGCAAATTCAGTGGAATTGTTTACAACCAGAGGAAAATTCCGACGCTGCTGCTGCTGTAGAAATTCCAATGAAATGTAATCGCAGTAAATATTTATTTAGTGTATTCCTCACACAATTGATACTTTCAAATGAAATTATATCTTTGCGGAGAGTTTCTTAAGCACTTTTCCAGTGTTTGCTTGCTCCATTTCGGCGTAATATCTTTGATTGTTGGATGGATATCTTGCGAATGCAGACCAAAAAAAAACTGCCAATGAAGGGAAACTCAATTAGCGCAAAATCTCATTAAATATTCTGCCGTCGAAACAACATATAAGCGGAAACTTTTAATTGGCCAACTGAGGAGATCGGAAGCCGTGGAAAATTCTTTTCGGGGAAAAAAATTAACAAACATTTCGTGCTTATTTAATTCCCCTATGATCCCTTGGAAATATTGCCGGGAAATATTCTTCCTATACAACCATATTAATAGTCAATATCATCGTCAATTTGCATGAATACTTGCGCCCAATAATGAAGGTTCCTGTCTTCCCATAATTTGAGTATCAGTGACTGTGTTATCATAGAAAACACACGAATTCTCCATGCTGCAAAATCAATGGCGGCACGCTGCTGAAGTGGAGGGTGAGGAGTATAAATTTTTACTAGAATCCTCTGAAGCGTCAGAAATTCGAGAAGCATAATGAATAAATCAATTTCATGCAGAATTAATTGGTGAGATTTAAATAAATCATTTAGAAATCGATGGAAACAATTTGAATAAATCATTGTAAATATCGTATGTGAAAAATTCAGCTGTGCACTACCCCAGAATACAAATGCAAATGATTTTTAATTCCTCCAATGCAAATACACTAATCCTAATAAGTGCAAAAGCACGGCGAGTGGGTACTTGAGAAATCAAGTAGAGTAAATGTGCAAATTGAAATTTGAAGAAATATTAAATTGAGGAATCTCTCAAAAGTATATTTATGCTAATTGAGTGAAATTAATTCGCGTGATTAATGGTGGAGTTGGTGTGAGCAGAAGAGTTTCGCAGCTTGGTTTAATTGAAAGAGTGTGAGAAAGCTTTTAAAGCAACTGGCATGCGAAATTCCCCTCCATATCGAGTGTAAAAAGCACCCAGACGGGAATTTTCAGTGAAATATTTAATGTGCACGTAAAACTATCATGTGGCATAATTAATTTATTAAATATCATTATGTCGGTGGAGATTGACACCCAATGCTGGAATATTGTCCGAATTCCGTTTGCAAATAACCGCAGTATTATTAAAATTCTACGAAATTCATTATCATGTGGATATTTTTGCGTTTTGCTTCAATAAATTTTATTTACAACGCAATGCAAATATATGTGGCTCTCGCTCTATATGTAAACAATTGACACCATATTCGTCCACATGATTCCACACGCGGGCAAATGGCGTGTCTGATTTTTACTAAGCCCAAATTAATCCAATTTCGCATTCAAACAAAATCATTAAAGCTTTTGGATATTAATATGAGGCTAAATATGTGATTGTGCCATATATTTATTGCCAAAAAGTTTTATCACATGCAAATTCCATATTATATTTTTCACATGAAAAACATTTCCTGCACTTCTCATTTTGCTGTATTTTGATGTTTTAATAAATGTGTAGCGCTGCGTTGTATTACATTCACGTAATTTCTCTACAACAGCAAAGAATTGAAGAGGATCAGAAGAGCTTTCGCTGTGGATTATGGTATCGTTTTGCTGTAATTTTATTCTTTCGCTGATAAAACCGCTGCCGATGCTTTTTTTCCGCGGAAAACTATATGAGCATTTAATTTCAATTAGAATTCTTCTAAAATACATATAGATTTTATTATTCCACTGCACATCTCCATGCCTCAATTAAATTTATGCTGCACACATTCCATCACTCCACGAGTGAGTTTCATGTGAATCGTATAAATTTGTCGAGTGTCTATTTGAGAAATGTAGAGCTTTTTTTGCTGCCTACACTCTGCTGAATCCATAAAAAAGAATTCACTGCACATATTTTTATTTATTTGCTCATTTAACATACAAATGCAAATATTTCACAGTTGATGTTTGTCTTTGGCATCAGCGTAAAAGAGTGAATTTTTTAGCAAAACTGTCATAAGCCTCGTCGCACGATGAGCCAGGCAAAGTGTAATGTTGCGACATTGCAGAAGTAAGTTCATGGCAATTGTTGGAGTAATGTCACAAAAGTTCACAGTCTCATGACTGAAACTTTGCCTCCAAAATGCTCCTTTAATGCGAACTGCTATCATCGTAAAGCTCTGTTTTCGCTTCTTTCGCATTTGTGTACAAAATGCGAAAAGCGTGTTTTCTTCGAAATACCTACATTTGCGCACAAAATCATCAATTTATGTTTCACGAGACTTAAATATTCATTCCCAATTGCCTTCAGGAGTGGGAGATAAAAAGGATATTTTCATCCAATAATACGAATAATGCCCTTCGAATGAAATATTTAGACACATTCCCAAAATCTCATTAATTGTATGTTGATTTTCAAATGTGAATAACTTATGCTTCAATCACTTCAATCACTTCAATTCATATCAACTTTGAAATACCATATAAATGAAAATTCGAAAGAATTTTTCATTATTCAAAAACAGTTTTAATGAGAATTTTGCGTTTTCAATTTATTACATTTTAATTAAACTTGTCATTATGAGTTATTGGAATATTTTCTAAATTTTATCACTCATCGTGGCACTGAATTACAATAATGTTCATCATTTTTGCACCCTGTATTTATTGTGACACAATTAAATTCCACAATTATCCGTCTCTCAAATGATTGTACTGCTGAAAGAGGTCTGGAAATTCAGGAGTGTCAAGGTGGAAAGTGATGGTGGAGTGAATTGTGGCGTTTTTCTGAAAATACGTACCAACCAACTCAGCTCATGGATTTTCCCACATTTCCTCTGTGCGGTGATGGTTCACCGGTGAAAGTGACATAGAGAGTCGAAAAATATAATATCAAAGCGCCAGTAGAGGAAAAGTGGATGAATAAACGGCGGAAAGTTGTGATTGGGTTAAATCGCTATACGCATGAAGTGGCGGAAATTGTCGAATGTGTATTTCCGCCACTTTCATTTGTTTTACCTCAGGCTCTTTCCCCTTTCGCTTCCTTCCATCCGGAATCTTTTTCAAACCCTCCCGCATTTCTGAATTCTGGGTGTCTCAACGGAAATTTTCTCCCGGAATATAGTTGCATATTTTATTCTGTCTCATACATTTCACACCCAAGGAGGAGGAGGAGGAGGAGGAGAAGAGGTGAATGAGAAAAATGGCGGCGCTCGGAAAATTCCCTGAAGAACAACAAATTTCACACTCTCACATCTGCACAGAGCCAACCATCGTGGCGGAAGAGTCCAAACTCTGCAGAGAGTCGTGGTGAAATTGAAGAATCTCTGTGTGGCGTTTCGGGGCACAGTGGCTTTGACTGGTGAGTCGAAATACCCCATGTCCTAATGGGTGGGTGAGAGTTGAATTAGAGGCATTTCTACCAATTTACTTTATTCTTACCGCATATTTAGAATTATAGAGACGCACAGCAGGAGAAGATGTGGGTGGGCGTGATTGATGCGAATTAAATTCCACTTTGGCTTTTTGGCAAATTCTTCACTGCTCTCTCCCTCTCGCTCTCTCCTCTCCCCTCTGGGCAGGAGGAAAAGGATTTAATTGAGTCATTTATTTACACAACACTTTAACTTTGATTCCATCCACCATCGCACTCAATTCAACGCCACACCACCCACAATCAACAAATTACCTTAAAGCGAGTGGCAAATTCAACAATAGACCACGCAGTGTCGGAAAAAGGAAAATTCTGTGGACTGAAAATGTCTCCCGGGGACACTATTTTTTTCTCTCTCCTGTCGCCGCCTCGTGAAATGCATGAGGATTGGGAAAATCCACAATCCTTCATATACAAATGGAATTATGCAAAGTGGAAGTTCTCACTTGGAGTGATTTCTGGGTCAGTCAAACAATCATCCCTTGGCATTTGAATCTGGTTGTGGCTCTCGTACCGCATAAATTTCGCCCATTATGCGTTATGTTGACGAGATGACCGACCATTTTGGCCAAAAGCGCTATAAAATCATAAATAAAAATATTTTTCCGTCCGCTCAAATCCCATGTAAATCATGTGACGAGACGTGAAGTGGCGCGTATTAAAAATTTAATCATCGTCTCTCTTGCCAGCCAGGACTCTTGAGCCAGGACAGATACTCCTCAAGGTGATTCAAAATAGAAGCAATTTCGGTGAATGCCATTTATTCCCCTTTGGACACTGCATCGCGCCGGAAAATCACATTGTGAGGTGATGTAGTGAAATGGATTTGCACTTTCTTTGTCACCGGAGCACATTCAGTCCACACCAGTGTTAAGAACGTTTTGGGTGATGAAAAGTCCTCTCGCAAAAGCCCTCCTTTCTACCCATTGTGGCTGCCACAAAACAGGGAATATGTGAATAAAATGGAGGGTGAATTATCCAACAGAGGAGAGATTTTTGGGGGGCGAAAAGGCATTATAGGTTGAGTCAGACAATGAGAGTGACTTTTGCTTGTGTTCCACATATTGAATTTAGGTACCATTCATGCCACCCTCCTTGTATCATTCGGTATTCTCCGGAGAGGCTCAATGAGGAATTTTATCCTTCTCCCTGGTTGAAGTGTCAGTATAATTTTTCCCTTATACTCTCGCTCTCAATCCAATAAGGGTGGAAAATTGGCGAGAAAAAAAAATCTCTTTCTCTCTAGATGAGCATAATTTATTTACATCGCCCAATCGTCTGTGGTGGTGTTGGCAAGGAGAAGAACACCACCGAAGAAATGTGTCTATGCAGATCCACAGTGTGGAAGAGGCGAAGGAAAATTTATATTGGATGTCTTCGTATAAGATGGGGCAACAAACAACAGTGAAACAAGGTGGAAAAGGGAAAAAAGAGAGCAAAACCAGAGGTGATATAAATTTAATTGAAAATTTATGAGGTCAATAAGGAGCTAAGGAGAGCGAGAAAAGGAGATTGAAATGGATTCTCGATTTCAAACTTAATTGATTTTATTTACCTCCAACTTCAGTCGTAGAATAATTTCTTGTAATTGCTATCGTGACACGTCGAGTAAATCTCTATTTCTCTTCTTTTCCGCCATACGACAAAGCGTAATCGATTTAGCAGTCAAGTGTTGAGGAGATACAGGAAAGCATGAGAAAGAAAATCAACGGATAAAGTGATTATTGAGATCGATAGACCACGAATAAAAGTTTTTCACGAAAATTTTCCATTCCGACGCTCAAGCGATAGCGCAAGAGAGTGAGAGAGACTTTAGTTCAAAACCATAATTGAAGTTGATAGTTGAGTGTCAGTCTCTTGAGTAAAAGTTGCATATCCGATTTGGTTTTGGGTGAGTATTTGCCATGGTTGGGAAATTTTCCTCCGGCAAAATCGAAAAATCTACTCGTTCCCATATGTTCTCCTCCGACATGGCAATGGTTTTGGCTCCAAATGTATCCCAGACACATATTCTGCAGCAGACATTAAAATGTCTCGCTGGAGATAGAATGAAATTGGCATTTCGCGATACACCCCAACTCAAACCATTACATTTTAATGGTATATATCTCTGAGTGAATTGCCAGAGATAGGAACATGTGTACAAGTTGAGAGAGACAGGAAGGAATTTCCAATGGTGTGAGGATTTTCTTTCACTTGGAAACCCAATCGAACAACTTCACCAGTTGCTATTGCTCAAGCATCGCATCTGAGCTT